TCGGCGGAGCACTCTAGACAACCAAGCGTTCGGAATTGTTGTGGTGTGGCTATCGCCAACACGGCGCAAAATCACCGGCTGTTCCAAAGAGCCGAACGGCATTTATTGCTGCATCGAACTAAGGGGGCCATCGAGCATCGGCAGACAGGTCAGCAGCGGCAGTGGAATCATGCAATTGGTTTCGATTGAATTGTCGTTCGATTTGTCGAGATCGAAGAGGCCAGATGAGCCAGGCTGCAGAGGACAGGCAGGAATAGTGGCAAAGGGAATGGAAGTCCTGTCAAAACGGCAAGATCCAGTTGAAGCTTCCGGGAAGCTCCATGGGTGCTGGGTGGTTTCAGCAGAGGTTAGTTGCTCCTCATTGGCTGAGCCTACTGCAACTCCACTCTCAACGGCTTCCAATCTCATTCCGCGAACTTCGCTCCCTGGAAAGCTGCATGCAGGGTGTGGAGATAGCTCCCATCGTCAATACCAAAATCCAGCACAACAACAAGTCAAGATGAAACTCTGGGGTTATGCCGAGCCTGTGTAGGGAGTCAAATCACGGCCGAAATAAGGCACTGAGCGAATTCCGCAACTCTGCTTCTTCGGACTCTGACTACAACTTGCTTCTTGGATTTATCTCTCCTCTGGTGAAAGCCATCCATTAGGTGCAGCGCTGCTCATCGGCTGCAGCACGCTGGCATCGGGAATCGAGGAGCTGGATCGAACCAATAAGGGTCCTTGAGGTGAATGTGCGACAAATATTTCTCGGTAGCTGATGGATATCTCATTGTCACGTTGTTGTTCGACAATACGTCATGTGAGGATTGTGACATTCATGCTACATGGGCCATGGGCAATGCCTTGATGCCACGTCCAAGTTGTCTGCTTGTTGGCTTCCAACGGAGCCGCATCCGTTGCCCTTGAGCCAGGTGAACTTGTGAAGTGGGTCGAGCCATCCAGAATCTGAGAGGCCGAGAGGCTTTCAGGGTGCAAACATACCATGGTCTGTGCACGGTCGTGTTTAGATGGTCCCGCGACGCGTGACGCCAGAGGCTTGTGCCGCGCCTTAGTGGTTTTGGTTTCTTGGCATCCACATACATCTTAAAGCCAAAGATAATCAGTGATGTGTCTGTCCACGAAGCTTGATTAATGGCCCGGGCCAGTTTCGTTTCGAAATGTCCTCTCTAGTAGGGCAGAGACAGAGCATTGGCGTGTTGTCGTCGCTTCCAGACAGTAGACTCGGCGACATACTCGGCACGAGACCATCCAGTCGTCCGTCCAGCAGAGCTTCCTTCTCCGCCAGGCCATCTTCAACCTCAGCCATCTTCAACCCTGCCGACGATGTAGAACCACGCCGCATTCGGCCCCAAAGCCGTCAAAGCTTGCACAATCTGTGGCCCACCAGTCCCGGCTCTGGCAAGCGGAAGAGAGATGCTCCCTCCATGGCCACCTTGGACAGTCTCTTGAAGGCACCCACTGTTCTCAAGGTGCGTCGAGTCCCCTCGTCTGTTGATGAGTAAGGAGATCTCACTCCCTGCCAGCCACATCCCTCCAACCTGACTGTGAAGCCGCGGATACTTCATCCCCTGATGCTTTTGCCGCGCGAGACCCTGCCGCTATCCGCCCTCGACCTCTCTCAGCCGCTCGGTGACTTCCCTGCCAGCCGCCTCTTCGAATCCAGAATTAAGATTCTCGACTTAGAGGGCCGCCTAGGCTCCAATATTCTTGTTGCCCGCTCCGAGACGACCCGCATGGTCTATGCCGTCGAACGCGAGAGCAATGGACTGTACGTGCTGTGCAAGCTGGGTTCTTGGGTGGACATCGAGACCCTCGGCCAAAGCGCCACGGTTGTTTGCGACGAACGAATGAGAAGCATGAAGACAGCGAGGCCTGGGAACGCTGCTGCCACCCCATTAACCACCCCTTCGATGTACAACGAGACCAAGAGGAGGAAACTGGCCATCGAAGAGATACAGTCTCTGGTTCGGAGACGCTCCATGTCGATTATTGAGAAAGACACCCCAAGTCAAGCTTCCAGCGTTGTCGAGGAAAGGCCGCCATCAAGACAGAACGCCAGCCAAAGCGTCAGTTCTATGCAAAAGCCTATCAAGATATCTGCTGCACCTGGTCCTCCCGCGCCGGCTCCGCTTGGAGCTACGGCCCTGGGTACCGCGACGAATGACGATTCTCAACCTACCGCTGAAAAGATCTTTCAAAATCTTCGGGCGCAATACATGGAAGCTCTATACCACTCCAAGGTCTGTTTTTCCCTATCTGGATCATTCTCCGTATTCGCTGACACAGACAGGGTTCGTTGGCGTATTTTGCAAAAGGCCCTCTTTCCAGGGCCAGAGCGGCATTCCATATTGACTGGGACGCCAATCTTGACATGAACGACCTAGTCGAATTCCTGAAGAGCCTTGTCATGACCACCATCGTCATCGACAAGAAGTATCGCGAGACAATACCCGAGATTGTAGCCAAAATCAAGACGGTTACGCAGGACTCGGAAAACGGTGGCTCCAAGGCCAGGAAGAGGAAGCAGAAAAAGCCCAAACTCGGCAAAGATGGGCTGTACCCCGGAGAGGTTGACCATATTAAGCGATGGTGGGCTTCGCACCAGCCCATTTCGAGCGGGGACGACGACAGAACCTTCACAGCGACTGAAAGCAGATATCACATTTCCTCCCTAAGAAGGAGGGAAACTCAGCTGCAGATGATCCTGATTCTGGAGATTCTGGCCCTGGAACCTGTTGCACTGGCAAAGGGCACAGAGTGCCAACTTCCGGGGATGGAATCTCATGCCGCCACCGAGGAGGCAAGCCAGGAACCATCAAGCAAGAAAAGGAACAAGCACAACCTGCCCGTGCTCCTTGACGTACACGCAGACCGACTCTGCATCTGGCAGTCCACAACATTGGACGAAGTCAAGGCGGTGGCCGAGTCTCAAGTGCCCGCCGAGGGTGCTGGAGCAGAGGAGCTGGAGAGGGCCAATTCGGACCCTCTGAGGGATTTTTGTGTCGATATCCTTGTGCCATTGTAGGTGAATATTTAGTACTACTGGTCTTATGCGCTTGCTAATCCTCTTCAAACAGCTTCTCAGCTCGTCTTCCGGGACTTTGCGACTCCCTCAACCGCAAATTAGGAGGCCCTGTTGCCCAGTCGCCACCCAAGGAGAAGACGGCAAAGCCTGCTTCAACGGCCAAGCCGAAACCCGGTGCGCCGATAAAGCGAGCTGCGCCCTCGAAGGGGGACAGGGCCAGAACGCTCGAGCGTGCCCTCTCGGTTGAGCGGAGTAGGCGCAGTGTCTCACAAGGCCCTGCCGCCGCGATTGCACTGCTGCGATCCGCGACGCAGACAGTCATCCCAGGGTTGAAGAGGGAGGCGAGCGAATCGTCCTTGACGGGTCTTATTCTGAGGGCAGACTCAAACTCTCTCAGGGAGAGGCCGTCCAGCATCTTCTCACGGAGTATAAGCATGAGTGGGGCGGATGTGAAGGCACAGAAAAAGGCGCAGGTAGAGGCCGAGCTCAAGGACGCCATCTCAGCACTGAAAAAGCCCAACCGGACCCTGGCTGTCAAAGAATTTGTCGAGGCAGCCGACAGGCGGGCCTCGGCCGGGCAATTGAAAAGTGAGTCTCTTGTCTCCAGAGTCTTGCAAGCAAAGACTAACCTTGCTGTCTCCTACAGAACTAAAGAAGCCCAGCCGGGCCTCAGCTGTGCAGGTCAAAGCCACGCCAGCCAACAACCGGTACAAGGACGTCCTAGCAGCCGAAAAGGCACAGTCACAGCCTGCTCCCTTTCTCGACATACCCCCCTCCAGCGCCTCCGTCGTCCCGGCGTCCACTCTGCCTCGCAAGTTCGCCAACAGGCTACACAACCCGAGCCCGTCCGCACCCCGCGTCCAATCAACGCCACTGCGGCAGCCCTCCTCCTCCTCTGTCATGGCACCAACCGCCCCACATCAGCAAGAGACCCCTCGGGGTTCAGGCGTCCCGCTCTCGTCGCCCATCATGGCCCGAAAGGCGGCTCCGCCAGCGTCCGCGCCAGCCCAGCAGCAGCAGCCGCGATTTCCATCATCACAGCACCTGCCAGTGCCGTCAGCAAGCCGTCGCGGCGGCGGCGCGGATACGCCTCCCTTCCCCGGACTGGGCACACTATTCGAGACGCCTGTCGGCCCTCGATGTTCTGCCAAGGAGAGGCTGAAAGTGGTGGTGGACGATACGCCCATCAGGTCGCGGCTTCCGCTCGGGGTGGCGGGGGATGGGGGGAACCGATCTGGGGTGGCGGTGATGAAGAAGGCCAAGGACATGAAGAAGAAGGAGGAGGAGCATGGGAGTGGAGGGTGCAGTAGTGACGGGGCGGGGGCAAATGGCGGCGCTACCAAGGGCGGGGAGAATGGGAGCGATGGGATGAGCATTTACCAGCGGCTGGGGTGGGATACGGCGGATTTGGATGGCATTGATGACTTGCTATGATCGTGGGACTAGATTTGGACTGGGTTAAGGACAACGGGGGAACACCTGTTCAGATGTGACCGAAGGATAAGACATGAGAATAGCGAGCGTGCTTCTTGGCGTTGCTTGTTTGGAATCGCAAGGCTGCGGACATCATGTAAGGTATTCTAGGGTACTGGCATCGTGATACCACGGAGACAGCAGCGGCATGAATAGAGACCATATCAAAAGAGGAAGACACTGAAAGGCAGCTGTTTTTAGCATCCACACGCCCTGCGTCGACGACATGCGGAAAGCGATAATCAATACAACACTTTCCTGTTCAGGCAGGAGCCGTTTGTCGGGATAACCATTATGGTGTTTTCGCCAGTTCCTACGATTAGTATTCCAACCCCGCCTCCCCTCCCCCATCAAACCCCCGTTATACCTGGCTAATTTTGTATTTTCCCCCTCGTGACAACCACTAGCGGCAGCTCCCTCACATCGACATGCTCCTGGCTCCCCAGGTCCACGACCCTCACCGCCTCGAGGCCCACGACTCCCTCCCGCAGCGCCAGGAACCGTAGCTCCGCCACGGCACACCCGTTGGGCGCCAGCGGGCCGATCCGCACGTCGGCCGACAGGCACGCCAGCTCGGCCGCGTCGACGACGCTGCTGTGCTGCATGGTGTGCACCACGGTCTCGTCGAGCACGGCGTCGGCAATCGGCGGGTCGTCCCCCGCTGTCTGATTCTGATTCTGATTCTTGGTGGTGGAGGAAGAGCCCGCCCCCGTTGCCGTCGCCGTCGAGGGCGGGCGGATGACGCGCAGCTCGTTGCGTCGTCGCCGCGGGATGGGCACCAGCATCAGCTTGCGCGCCGCCGTCGCGACAGCGTGCTGCGCCAGCACCGACGCCGGGGCGGACGGGGTCGGGGGCATGATGATGTTGTCGACAGCCTTGTTGCTGCGGTTGACGACGAAAACGGTCCAGGCAAACTCGTCGCCGAGACGGACGGGGCGGGTCGGGCCGGTGAAGGTCATGGTGATGCCAAAATCTGGGAGGGCGGGCACGGGGCCCGGCGCGGTGGCTGCTTCCAGGGCGGGGAGGGCGTCTGGGCGGATGACGGAGGGCGAGACGAGCGGTTGCGAGTCGACGCCGCCGCTGATGGAGAGCTGGCTTGGTCGGTGCGAGCGCTGGATTGGTGTCGTCTTGGGCTGGCCGAAGCCCGGGTTGACTGGGGACGTGAAGTCGAGGGCGGTGGTCCATGTCATGGCCAGGCGGGGGGTGCATCGGTTTGGTTCGCCGTCTGGGCGGACGAGGACGAGGACTTCGAGGGTGATGAGGAGGTCGCGGGCAAGGGTCCTGCTGACGATGTCCCGCTGTTGCGGGGCAAGCTTGTATAGGAAGGTGAGGTGATCGTGAGCGACGCAGCTTAGCGGCAGGCTCATGCCCTCTTTGGGGCTGAGATCCTCCGCTGTGCCGTCTGTGACGCTGAGGGTAAGCTTGTCTAGGATGGCTTCGCAGTCGAAATAGGGCGTGAAGTCGACTTCCAGCAACGCAATTAGTGAGGCGCTCGGGGTAATCGTATTGGGCCGGGAGAGACGGATGCGAGTGTGAAGGACTGGATAGATCTTGAGCTTGAGCGTTTGTAGACCGTTGATTCGATGGAGTGCATCCTTGGGTTTTGTCAGGGGCGCGACCTTCGATACCCTTTGAGCGGATAACCGAGGAGCAACACCGCCTAACAACGGGTCGTTCGCAAACGACTCTAACAAATTCATCCCGGACGGCATACAGCTCGGCATGTACCCGCCGCTTGACGCGGCGGCCTGGTCAGAAGCCGCAGCGTTTATCCTGAGGCTCGCGACGCCTGAGAATACAACTGATGGTAGTTGTAGCCTGATCCTGGGACGGCCCAGGAACACGGGAAGCTTCCAGACAGCATAGGCATGCCTCTGGCCTTCTTCCTGCGGCTCGCCCACCACCACAAATGCTTCCTCGACATGCTCGACTTCGCCGTTGTATACGATTTCGGAAGCGGGAGGGGTACCGTCCCGGTCAGAGGCAACGCCGTTTACGACATGAGCATCAAGGGCGATGACGAGGCGGCGCAGATGTGAGCGGAGCGTGTCGTCGTCGACGTATGGGGCGCGGAGTATGAAGTATACGTCGACCGTTTCATCTGCGACGTGCGCATGAGCGATGAGAGCAGGACAAGAGGGAGCAGCGTGCGAACCTCGTACCAAAGAACAGACGGTCGCGTTGCTCAATGCTGGAGATGTTGATCTCCACCGAGCCCGCGCCTTGGTGGAAAGCCTTCTCAGGGTTGAATTTGGTTGCAAATGGAATGATGTATGTGAGGTACGACTGATGGAGGAAGGCCTCCGAATTTGCGACACCGGATGCTTCGCCAGCGCTGTTTGGGTTTGGGAGGGCCATGATTGCGGCTTCCAGGTTTGCTCTTGTTGTTGGTGTTGGGGGCCTCTGCTTTGCCCATTTATATAGCCATATCGACCATGAGGACTATTTCTTTGTCATACTTCAACTTAAACAAGAGGTCGGATGCTAACGATCATGCTTAAAGTCATCTACATCCAGGTGACGGATGGAGTCCACCTCATTCTTATCAATGTGGTTCAAGCAGTCAACAGAGAGACCCCTGTGCCTAAACTGGGATCCACTGGAGCTCCATGGAGCCTGCAGTGGCAGTCGACGCTCAGCGCTTGGCGTCCGAGTGCCGAGTGCCAAGGACATTAGCTCTTCAATCGTGAAATTCCCTCCGAGTGACTTGCGTCGTCGCCTGAAAAAGCGCGACGCGCAGCGCACCCCGAAACTCAAAACCAGGCACCGCTCCATCGCCATCAGCTCAACGCGATCGCCAAGCCGTGTACGATATCGCATCTCAGCGAGAAATACGCGAACCGCAGCAGCAAGATGAACGCACCTTTTGCGCCGCCGGGCGCTGGCTGGTCAGAGCATCGCACCTCCGATGGCCGTGTCTACTACTACAATGCTTTGACCAAGGTCACACAGTGGACCAAGCCCGAGGAGCTTATGAGCCCGGCAGAGGTATGGACATCTCTTGAGTCTTGAGGAACCGCTGTGCTAATCTGCCGAACCGCAACCAGCGCGCTCTCGCGAACCAGCCATGGAAGGAGTACACGGCCGAGGGCGGCCGCAAGTACTGGTACAACACTGAGACCAAGCAGAGCTCGTGGGAGATGCCAGATATTTACAAGCGAGCCCTGGCTGGTGGTGAGGCCACTCCGACAACTCCAGCGTGAGCATCGCCCCTCAGCGCACCCTTAACTGAATCGCCGTACTGATGTATTGATATGCCCAGAACTCCTGCCACGCCGCACACAGGCCAGGGCGCCGGCCATCATGGCGGATTTGGAGGTGCCGACCATTACCGCGATCATCGTGAGCCCATTGGTGAATCGCGCCAGCTGACCTTCGGCAATAACGTTCAGGCCCAGGCCTTCGTCCCGGCAACCAACGACCCTGAGTATGCCACTGCCGAGGAAGCCGAGGCTGCCTTCGTCAAACTCCTCCGCCGCAGCGGCGTCCAGCCCGATTGGACATGGGAAGAGACCATTCGAGCCACCGTCCGAGATCCGCAGTTCCGCGCGATCAAGGACCCCAGAGATAGGAAGGCTGCTTTTGAGAAGTACTGCCATGATGTCGTCGTCCAAGACAAGGAGCGTGCAAAGGAGAGGCTGACCAAGTTGCGTGCCGATTTCGCCACCATGCTGCGGAGCCATCCCGAGATCAAGCACTACACTCGCTGGAAGACTGCGCGCCCCATGATCGAAGGCGAGACGATTTTCCGCTCCACCAACGACGAGAACGAGCGGCGCCAGCTTTTCGAGGACTACATTATCGATCTCAAGAAGGCGCACAAGGAGCACCAGGTCGCCATGCGCAAGAGTGCCATGGACGGCCTGATCGAGCTCCTGCCCACCTTGGATCTGGAGCCTTACACGCGCTGGTCAGAGGCGCAAGGTACTATTCAGAGCACTGCTCCGTTTCAGAATGACGAGAAGTACAAATCCCTCACCAAGTACGACGTCTTGACCGTCTTCCAGAACCATGTCAAGGCGCTGGAGCGCAAGTTCAACGATGACATACAGGAGCACAAGAACAAGAAGTTTCGCCGTGAGCGCAAGGCTCGGGACAACTTCATTGCTCTGCTTTCTGACTTGAGAAGAGACGGAAAGATCAAAGCTGGCACCAAGTGGAGCGAAATCCACCCTCTTATTGAGGCCGATGAGCGCTACCTGGCCATGGCCGGCCAACCGGGCTCAACAGCCATGGAGTTGTTTTGGGACGTGGTGGAAGAGGAAGAGCGCGCTTTGCGGAGCATCAGGAATGATGTTCTCGATGTCATCGATGTGAGTCGGCACTCTTTCTCGGCTTCGCAGATTAAACCCAACTAACAGCTTCTAGGACCAACGTTTCGAGGTCACCCCGAAGACCACGTTTCAGGAGTTTGAGTCAATCCTCAAAGGTGACCGTCGCACAGCTAACATTGAACGCGATGTGTTGGAGCTTATCTTTGAGCGGGTGAGCAGCCATGGTCTCGGTCGAGTTCACGAATTGACATATGCTGACGCACCACCCCTCAAACAGATCCAAAAGCGAGCGAGCAAGCGCTTAGGAGAGGATAGAGAGCCGGACCGCCAGCAGCGTCGCGCTCTAGAGGACCTCCGTTCTCACATGAAACGGATGGAACCGCCTATTGGCATCAATGACACGTATGAACAGGTCCGGAGCCGACTGGCTCACGTACCCGCGTTCCAGGCTGTAAGCTCCGACGATGCCCGACGGGGCGCCTTCGAGAAGCACATCCGACGCCTCAGGGAGAAGGAGGACGAGGCAGAGAGAGAGCGCCAGCGCCGCCGTGACCGCCCTGATGCCTATCGTGACAGAGGTGAGCGATCTCATCGCAGCAGTGCGCGTTCTGTGAGGAGCCGCAGCCCAGAGCACAACATGTATGAGGCTGAGCGTCGCAATGCCGTCGCCGAACGGGAGCGTAACTACCGCAAGGCCAGTGCCGCCGACGTTCTGCTATCGGATCGCCGGTCTCCCTCTATCCGTGACCGCGAACGGGACCGTGAGCGGGACCGGGATCGTGACCTAGAGCGTGACCGAGAGCGCGAGCGGCGTGACTACCGCGATCGCGAGAATCGTGACCGGGATCGTGACCGGGATCGTGACCGTGACCGTGACCGTGACCGAGACCGAGACCGGGATCGGGACAGGGAACGCGATAGAGAGCGAGACCGCGACCGCGAGAGAGACCGCGAGGGTCGAGACCGGGAGCGTGACAATCGAGATCGCGACCATCGCGACCACCGGGACTACGACCGCCGTCCGTCGCGGCCCGTCGACGACACCAACCACTATGACCGCGAGCGCCGCACCCGCGAGGAAGACCGCGAGCGCATCTACCGCCGCCGCATCCTGGAGCGTGACGTTGAGGAGCTGCCCTACGGCGACGAGCGCCCGCCCAGCTCGTCGTACTCTTCTCGCAACACCCGCCCCCGCCCGTCCGAGGAAGACGACCTCGACAGCCGGCGCGACAACAAGCAGCAGCACGCTGCCAAACGAGTCAAGCGCGACGCCGGCGACCCTCCCAACCGTGGCCAGCGGACCCCGCTGCACAAGGAAAAGGAGCAGCTTCCTACGCCTAGCGTCAGGGCGGGCAGCGAGGAGGGCGAGATCGAGGAGGATTAGACAAACATTCCCTTCCTGCGGCTCATCAGTCGCCGTGGCCGGGTTCAGCAAACCCCGTAATCGCCATAGGTGTAGGACGTCGCACAGCTGTTTCGCAAAGAGGAAAAGAGGAGCTCAAACGGGGTGTGTTGTGTTCTGGTTGGTTTCAAGAGTCGGGGATGTATGTGAACGTGAAATCTGGGTAGCAAAAGGAAAGAGCAGTGTTTTCTGGTGGTGCCGAAGACAAAACCACTACAGTACGTTACTCACGCACACGCTTCTCCAACCTAACCTGGTCAAGTCATCGTCAAATCAGTAGTACTGGTGTAGTTTAGTAGCTTGTAATAGTCTGCCCAGCCCGGCAGCTCTTTCACCATGACTGCTGTAAATACCTGTGTAGGAAGACAAAATCCTGGAATTGAATAGCTCGTTGACACATTACGTACTCGCGCTCTTGAGGCTATCTAAATACCAGGAGTGTGCCTATGAGATATCTGATAACAGGGTGGATAAAAACTCTCCATTGTAAACCTGGCATGTTGAACATTATCTCCTGAACGCTGTTCGAGGCTTTTTTAAAGGCAGTTTGAGGCATCGCAATTTATTGGCTTCCTACTTGAGTACTTCCACGACTGGCGTTCTTGCGCACACGCATCGCCTCTCAGCCCTCCGCGGAACTGTGTCCGCCCAGGGCGGGCGGCAGTCACCCTGCTTGATCCATTGCCCCTCAATCTACCAAGACCACCGCCCTTCCCGTTTCCCTGACAGGCGCGGTGCAACTTTAAACAGCCGGCTCTCGGTAGGACCAGGCAACAGGGGATAAACTGCCGCCGCCGTCGCTAAATGTCCGGATCGTCGTCCTCAGACATGCCGCCCTCTCCAGATGCACCGTCGAGACCACCCCGGGCGCCGCCGCGCCAACTTTTGCCGCTACCGCCTTTTTGAACGCCTAGAACGCCGGAATCCGATGCATCGTCCTGAGTGGGCCGGCGGTCGTCATTATGATGGGTGTCCTTTGGAATGCCCTTTTCAAGAACTTTTTTCAAGGTCCTCCAGGAAGAACTGTGACGTATGTCAGAAGCAGACCAAAACAGAGAATGTCAGGGCCAGACTTACGTAGTTGCCGCTCAACTTCTGCTCTTGGTCAAGCTGAGAGTTGGCCTTGTTGATACGCGGCCGGAAGTTGGTAGGGTCACGGCGGAAGGTAACGTCCAGGTTCTTGAGGAAGGTGTTGCAACCCGTGAGAAGCGACTCGGGCTTGTTGGCATGCGCATCAATACCTGGCTTGCCGTCAAAGACGATGACACGATCAGCGAGGTAGGTAGCCATGATGAAATCGTGCTCGACGATGAACGCCGTCTTCTTAGCGTGCATGATGAACCGCTTGATGACACGGCTGGCCACGATACGCTGCTCGGAGTCGAGGTCTGTGATGCTGTCAGCATGTGGCATAGAGACTATGGCCCAGGACAGCAACCTACAGGCAGACGGCTCATCGATGAGGTAAATATCAGCCGGCATACCGAGAGCCAAAACAATGGCCACCTGTTCAATGTTAGCGAAATGCCGAAAGCATGGTAGGAGAAGGAATGGCATACTCTCTGCAATTCACCACCAGACAGGTTCTTCACTTCCTGGTCGATGAAGTCGTCAAGCTTGAGGGGCTTGACGACATCTGTCTGGAACTGAGGAGACAGGAAAGCAGCCTTGATCTTCTTGAAGAACAGCTGTCGGACAGTACCCTCGAATTTGGGTGTGATGGTCTGAGGTTTCATGCTGATTCTCATCTCGGGAACTTTCTGAGTTCCATCTGGTTTGAGAGCACCAGCTAGGAGACGGCAGAAAGTGGTCTTCGCATGTTAGTTTTATCTTACATCCTCTCCCTCTGTGCCTTCTATGACTCACCTTTCCAGTACCGTTCTCACCCATCATGACAATGATCTCCGAGTCGGAAAAGCTGCCGCCATCGATGCTTAAATGGAAGTTACCGAGAGTCTTCTCCATGGCGGGATACTTGAAAGCCCGCGACTTCTCTGCAACAAAATCCTCAGTGCCCTCGGCGATACGAAATGTCAAGCTTTCGTCGCGGAAGCGCAAATTCTCAGTCGGAATGTGGCCATCAAGAAAGATGTTGATGCCTTCACGGACGGAGTATGGGAGAGTCACAACGCCGTAAACAGCGGGCTGACCATAGAGAACGCAAATGAAATCCGAGAGATAGTCCAACACTGACAGATCGTGCTCGACGACGATGACGTAGTCGTCAGGACGCAGGAGCGACCGGATGATGCGGGCGGCGCTCAATCTCTGCTTGACATCGAGGTACGATGACGGCTCGTCGAACATGTATCTGGCAAGAGTCAGTTTAGTAGTCACAGAGCGTAGTGAGGACCATAGGCTTACACATCGGCCTTCTGCACGCAGACGGTACCGATGGCGAAACGCTGAAGCTCACCACCAGAAAGGAGGGTAACGTCACGGTCATAGATGTGGCGAAGCTCTACCTTGTGTCAGTCGACTAAACGGGCTGCCGCAGGAAGAAGAGGGGGGCCTACCCAGTGTGTCAAGCACCTGGTCCAGGTTGTCAAGCGTGCAGCGGCTTTCAATCAAAGCCTTGACGCTCTTATCAGCGGCGCGAACCGCCTTGGGAATCTGGTCGACATATTGCGGCTTGACGACGGCCTTGAGGTCATCCTCGAGTAACTTGGTGAAGTAGTCTGTTAGGGATTGTCAATGACTTTGCGAGCTTCAGCTAGAAGTGCGGTAGGTAGCCCTTACTCTGCAATTCAGAGCCGCGGAAGTACTTGATCACATCCTCCCAGTCGGGAGGGTTATCAAATCTGCCCAGATTGGGCTTGAGCTTCCCGCTCAAGATCTTGAGAGCCGTACTCTTGCCAATACCGTTAGTTCCCACCAGACCCAAGACGTTGCCAGGCCTCGGCATGGGAAGACGGTGGAGCTTGAAGCTGTTGGCGGAATAGCGGTGGGTGATTTGACTTTCAAGGTTCGTAGGCAGATTGATGATGGTGATGGCGCCGAACGGGCAGCGCTTCGGGCAGATACCGCAACCAATGCATAGCTGCTCAGAGATGAAGGCGATGCGGGATTCGGGTGTCACCTTCACGGCCTCGTGTTAGCCCACCGCAATCGCAATTCAGGGACGGCCAGGGTCTTTGGTATACCTCGATCTGTCTAACTGTCAGCTGCTGGGCATCAGAAACGGGGTTTGAGGAAAGCATACGCAGAGCTTGCCGGACCGCACCACAGGGCACGACTTCTTGCACTCTTGACGGCATTTCTATTCCTGTCAGCGCCATCTCCGCTGCTGCTACATATCTTTTCTGTGCGCACACCTTCGGTTTGCACTGTCGATATCCATCGTCAGCTTGGATCCATCATTTTCCATGGGAAGGCAACCAGTTGGTAGAGGAGTCGGGCGTACCTTGTCGCTGTTGACAATGGCGACACTGTCAGAGGGTTAGCGCATGCCCATACAAATTGCCGTACTTCTGCGTCCCGCGTCCTGATTCCGTCTTCTTCTGCGCCGGGAAGCATACCGAGTGAGTTTGTCCGCCATGGTGCTGGTTGTCCAGAGGGTTTCTAGGGGGCAAAGCTGGGTCTGACGCCTGTTTCTTGATCTCAGAAGCTGAATGAGAACACTTGAGTGGTTCCCTGGAACAAAGCACGAAGTACTCGATGCGCAAGTTCTTGCGGTCGCAGGAGTTGGCAGGGCGCGAGAGAGATGATGCCAAAAAAGGAGGGGCAGTTCACTGTGGGTCAAAAACCGGCCAGCGATAATGCCACTGACAATGACATTGGTGTTGTGGAGGGGCAGGGCAAAATGGCACGACCCACTTATTCCACACAGATTGGAAGGAAGGCGGTGTTGGCGGTAAGCTTGAATGTGCCGCATTTGATAGGCCAACAGCTCCATCCATGCCCGAAGCTCCTGGTGAACTCCGTCACCTGCCGTTCCCACTCAGGAACAACGGCGGCCAGCGTCAACCTGGATCTTAGGAGACAACGTTGGCAAGCCAATATGCCTGGGGCTGACCTTACAGTTCAATGGAGTTGTACTGATTTTCTACAGTTGCTAAGCACATGACAAGATCTACCACCCTAGATCCCTAGTTATCGACCTTCCTACCTGTCCTTGGGAGCATCTGGTTCCAGGCACTTGTCTGGTTCTGCCCCCAACCGTTCTGCACTTCCATACCTAAGGTTATGTTCATGACAGGTACTTATTTTAGGTAAGACACGCATTCAAAAAGCACGGCTTTCTGTCTGCGGCCGTGATATTGAAGTAATCTCATCGTGCACGCCGTCGGATGTCGGCGGCGAGGGGAAACCGTCTTGATATTCCGTGATCCCGTTGTCACGGCTCTGTCAGTGCGCGGACAACGTTCGCTCACATTCCGGCGGTACCAGTATAACAGCACGGCGTGCACCTCACCAACGAGTCCCGTTCCATTGCTGCTGCTAGTCCAGTCTCCTCTTCTTCACTCGTACTCTACGCTTTCACTGAACATTGCACCGCCACAGCCCAGATTAACCTTCAATCCTACACTCCATCTGCTGCTGGATCAACATAGCAGAAGAAGGCATCGAAAAGTTGAGCATTTGTTCCAATTGGTTGTTATTGAAAGTGGAAACTGCTTTACATCCACCGAAAAGCTCCAGCAATATATTTCCAGTTATCTGAGGTATGTTCAGTCCTGGCGCGCCTCTGATGTGAGACCAACCGACCGTCATTATTCCGGGCTGCAGTTGAGATTCGAGGGCGGCCAGGCCTCAGCCTCACCTGACAGGCTGTTGGAACTTGGGGGCCAATCCAGACCAGGGCAGGAAGTGGGGCCAGAAGCAGCCAGCTGCCAGATCAGCAATGAGCACAAGCCACCAGTGCCTGCTCCAATTCAGCATTTTCCGTTCTTTCTCCTCTACGAGTCCGACCGACCACCGCTGCGAAATTCCGCTACACCATCATCACTAAACCACACTGGGGTCGAGTCCTTCGCAACACCCCACCCCAGCTTTGTTGGCAACAGACCTTGAGCAAGTCGAAACACCGGTTCGCTGCCTGGAGGTTATTGTCCAGTGGCCTGTAAGTTATTGCCCTTGCTTGTGCTTTGCTTGCACCCTCAACCACGTTGTGACCCGCCGCGTTTTGTCCATCAAAACCGCCATCGATCCTGGCACACGCCCATCGAGGCGCCGCTCAAGATGCCTTCCGGCGCCCTCTGACACTCGAATTTTGATGGAAAACGATGGCGCGATGCGGCCGATGTCATCCAGCTACCGCACTCAGTGCGCTCGCTCGCTGAGGGCCGCAATCGCTGCCTGTCATCGGTCATAGCCTCGTCTATAGTACTTACACGCCTTGGATGCGACAAGCATCATTGAAACCTGGCTGTTGCTTATTTTCCGCAATTGCTTGCTGATTACGGGTCGCCGGAGTCCGCTCATGCTAAAGCTGTCGATTGCGATTCCCTAACTGTCTCAGACCCTGTGCTGACACCGTCGTCTTGCAGCGGGCAGCTCGAGCTCCGAAGATCACCATGTCAACATCACCAGATCCCGGTCCGGTGAATGGGCACACGCGTCTCTCTGCCGACGGACCTAGCACGCGTGTGGACGATACCAGCCAGAGTGACAGCGGCCTTTCAGACGCTCAGCCCGCTGTGGTTGATGCCGCTACCTCTGAGTCAGACGACGCCGCCGGCTCGCAGGACGAGGGTCCCGAGTTTGCTCCTGACGAGCAGGAAGACCCTTCTGACTCCAGCGATCACGATGCCTCGGACGATGGCGACTTCGATGTCCCAGACAGGTCTGCCTCCGTACAAAGCAACGCCGCTTCCGACCGCGCCGCCTCAGTCTCGGTTCGCCCTGCCGTCAAGCGGAAAGCCGCCCAAGTAATAGAAGATGAATATATGCGAGAAAACCCCGAGTTGTATGGCCTGAGACGTAGTGTACGATGATTCCCTACCGTGTCCCCTGTGCTCCGCAGCTGACACTCGGTTCACATAGTCGCGTCCCATCCAACGCCGGAAGCTCGTTAGTACTCTCTACAGGTGGCCACCTCAAGCTGTGCGCTGACTCTCGCTGGACAGGTCGATTCAGACGACGAAGAGGAAGGATCCGAGTCTGATGTCGCCCAGGCGCCCCGGAAGGCGGCCAATAAGCGTCGTCGCCTCGAGCGGTCCCTGCCTGGTGCGTAGAATCTCAATTTCTGAACATGACCGTGTTGCCCGGCTGTGGCTAATATTTTCTTGCTTTGACAGCTTCCAAGCGAGGTACACCGGCCCGCCAGACCTCTGCTGACGATTCAGACTCCGATACCTACGGCGGCGCGAAAGCCCGCAGCTTCCGGAAAAAGGCTCGCCGGCAACAAGAGCTACAGCCCGAACTGGCCCTCGTCGAGAAGCGATGGTCCAGCCGCCGCGCTGCTCAAGTCTCGGTTGGTGCCTACCAAGAAAGCGACGCCGATGAGGATGACGGAGAGGATGGGGCTACCCCGAACTACTGGGCCGCCGGTGTGGAAGACAACTCGCCCTACATTGAAAAGATCCTCCGCCACCGCCCCAAAGAAGGCGTTGAACTCACACCTGACGCTACCCGCCACGACTTTGAGTATTACATCAAGTGGCAGGGGAAGTCGCATCTCCACAACACCTGGGAGACGACCGAGACTGTTGCTGGGTTCCGTGGATTTCGCCGGCTCGAAAACTACTACAAGAAGACGGTGGAATACGAGCTTGACTTAAAGTTCGGCGGTGACGAAATCAGCCCCGAGCAACGCGAGCAATGGTTGCTGGACCGCGAACGCGAAGAAGAGGCCCTGGCAGACTACACCAAGGTTGAGCGTGTTGTTGCCGTTCGTGATGGTGACGACGGCCGCGAGTACTTTGTCAAGTGGAAAGGGCTCCAGTATGATGAGTGTACTTGGGAAGATGCTTCCCTAATTAGCAGTCATGCCCAGGACAAGATCGACCAGTTCTTGGACCGGACATCGCGCTCCTGGCAGTCGGATAAGAAGCAAACGAACCCCGAAACCCGCTCGAGGATGACCAAGCTGGAGAAGCAGCCATCTTACATCAAGGGCGGCGAACTTCGCGAATTCCAAATGAAGGGCCTCAATTTCCTTGCACTCAACTGGACTCGCGCCAATAACGTCATCCTGGCTGATGAGATGGGTCTCGGCAAGACAGTCCAGACGGTCTCGTTCCTCAGCTGGCTGCGCAACGACCGTGGCCAGGAAGGGCCGTTCCTTGTCGTAGCGCCTCTCAGTGTGATCCCAGCATGGTGCGACACCTTCAACCACTGGGCTCCAGATCTCAACTACGTTGTCTATCTTGGGCCCGAGGCGGCTCGTGCCAACATTCGCGAATACGAGCTCTTCGTCGACGGCAACCCAAAGAAGACTAAATTTAACGTCTTGGTGACATCGTACGACTATATCCTCGCCGATTCCGACCATCTCAAGGGCATCAAATGGCAGGTTCTCGCCGTCGACGAAGCCCACCGCCTCAAGAACCGCGAGTCACAGTTATACGCCAAGCTTAACAGCTTCGGCGTCCCTTGCAAGGTCCTCATCACTGGTACACCAATCCAGAACAACCTTGCCGAGCTGTCAGCGCTCCTGGATTTCCTCAACCCCGGCAAGGTCCTGATCGACGAGGAGCTTGAGTTGCTGTCGACCGCGGATAACAAAGAGGCCACCGACGAGCAGCAAGACGAGGCCAAACGGTTGAAGACACAAGAGAAGCTCCGCGAGCTGCACACCGCCATCGCACCATTCATCCTGCGTCGAACCAAGGAGACGGTCGAGCAAGATTTGCCGCCCAAGACCGAAAAGATCATCCGGGTCGAACTGTCGGACGTTCAGTTAGAGTATTACAAGAACATCCTCACGCGAAACTACGCTGCACTCAGTGATGCGAGCAACGGTCATAAACAATCGCTGCTCAATATCATGATGGAGTTGAAGAAAGTCAGCAACCATCCATACATGTTCCAGGGTGCCGAGGAGCGGGTCCTCGCTGGCAGTTCCCGTCGCGAGGACCAAATCAAGGGTCTCATCACAAGCAGTGGCAAGATGATGCTGCTGGACCAGCTTCTTGCCAAGCTGAAAAAGGATGGCCATCGGGTTCTGATTTTTAGTCAGATGGTCAAGATGCTGGACATACTGGGCGACTATCTCCGAGTGCGGGGGTACCAGTTCCAGCGCCTCGACGGCACAATCCCCGCCGGCCCTCGCCGCATGGCCATCAACCATTTCAACGCCGAAGACAGCGATGACTTCTGCTTTCTCTTATCAACGAGGGCTGGCGGTCTCGGCATCAACCTGATGACCGCTGACACAGTCATTATCTACGACTCGGACTGGAATCCGCAGGCCGACCTGCAAGCGATGGCACGGGCCCACCGGATTGGGCAGAAGAGACCTGTCAACGTCTATCGCCTGGTTGCGAAGCAAACCATTGAGGAGGAAGTTGTCAAACGTGCGCGCAACAAGCTTTTCCTCGAGTACCTTACCATACAGGCTGGCGTCACGGATGAGGGTAAGGCCCTCCGTGAGCAGTTCAAGGAACATGGCTTGAAGATCGACGAGGCAAAGACCGCCGAGGATATCTCCATGATCCTCAAGATGCGGTCTCAGAATTTGTTTGAGCAGTCTGGCAATCAAGAAAAGCTGGAGCAGCTCGACATCGATGCAATTCTCGAGAATGCAGAAGTCACAAAGACAGACATCGATGACAAGATCAATCTCAGCAGCGGCGGAATCGACTGGGATAACTGGATGCAAGTCACCGACGTCAAGGTAGATGACTTGAACCTTGACTGGGACCAGATCATCCCTGCCGACCAGCTTGCCGCCATCAAGGCGGAGGAGGAGAAGAAGATGCATGATGAATATCTGGCAAGGGCCATGGAAGAAAGCGCACCCCGCAAAGCTGCGCTCAAGGGCTCTAAAAAGAGCGTTGAAACAGAACGGGCTGAGCGTCTCGCCAAAAAGAGGCAGCGCGAAAGGCAGGAGCAAGAAGACTTAGAGGAGCAACGAGCGCTGCTTCAAGACCCGCGTCGTCCTCTCAACGAGAAGGAGACCCGCAATCTCATCCGCGCATTTTTCCGCTACGGCTACTTCGACGACCGCGAAGACGAAATCGTTCATGACGCTCGCCTGAGCGACCGAGACCACGGCTTCCTCAAGTCCATCATCGAGGATTTGGTTGCTGTGAGCAAGCGGGCTGTGGATGAGAACAATGAGAAGCTGCGCGAGGAAGAAGAGAGAGCCGGAAAGCCGCTTGCGAAAAAGGATAAGAAAGCTGTCTTGGTCGATTTTGGGGAGGTCCGCAAGGTCAACGCCGAGACTGTCGTCGAACGTCCGCCCCAACTAAGGCTGTTGCGCCGTGTGCTCCGAGAGCACGGTGGTGCCTTGACGTTCAGACTAAACGAGGCCAGCAAAGCGGCCCAGTATTCATGCGAATGGGGGGCCCGAGAAGACGCCATGTTACTCGTGGGCATTGACAAATACGGCTTTGGTGCTTGGACGCAGATCCGGGACGACCCGGAGTTACAGATGCGCGACAAATTCTTCCTCGAAGAACACCGAGTGGACAAGAAGGAGGAGCGTAAGAGGGCCGAGGAGAAAGTGATCCAGTCTCCAGGAGCTGTCCACCTGGTCCGGCGGTCCGAGTATCTCTTGTCTGTGCTCATGGCCAAGTACGCAGATGACGCGAACGCTAAGAAGGCCGTGGAGAACCATCACCGCAGCAAAAAGCTGTTGACGAACGGCATACGTCGCGGCGACGGTAGCTCTGTCTCGGCCTCGCCGGCTCCACCCCTTTCCAAGAAGCCGAGCCAGCACCGTGACCGCGATCATCACCGGTCGTACAGCAACGCCAACGACCGCGGTACGCCTCGGCCGGACAAGCGAAAGTATCCCGAGGATTACGAGGATCGCAGCTCCAAGCACCGGCGGCTGGAAGCTGACAGCAAGCATGAAAAGAAAGCCAAGGACAAGGAAACGGAGAAACCCAAGTTGGATCCCGAGACTATGGAGCGGTACAAACGTGACAGGCAAAAAGCGGTTGAGCGGTTCCAGGAGCTGGCCAAACTTCGCGACGACGAAATTGACAGCTCAGACAACGCACAGCTTGTTTGGTCCGTTTTACGGCCACTCAGGCCAAACATGGAGCGCATCATGCGTTCCATGGAGCAAGTTCCCGTTAAGAAGGAGCGGGCCAAGCTCCTTGGCGAGGAGATACTCATATTTGGCAACTTCCTAAAGGGCTTGCGGGGGCAAAACGGCAACGATCTTGACAGCTTGGAGCCCCAGTTTTGGTAAGTGCCCCTATGCGATCGTTGCGTTGCTCACGGCTAGATACTAACGACCGTCCCAGGAACTTTCTGTCCTCGATCTGGCCCATAGGAAATGTCAGGGTGTCTGGGAATCGACTTCAGAAAATGTTCCGCGAGCTTTCTAACAAGGATAGGGAGAAGCAAGCAGAAGCCCCTGCCAACGACCAGAGGCGTGTGAAGAACCCGGACCTAGAGGATGGGGAGATTGCGAGCGACCGCGAGGAACGCCGCGCCCGGGATCCGTACCGCGACGACCGGCGACAGGACCGTCGCGAGGAGAGGCGTGAAGAAAGGCGCGACGAGAGACGAGACGACCGTAGGGAGGAGCCCACACGCCGCAACTATTATGAAGACGGCGACCGCCTGAATTTTTACCGCCATCGCCGGCCGGACAACAGGAATGTCCCCGTCCGGCATTCGTCGTGGCAGAGCCGGAGTCCGCCGGCCCGGCGTAGTCCTTACTGAAGGGCAAGACCGCAGTGTTGATATCGTTTTCCCGCCGCTCTAGCATTGTCATTAGCATTGTCATTGTTCTTGTCAATTGACATAACCCGCCGTCCGTTATCCTACCGATTCTATACAAGCATGCATTGGGCTTGGCGCATTTGGGGGGTGTGATGTGCGTTTTTTCGTTTTGTTCCTTCTGTGTGTTCTCAACCCGCAACCGATAAAATTCCATGTTTTGGGGCCTGCATCATTTGATGGATCACGGAGCGACGAAAGAGAAGGCGCCATGGCATCATTTTCGAGGGGTCCAGAGAGAGGTTCAGCAGGACTGAGTAGTGAAGTTCAAGTTTTATTATGCGGCAGGCACATGGAGCGAGGGGAGTGGAGAAAGAAAAGGGTCTTGTGCATATTAGCATTGCTCGAGCTGTGGTTTGTGACACGACCGCGGTGTTTTCATGTCTCGGGCTTCATTACGCTGTGACCTTGGCTATGGTCACAGTTTTACGGATGGTACAATGGCAATCTTTTTCGGTTGGACGAGGGGGGCCGAGGAAGGGGAGTGGCATAACGTTAACATGAGCTAGATCATGTAGAATATTGCTTTTTTCAATGCAGACGAGCGTGGTCGTGAACCAAGGATCCTCAGCGGACTCATCATCTTGTCTAATATCAACAAAACAGCCATGATAGACGAACAAGATGATGAGAACAGGACTGCCCGAGTAGATAGAGAGGCCAGCGGGCATGTCCCTGTACCACCCAAGTCCTCAGCTGCCCTAATAAACAAAGTGATTTTCCTCTACCACATCTGACTAGTAGTGCAGTCCCTCTCGAGGAGAATCCGATGTCGTCGCTGCTGAACTCCCATCCATTAACAGAATTAGAGTCCCGCCAATCTCCATACAACAACTGCGGTTGCATATCACACCCCGCTCAAAACCAAGACCCAGGGGTATTATATATCCCAACCAACACTCTGGCCAGGGGTTTCGCTGCTTTTTACCCCAGGAGAGCAGCCCAACAACACCACATGCAACCAACCCACCCCAGTCGGGCTTAAGTAGCCGCATAGTCAGACGTCGCATACTGTTGTTACAAGCGGTTTCCACTTCCCAAATCCACCTCCCGAGGAACAGTCGTATCTATGGGTGGGTGGCAGGCAACACTCCCCGTGTGGTAGTTGACATACGCCCTTCTCTCGGCGTCCCAACCTCCCCCATCTGCTCACAGGAAACCCCATTTTCTCATCAATACAATCAATCAATCAATCAGGTGCCCCATACTCCTAGGCTTGGACTTCGGTGAAATCGTCGCGGCTACGCCCGGGGCGTTATCCGCATTGGTATTCTCGGTCGGCGTCCTAGGCGGTTCAGAAGACGCTGACGCTGCTGTCCCCTTTCCCTCGGCCGCTGCCCAACCAAGCGCACCAAGAGGACCGCTGCTGTTTGATGGCGGTGGGTGCGGGGAGACTTTGAGCGGGGAGGGCTTCTTGCCGACACTGGGTGTGGGCCGCAACGAAGGGAGGCTAAGATAATCGCCGGGAAGATCCAGGGGAGAGGAAAGGTCGGAGGAAGAGGAGTCGGCTTCTTCTTCGGAAGATGGCCGATTCTGTGGCGTCTTGGCGTTGTCCTTGTCCTTGGACGGGACTGCCGCCGCTGCTGCTGCCTTGATCGTGCGGAAGGTCTGGTCAAGCCTGTTTCTGGGCTTGATTGGCTCCTTCTTTGGCTGTCTGGGATTCCGCTTGTTTGTGGCACCCTTTCGTGGTTTGGCCGCTGGTTTTGAGACGGCCGAATTACCGAAGACGAGCGTGCTCTGCTTCGTTGCGGGTTTTGCCATCGGCTTGACCGAGGGAAGAGGGCTCCGGACCCGGGGGCTGGCGCTGGGCGTGGGCATACCGCCGTTTCTGAGGAGCTTGGGTTCTCGGCCCGCGGCTGACGGCGCCTCCACTGAAGAGCCGAAGCCTTCCTGATCCACGCTTGTCCGGCGCCTGGCCTCGAGAAGCACGTCGATTCTACCGCGATTCAGGCAGTCTGCGCACCGCTTCTCCCTCTGCTCGTCGCCACTTATCATGTACGTGTCCGGTTCGCCGATGTCTTGTTGATCCCAGCGCGGTAGGCTGACCAGCTCGGCAATGTCGTCGCACTTTCCCCTCACGACAAGATCCCAGCAATCCTTGAACTCGACGCCTTGCGGCTCAGGTTCGAGGTTGATCCAAGCGGTTATGCCGTCCCGCCGGCTCCTGGTCAGCTGGCACATCTCCTTGACGATGCGCCGCACTCCGGGAATCTTTAAACTTGTGCCCACCACGATAACGGCATCGGGCACCCTGCGCAGGTCGGCCTTGGACACGTTGCCGATGGCTTCCTCGTCCGGGTTGTACTCGTTGTACAGGACGATCCGCGGACGCAGCCTGCCGATGCCATGGCTCCGCTTTCCGGCGAAGGTTGTCCGGACCTGATCCTGCTCTTTGCAGTTCTCGCACAGCGGGGGTTCGGGACCCTGGAATAAGGACGCGTTGAAGGGTTCCAGGTGGCCACACTTTGTGCACACCATCTTCTCGAGCCCGCCATGGAGCTGGATGGTGGTCGGCCAGGGGCCCTTGCAGTTCAATGGGACCGTGGTCGCGAGCGGCGGCATCTGGGTGTCGAGGGTATCGATATTCTGGCTATACATGCGCATAAGTCTGCCTTCGGCAGCAATCGAGGCCAACATGTGGTGGAACGGGGTCGGCTTCGCGCCGGCCGTCATCTGGGCCAGCTCACGGACCATGGCATGGAATGACTCGGTGGACGAATCATGCTTGTACACTGACGCGTCAAAGAGATGCTTGCCGCATGCCTTGAGCTTGTGCTGACCACGGAGGGTCGCGAAGAGGCCCGTGGAGGAGCGGAAATCGGGAACTGGTAGAGCAAGAGTTGTTAGCGACTGCGACAGGTATTGTGCCGGACCAATTGAAAAAGGGAACATACTGCCAGCCGATACCGAGATGCCAGCGCCGGCAATGACGACGATTTTCTTCTTCTTCCTCAGGGCCGAAATGAGCCTCTCGAGATTCTCATCCTCCCCGTCACCGCGGGGATTTTCGAGGTCGATGTAGGCAGTCGTGCGCGGCTTCGTGGGGCCAGCAGTGCGTCGGCGCTTGGCCGGAGGGGGGCCATCTGTTCGCACGCGGATCTCGTCGGTGGATTCTGCCATGCCGAAGGGCTTCAAGGGCGACGCGGTCCCGGGGGTCAGGGTGCTGAAGCTGGAACTGGGCGAAGGATAGCGTTGAGAAATGTCTAGCACCGGGCTAGGTGGAGAGGGCGACTGCGAGAGGACCGAGAGCGGGGATGACGGAGGTGAGGAAGACTGGTGATGTTGCCTCGGCGACGCCATTGCTGTCAGGGCGTGCGCTCGGCTGGGTGGAGGCGGCACAAGAGGAAGCTGGCTGTCAGAGAAAGCGAATCGGCGCAGGCGCAGATGCAGAGGTGGTGCGGAAGGAACGACCGAGATCCCTGCGGGAAAGGATGGAGGGTGCGACGTTATATCATGGCCGAGAAGTCCAGCTCGCGTGTTGTTGGCACTCTTTCCCCCTCTCTTTAAGAGCAATGATCATATAAACGTAAGTATCTGCCAGATTAACAATAACAGCGATCACCGGCGGGGCTTTCGCGTCCAGTCGCGTAAATGGTGTGAATCAGATGAAAAGGTACAAGACAGGTAAAAATCAGCGCGCGTTCATTGTGACATGAAGCTGATTTTTTGGGCTGGGACATTTGTTGCCGGAGGTGTTGGCGTTCTTCGACGAGGCGCGGGCCCTGCGGCAGCCAGTCACAGCAAAAGGGTATTCCACTGAACCAGGGATGCGAGCCGGGATTGGCAAAGCACATAACAAAATTACGTTACGTACCAATAGTTACGAAGGTGATAATACACCGTACCTAAGGTAAGGTAGGTTGCTACCTTAGCAATGTGGATGGCAAGTAGAGGGACTAGGTAGTCCAAGTCACCTACCCTAGGTACGCACTCCAATGCACTGGGGACTATCCATGTTGGACTTCAGCAAGTTTGTTGGCGTATGCTTTGCAAGAAATTTGCACCATGTGCCAGTGGTCAACCCTTCAAATCTAGAATACAATTGCACGGTAAGTTAACTCTTCAATGGAATGAGCCGATCTCTATCCGCCTCTCCGTTGTCACTCCGGGTTGAGTCGGCATCGCAGATACTCGGAACGCGGCAATTGGAAAAAGAAAGTCGTACAAGCGTGACTCTCCTGTGGTAATTGATGTTGCCAGTATCTATCTGCACCACTCTTTTCTTTTCTCGAGTCTGAAACAGATCGCTGAAGAATGACGTACCAAACTTCCTTCAATCAATTCCGTGGGTCTCTTTGGACCCACAAGCACAACGCAACCCAGTTGCCCGGAAACGGAGGTCTTCCAGGTTCCTGGCAGCCTGCAGGTAACGAAGCAGCCACGAAGACTGAACCACAGTGTCTCCGATTCCAACGGAACTTTGCCTTGGTTTGTACTCGCGTACCCCGTACATTGTAAGATTCCTGATTGATACTCCTTTCCAGGTTGATAAACTGGATACCAGGTCTTTCATGGTGATGTGTAGATGAGAAAGACAACTACTGCATGAGCACCCACGGTGCATAATGACCTGGGTATTGAGCAGTAGGTCGTTTCTGGTCCGCCTGACGCGGTCTGCTCTTTATTCTTTGTATCCCGGAGTTGCGCGATATCGCTCCAGTTAACCAACACTTCTCAACTTATACAACTCTCGGACACTCACGCAGCACCAAGCAAGCCAACAACCACGACACACTCTTCAACAAGCTTTTCTGAACCAGTGTCTGTTTGGTTAGTGGTGCTTGTTGCCCAACCACGCTATGAGCGCCCAGGACATGTCTCTCCTGATGGAGGACCACGCCATGAGCGTCGATGGAGACATTGGGAATCTCGACGTAATGCAAGGCCTAGATGGCATGGAGGTTATGGGGGCTATGGATGGCATGGAGAGCATGGGGAGCGCCATGGCGCTGGACGACGTCGACCTCTTTGGGGATCCCGTCATGGACGACCCCCTTGGGGGCCCCCTTGGCGCTCCCTCGCCGCGGTCCTTCCCGAGCAAGCATCTGCAGCAACGCCTGGATGACCTGCGCACCCGCGGCTGCTGCCAGACCATTGCCTGGTCGCGCCAGGGCACCATTGCTTCCGTCGCCAAGGACGCCATGTCCATAGACCTGCGCTTCATCCGCTGCAACCCGGACACCACCGAGTGGGAGCTGAGCGAACCCGCCTCCTGGTCCCCGTCCTCAAGTGCCGCCCCCTTCGTCCACCTGGCCTGGTCCCCCAGCGTGAGCCCGGAGCTCGCCGTCCTCGACGCCCACGGCCGCATCACCGTCCTGGGCTTCTCCATTGCCAACAACCAACCCTATCCCGCCCGTCGCTGGGAAAGTGACGTTGTCGACGATCTCCACGCCATCGTCGGCTGCTACTGGCTTCCCTTGGGGATGGCACAGAACAAGCCAGTAAGCCATCTTCTTTCTCCCAATGCCGAACGCCCGCTCTGACTAATATACCAAGTTTTATGTAAGCCATGGACCCGCCATCATAAACCAGTCCGAACACCGGTACGAGCATCAATTCCACCAGGCTTTTGGTCCCTGGCATCCCAACCCGGCCAAGAGTGCGTTGCTATGTGTCACGACAAGTGGTTCACTCAAGTTGTTGTTCACGGCGAACAGCCAACGACCCGAGGAGACGGCCATTGAGCTTGAGAGCGTCACGTCATCGGACGAACTCATCACCCACGCCTCGCTTTGTTCAGACAAGAGTATGTATCCCCCATTCGCATTCCCACAGGTCATGAAGCTGATACAGGTCGCTAGACACTCTGTTGATCGCCCTCGCGACCGCCTCAAAACAACTGAGGATTGTGCGCGTACAAATCCAATGGGGCGTACCTCAAGTCGACAAGCAGGTGCCTCCTGGCAGCGTGCCCCTGAGGCCGTCGCTCAAAGAGAGTCATGTGGCCGTGACCAGCTGGTTCCAGCATGGCCCTGGTGAATCAGCCTTGGACGTGCCCATGGCTCAGCTCTCACACATCGAGATGCTTCCCTCCGTCCCCGCCATGCAGGCCCAGCCCATGAGTCATGCTCTTGTCCTGACAGTGCGGTCCTACATCCCACAGGACGGCTCTCCGTACCATCAAAATGGTCAGAGCATCATTGACCGCTGGGAGGTCGTCAATGACCAGCCTCAGGCCCTCCACCCGGCTTTTGAACAGTTAGGGTCCAAGAACGGCGCTGCATCCGCACCTCCTGTAGGTCCATCCGGCAAGCTGACCCCGAGTGGTGCCACAAGGACGGCTAACCCGGGTTCTAGACCACGGCGCGGCTACGCAGACTCGACCCGATCATACTGCCCAAAATCGTTGTCACCATCACAACAACACAATTTGGCAGGGTGCTCTGTTTTGCATTCAGCGATAGCACCATCCAGTACCGGGATCGCTTCACCATGAATGAGTTGTATACCGAGCAGAACACCAACAGCATTATGCATCCACTACAGGCTGGATTCCGGTTCGACAGTGGTGTCCCATGTGAGCATTCCTTTGGCCCATCACAACAGCCAGTCTCTCTTGCGTCTCGTTGACACCAACTTCCCCCCTCAGGTCTTCAAGTGGCCTTCTCCCCCACCAACTGCTCCTTCGTCCAGATCTGCGACGACTCGACAGTTAAATGGGTCAGGTTACAGTACCCAATGCACGACCCAAATGCGGAGCTGCAACCTGGTAAGTAGTGACCATCCTCTGCTCCGAATACAAGTTCCCAAGGCTCACTCACTCGGGCCATCAGCCGATCAAAAGTCGGTACTACTCGCGTTGACGGTCGCCTCATCCGCCATCGCGGTGAACCAGGCCGCCTGCGACGACGTCTTGGCAATAGCGCGGCCATTTGCGCAGAGACCAGAGTTCGCAAACGCATGGGTGCGAGAAATGGTCAACATGCTCAAAATCACGGTCGACTATTCGGAGGAGACGCACCACGACCAGCTCGTGCGCAACACACTGCTGCAGCACTGCTTCAGCGTCATCAACCATCTCGGCTACCGCGGAGACTTCAGGGCCCCGTCCCCTAGCGGCAAGTTCGCCATGCTCGCCCTAGGCCTGCGGAACATCTTTGTCGTCATCACGGTGGCCAGCAACACGGCGATAGGCTTCAAGGAGAAGCTGAACCCGCTGGACGACCCAGACGTCGTGCACGCCGTGGCCGGTTGCACCCAGTGGGGACTCTCTCTGTTCGCCTGGCTCATGGACGCCCTCCTCGACCTGGTCAGCGATAAGGAGGTCAAGTCCATCCTGAGCGACCCGAAGCGCTTTCCCGAGCTCGTCAAATATCTCCCGCCGAACCAGTACATCCCGCTGCAGATGATCCTCTGCTCCTCGACTCGAGGCCTCTTGTTAGCGGCTTGCCGTCGACTCATGCACGTCGAGACGGTCAGCAGTCGCGCCACTCAATACTACGAGAACCGAATCCAGCAGCAGCAACAAACACAAGACCTGTCCGCAGCCGCCGCGTTACGCCCCCACCCACAGCTCTACCAGGCCTATCAGCGGCTGTCCCTCTCCGTCTCGGACCCGCTCGTCAAAGTGTCCGACTTTGAGCACCTGCTGAGCGAGCTGGCCAGCGACATCCACGCGGCCTACAAAACCACCCTCTCGGGCCTCGGCGCGGTCAAGATGAAGGCCGCCGCCGCCGCCTCCTCCCAGCAGCAGCAGCACGCCGGCAACAACCTGACGGAGCAGCAGCAGCAGCAGCAGATTTCCGAGCAGCTCATCAAGAAGGCGCAGGCGCACTGCGAGCTGGACCTGCTCCTGGGCGGGAACCCGCCGCCCATGTTCCGCGAGGTGCTGCTAAAGCTCGTCACCGCCACCCTGCCCGCCTTCCTGCGCGACCACAACAACACCAAAACGGACCGCGCCGCGCTGTACCTGGCCAGACACCCCTTGCTCGGAGTGCACGACGATGCGAGGTTCTTGGCGATGAGGAAATCTGCGGGTGCCTACGTCGACGTGTTTAAGCGGTGCGAACTGGTAGTCGGCGAAACTCCCCGGGCCCGGTCGATGCAGGGCGGCGCCGGAGCGGCAGCAGCAACAGCCAACAACAACAACAGCAACAGTCATTCTAGGAGTATGACGACAACGGTGCCGGCCAAACGGAAGGCTGCCAACGCCAACAACGGGGAAGAAGCGGTGGCAGCCAAAGCAGGGGGCGCCACCGCCCCCGCCGGTGGAATCAATAATGAGAACGACATCAACGAGGGCAATGGGATGGCACACTGGAGGATGTCGATGCAGGGAAGCTGGACCGGCATTGGTGGGGCCGGCGGCGACAACAACAACAACAGCGGCTGCCCGCAGTGGCGCCGGTGCGTGCGCTGCGCGGCCGTCATGGAGGACATTTGGAGCGCGAAGCCCGGCTATCACTTCCTCTTGACGCAGCAGAGGAAATGCCCCTGCGGAGGGAGCTGGGCGACCGTGCCCAGGAGGAGGGTTTAAGGGGGGCGCCAGGCGGTTCGGTCGCCAGTTGGAGGTTTTGGGGGGGACGAGGAAAGACTAAACAGGTTGCAAGATCGTTGTCTTAGGGCCAATGTGGCTTTTTGAAATGACGGAAGAGGAATCGGAAGTTCAGCGGGGGTTTGGTTTGGCAGGCAAATAGCATATACCACCAGGAAGTGAGTCCGGGATCTGTTGCATCTCAAATTCAATATTTGCTTCGATCACCCAGGTATTTCCACAGCCCCTCGTTTTATTAACTCGTCATTCCCTCTCCCCCTCCCAGAGAAAACCCTGCTCCATGCCCGGAATCAAGGACCTCAGGGCCATGCCATAATCGCCGCCGTTAGGCGTCCGCAGCAGCGTGTGGATATGGAACTTGGCCGGCTCCTTGTTGGTCAAGAAGACGCCCGAGTGGTGGTCAAACTCGACAATGATGACGGGGCTCTGGAGGCGGTAATAAAAGGCGTCGTCGTCCCCGAACCCGCCGATCCAGCAAAAGTACGTCTCGTGAAACCACTCCTCAATCTCGCCCATCCGCGCCTCCCTCGCCCGCGCCGGCAGGTACAGCAGGTACTCGCGCAGGATTGCCCTCACCAGCTCCTTTTGCGGCGATTCCATCTCGGACACCAGCACCCCCTCGTACGGCACGACGCGGTTGTCGCGGTAGGCGCCGCACAGATGCCGCTGGTCGTCGTGGTTCCACCGGCCCTCAGGCATGGCCGGGTCCCGGAGCAACTTGTACACTTGCGCGCGGCGCTGTTTCTCGGCGTCCAGGCTCTGCATCAGCCGCAAGCCGAGCGTCTCCTCCTCCTGCAGGATGCGCGTGCCCCGGTAAGGGCCCGAGTCGATCAGGTTTGGCTCGGCGCCCGTGAACCAAGGGGAGATGACGGCCTGGGCCTTGTACAGGAAAACGTTGAGGCAGAGGTGATGGCCGTAGAAGGAGAAGCCCCAGGGGAACGTCTCGGAGGGAGCGCCGAAGAGGACCAGGTTGTACGAGAACTCGTTCATGACGCGCGGCGAGTTGACCAGGTCGCCCAGGAAGCCGTTTATGCGCATCGCGGCAAGGGCTTTGGCGTAACCCTCGGGCGAGAGGGTCGCTTCGAGCAAGGCGAGGGCGGCGGCGCGGGTGGCCGGGTTCACCTCGTCGAGGCGAATGCCCTTGTCGGAGAGGAGGAACTCCGGGTTGGACCAGGAGCGCCACTCGGGCGAGTCGATGTGGTGGCTTACGAGGGAGAGCTGGGCCCGGGTGAGCCGGGAGAGGAGGGCGTTGGCCGCGGAGACGATGGCTGTGATGGGCATACCGTCGTCTCGGAGGCGAAATAGGTCTGGGCGGACGCGACCTGAGCAACAAAAGTGTGAGTGAGCTGCGATATTGAAAGGGTGGAAGAGACTGGCAGACCATCGTTGGTGATACCCTTGAAGGGCTCCTGGAACAGCTGGCGCCAGTGCAGATACAGGCCGTGCAGCCATGGCGGGACGCCGCTCTCCTTGAATGCCTTTGCGTACTCATGAGCGTCCTGCTTCTGCATGGTGGTGAAGCGGGGAATGCTGAGATCAGGGAGGTGCTGGCGGTAGGCAGCGCCGCTGTGTTGGTCGTCTGAGGCCATGGTGATGCTGACTTAGGCTGCTTGACCCGAAGACTGTGAGATGAAATCGAAGATGAGATGGAAGGATTGAACCAGACAAACAATCAAGTGATCGTGGCCTGAGACGTGACGTGCAACTCCCCACTCGGGAGCTGCGCGGTCCCTGACAACGACCCATCCGGAGGTTGAAGTACAGCCCTCCGGCCGGAATCTGGAGGCAAAACTATGACCCGGAGAGCTTGCTGAATTCACGGATGCTGCAAACGGAGAGAGCCTGGCCGGATATTCCGAGGATGGCTCGGTGGGGTCCCATGTTGTGGGGGGGTATCGGGGGATCTGCCCCTCCCCCGCTGTTTAGACGGACCACTGTTAACACCTCCCCTTGCACACACTGGACTGCAGTGGAGCAGGCATGAGTGCAGTGCATAGGTTGGTGAGAACGCGGCAATCTGTGGTTTGTCGGCATCGAGATGCTCCATACCTTATTATCAGCCTGCTATTACTGTAGAAAGAGTAAAGGGATGTCCAAAAACACATCAGCTGCTCACAGAGCCTTAAACTTGACATGAAACAGATCGATGGCCTTCCTCAACACCCTCAGCTCGTGGATATTGTCCTGAATAGCTGCAGTTTTATGGACCACGCCATTAGCATCAGTACACCTCTTCAACAACGGAGAACCATCAAAGGGAGGGGGAAAGGAATCAAGGACTCACCTCCAGGCTGCCCCTTAGCCTCCAAATGAGCCTCCCTACTTGTCCACCCAATAACCATTCTCACCAACTTTTCATTCTCACCCCCCCTGTTACCATTGCCATTGCCATCCCCATCCGTCAAGCCAACGCCCTCCCCAACCGCAGCACCCCTGTAACCCTCAGGCGGATTGTCATCCACGGCGCCCACAAACCGTCGCACGTTCTCCACGAACCCATCCTCGGCACCAAACGCCGTAAACACCTCGGTGCAGGGGCCGCTCAGCACCGAGCTCCAGGCCTGCGGAACCGCAAAGGCAAGCGTCTCGTGTGCGCCGAGCGACGACGAGCAGTATAAGCCGCGCGCTGCTTTGGCGACGGAGGACCACTCTAAGGTATCCAGGCTGATGAGTGTCCCTCTGATAATATCCCCGCCCAAAAACCAGCAGCCCAGGAGGCAACTTACCGGTGCACAAGATCCCCGTTTCAGGTTCCTCCATCTTCACACCAAAGAAGGCCCGTTGGAAACCGCTCTGCTGCTTGAGCTCTTCCAAGACCGCGGCTGAGGGAGCCTGCGTTTGGCTGAGAGCCTGAAAGACGACGACCGATGATGGAATCGTTGCTGACATGCTGTCTTTCGCCTTAAGGCTGCACACGCTGTGACGAGCTAACTTGCTTGCCCCACCAGGACATCAAGTTCGTTGTGGATGAAGAGGAAGCAATCAGACCAACGTCATGACCGGTGCACCAATGCATTTGTGATCCCTCTCGGCAGGTGCCCACTTGCCCGCTTGAGAAGCACACCTCGCCGCCCGGGACACCATCACCACATGTGGGATACTCTCAAGTCGAGAGCAACAGAAATTGGCGACAATGCCGAGCTTGAATTTGAGGATGTCCGAACTAAACTACCGTATCTAGGTCGAGAATCACAACAGCATCTCTCCCACTGAACACAAGTCCCCACCCGGAGTCACCTTGTCAAAAAGCAGAAAACAATACGGAAAAAAGAAGAAAAAAAAGGAGCAAAAAGGGGTAACCCTCATCAAAACACCAACGCCGTATAACAGCACCCGATGATGGGCTTGGTGACAGGCGACGTGCAGCACACCGGCCACCGAGAGAATGCGACCAGCCCAGCGCACTGCCCAGTGCCAATCACGCTGCCAGCGAGCGTTTCGAAGCGCACCTTCGTTTCAGAACGTACAATCCCCCGGTAGCCACACCGGAGAATCATACGTTCAGTGAACCTCCTCCGCAAAAAGTGAGTTAGCCAGTTCCTGAAGTCGAAGGGCGGCTCGTCTTCACACATACCGGCCGAGTCCGAGACGCTGGCTCCGGAGCAAAGTAGCCCTCTGCACGCGGTCTGCTCCCAATGTTCCCTCCCCTGTAAAGGGATCGATAGGGAGCTCCGGCATGTCGCCCTTACTACAGTATCACGCTTGTCTCCTTCGAAAGGTCCCACTTGCTGGGTGAGTGACACCGAAACCCTCTCGCCCAGCAACACCTTGCGGTAGTGAGGGCCCGCTCCATCGATGTAAACCCATCTGTTTACACCGTGTTGTTTCCATCGAAAACGCAAATCAATGGCGAAGCGACCTGGAGCGCAGGGGAGGCGGCCGCCATGGTAATGGTTGCAAATGCGGTCGACTCGATTGTAGTCCACCGACCGTGATGCCTTGATCTGCGAGGTCGGGGTGCTGGTGGACGTCGGACGGAACGAGTCGCACTCCTGGATGATCCCGTGGATCTTGCTCCACTGACTCACTGAGGCCCTCTTGGACCTCTTGAAGGAAAGTGATTGGACTTCAAGTGTGAGTCTGTCGAGGGGCCTTTTATTGCCCTGCCCAGGACAAGACCTCACCAAAGGTCAACCGCGGTCCTAGCACCGCTGTGTAAGCAGGGGATCAAGCACCAGGCGCAGTGAAGGCAGGCACTCACCTCAGATTCGCCACAGAACCCGAAACCGACGTTGGAGACAGACATGACAGTCATTCTTCGAGTCCTCGGGGTCCTCAACCAGCCATGCATCATCGGTGTATCGCCCTCTCCAGTGTTTAGGACGCCGCAGGATCAAGCGTGTAGCCGAACGACCTGGACAACTGTGAGCACCGACTCAGGCGTGGACTCCAATGTCAGATGTGAGACTAACCTCGCAAGGGAAGACGCGCGGTGAGGGGGGCTGAGCTGGCGGATCGAAGGAAGCAGGAACTTGGGTTGACGTTTTTGTGGTTGTTGGCACCGGACCAAACTGACGGAGCGAGCACCCTAAATGGTGGTAATATTCTTGACTGACCGACGGAGCTGGCGAGGTTAGCAGATGGTGAGCACCTTCTTGATTTCGTGGGTGGTGGTGCATGGCCGTGGAAGCAGAAATCAACACGGCGTCGGACACAGATTGGTTGTTGAAAGCCAAGTTGGCTGAACGGCAGGGCGGTCGGCGTGGAAAGCAGATGACCGAATGATATGGCCTACTGTGGGCTCAAGAGATCACTCGTGTGGTCAAGGTGGTCGTTCTGGGCTGAGCATTACCATGGTCAGAATGGAATGTGAGAAATGAGGGGGATAGGAGAGGTGAAGAGGATGGAAAAAAGAACTGGAACAAGTGGGCGAGAACATGGCTAAATACCGGGGGACGGACTCAGAGACGAGCTCCTGTGATTGCCTCGAGGCGCGGTCTTGGATGAGGTGGAAGGAGGCGGCATACCATGATTACAACCCCGGGCTGAAGGAAGAGGGACTCTGGGGAGCTGCCATCCTCCCCAAAGCAGCCCAGTCAGCCATCTGATTGAAGGGGCGGCGGGATGCCTGACAGGCATTTGGGCATCTGGCTCCGAGTCCACGATGGAGCACCATCTTTGAGGAAATGCTGCCTGCCTTGTTTGAGGTCGATACACTCGAGGGCACGGCCGAGAAGGAAGATCTCTGGATGGAAGGCATTGAACAGTCAGTCGCCTACCTGGTCGACCCTGGCCTAGGAAATCGCCCCGGCTCCGTGAGGACACCGGCCCAAAGCACCGGTGAGATCAAGGACTTGCCGCTTTCCCAGAGGTCACATCATCCCAAGACGGCACTTGCACTACAAAACCCCAGCGATTTTCGTCATGCTTCTAGTATGCAGTGATTTACTGCAAATCGGAAGGTTTAATTCTTTGCCTCCTGCCACCGGGCATGACGGTGGATCGTACTTTCCGTCCACCAAGATCGGCAGCCACATCAACGGCAATGCAGAGACACTGGATCCGACTTGGGGCATTCACGTCCAATACCTGACGTACCTACCTTACGGACTCCGCGAGCCCCTTCGAGATCCATGAATGGCTGCAACCCAAATCTCCACTGTCAATCATTAAATTTCGGTGGGAGGAAGTTCGAGTCAAGGTTCCGTGGTCTCCCATGGGGTTACTGGGCGATGAAGCAACTTCCGACACCTTTCAAGGACGACGAGACAATCAGACCTCACCTTCCTTCTCGAACCTAAATCTCCGGTGAATGCACCTGGCTTCAATGGACACCTTCGAGGCAACCAAAACCGACCGATTCCACCAGTCCCTCAGCAGCGCATGGGCCAGCTTCCTCGGTGCCCAGCATTGCAATCACAAAGTCGATACACTTAGGAAGACGCTCGAAGGGCACATCCACCAGACCAACCTAAGCCTATCGTCTGTTCGGTGCGATGGCGAGAATCGGCACGAACAGCTTGTCACGGCAATCGCAGAGTCCAAGTCCAGAATTGAACAACACGCCGCCGAGCTCAAGGACGCAATCGCCTTCCAACGGAATCTCTCCACTCTTCAGCAAGAGACCAGCAATGAGAGCAAGGATGCATCAAGAAAAGTGACGGAGTTGTCCAAGCAAGTCCGGACGCAGCAGGAGGGCCTAGACGGGTTGCGGTCTAGCACGTCTCACGATATCAGAACCATCCAAGAGCAGTGCCGTCTGGCGCTTGAGAGAGTTGACTCCCTTCAAGAGGAGCTGAAGGAGGCCATGGCGCAGAGGATGGATTTCGAACAGAAAGTGGCCGCACTCGAGAGCCAAGTCAAGTCAATCACGCAGACATACAACTGTCTTTCTGAAGACAGTGTCAGGTTCTTGGGCGAGATCCATTCCCGGCGAGCCGAGCTGATCATTTTACTGAACAAACAATGCATTAATGTCAGTCCTCAGCACCCTCTGCACCCGTACATCGAGATGGGCCTCTCAATCCCAGAAGATCCGCCTGTCCACGGGCTGCATCATGGGGATCACCCGCCCCGAGCCTCGCAAGGCGACGAACACAGCCGCGCGCCGATCAACACCCCGCCGCCGGCTCCAAAGAGAAGATCAGAAGAGGAACCCCTCGAACTACCACTCAAACGACCGCACCCTTCCAACAACCGCAGCCAGGACATCCGCTCTCTCTACCTCGTCTTCCGAGACCGGTACAAAACCAGCCCGCCAAAGTCAGACACGGCCTTCATCTGGGAATTTCTCGGCTGCATCGAGGACCCGGCCATGTCCAAGCACATTCAAGACTCGCTCGCCGCCATCCTCCCGGAGCATGTCACGCCCAGCCGGGACACGAGACGCAAGAATCCGCGCAGGCACATCGACATCTCCAAGGGCCTGACATGGCGGAAGTTCCGGGAGGCTCTGGTTAAGATTCCTGAGCCGTCTTAAGCAGGGGGTGATTGAAAACGGACGGTGTTTGGGGCTTCTGTGTGGTTCGGGGTGTTGAACGAAGTGGATCGTTGCTCATGTCTTCAAGATAGGCTACAGACTTACTGAATACTTTGCTGGATTTGCTCGGCGTACGATAACCATGTAGCGGCAGCGGGAGGAGGGGTCCTATACCAAAGTCGAATGCCCTTGACATTTGCGGTTCTGATCCTGCCTTTAAGCATAACGATAGGCAAGGGCCCTGGCTCAGTGCCAGGAAATTTGCCTCCAAGTCGACGCGGCCCCGTTGATGTGAAACCTAAAACGAAAACAAACCTGCCCTTGGCCATTACACGCTCAGAAATACACACTAGGTGAAGTAGCTAACCACATGTTCCTCAGGTATCCATAGGGCACACTGCCAGAAACCCACACGCCTCACCACTCTTTATTGACCATTACAATCTCCCAACGCCTCGTGCTGAAGCACCACACCCTGCTATACCGGCTCAACAACCCACTTTCCATAACCCCGAAAAAAGCAAAACCCATAACCAGCCCATCCCTCCATAAACCCCGCCAGAAAGAAGAAACGGATTAGGAGGAAAACTCAAGCCCACCGCCGCCTCGCCTCAACAACCCCTTCTTTCCTCCCAGCAACATCCCTCCTCCCCATGCTCGTCCTTGCCGCACCGCCCTGACTCTCCTCCTCCCTCGCCGCTATCTCTACCCCAGAAGAACCAGCAACCTGATACACCCGAATCGTGTTAACCAGCCAATACGCCTGGGTAAACGCCTCGGGGTGGGCGCCGACAAAGTCCTCGCATCGGGCGGCCAGCGCCGCGCACGTCTGGTCGGCAGCCCACACCCTGCCGGCCCAGTCGCCGCAAAAGGCCGTGTTTAAGACGAGGTTGTGGTTGGCAAAGTGCTTGGCGAGGGGGCAGCTTGACGGGCTGCCGACGAAGGCAGCTAGGGGTGTGCCGAAGGTGGATGGGTTTGGTGATGGGGGGGAGTTGTTATTGTTGGTGGTGGTGGAGGAGAGTTGAGTGGCGAGAGGGCTGCCCCGCGAAAAGAACCAGACCTTGATAGAGGCGTCTGTCCACTCGAGTGCGTAGACGCCGCCGCCTGCGGCGTTGAAGCCGGCGCCGTAGTTGTTGGAGACGCCGGGGTTGTGCTGGGTGCAGCCCTCGTTGCCTTGGCAGTTGGGGGAGAGCTTGGTCCCGGGGAGTGAGCCTGCGTTGGTCACGGAACAGCCCGGGCCGGTGTGGAGCGTGACCGAGTTGGAGATCTGGCTGTTCACGCCTTGATGATGTCAACCTCGCCCGAGTTGGGCCAGTTGGGGCCGAACATCCAGAACGCCGGCCAGAGACCTCACGAGCCGGATCCTCCTGCGCCGGCGGGCATGTGGGCAATGTCTGCGATGAAGAGTCCCTTGGTGTAGGACGTTCTGGACGTGACGCGGACTGAAGGGCGCCCGGTGGTGGTGATGTTGGTGTAGTCGACGCCGAGGTAGACACCGCCCTGCGCGAAGCCTGCTAGGCCGTCGCGGCTGGCCGTGGCAGCATCGACGTATTTGACGAAACCGTGTGTTGGGTCTGGCTGAGTGAAGGAGGTGAACACGTTGGAGAAGTTGGTGGAGTCAAACACATCGACGATGTTGTAGTTAGAGGCAGCTCCCGCTGAGCTGGCTGTAAGAGCCAAACTGGCAAAGCCGAACGCTGGCCGGACCATGCTGCTTCCCGAGGGCTTTGATCACCCCTTTTCGTATATCTCGAAGTGGCCTCAACTCGGAAGACCTACTTCCTGAGCTTCCAGTGTGTGGTAAATGAGCAAATATCAGTTGGCTGCCCCTGGCAGATGTGTGCTGAGACCGAGGCCTGAAGCTCGAGACAACTGGTTGTCAACCTAAGACTTTGGCAACCCTTCTAAGTGATTCGAGTTAAGTGGCGGTTCCTGGGTCTGGAAGAGGCACCCGTTCGTGAAGTGAGCGTGGAAGGACACCTGGGTCTAGGAATGACGATATCTTGACAATAGCATTGACAGGTACGTGTCAACAGGAAAGCCGAGCGTCAAGAGTGGGCAAGCAACTGAGCAACTCGAGCTAGAAAATAAGAAAGAGCACAGAAGCTGAAGTTGAAGCTCAATAGCTATAGCCGCAAAAGGAACGATGGCTGTGGCCAAACCGTGAACCGGAAGAATGCAGGGATGGAATGGAATGGTCAAGAGGAGGCTGCGGTTGAGAAAGATGCCGATATGTCACCAGAGACAGGCATGGATGCACTTTGAATCTGCATGCAGCTCTGGATTCGAAACCAAAAGCGCCAAGCTACCCGTCAGAGGCCGCCAGGCAAAGTCTAACATGATGAGCCATGGTGTTTCGGCCTCGGCAGCAGTCACGGATGTCGAGGAAGGGGGGAAAGCTTGAGCCGCCCAAATTAGTGGGGTGAAACGGAACGATGCAACTGGCCAGTGGTAGCAGCATGGCATGTCAAAATGATTTCAATCGAATCTTGATCGGAACGGTCAAGACATGTATCACAACCCGGTTTCGGGATGTTGAGAAATCAGAGTTCGACTCCGAAGGGAAAACTGTTTGAAACTCGGCCCCGGCTCTGTTTGTTGAGTATTCGATGAGCAACGACATCCAGTTAATCTTGTGATTCTGAATTCGGTCCACTTCCGCAACCCAGTCAACAGTTGTAAAGGAGGCAGGATACAGCCCAGAGAAGGAGCTTGAAACCGGATGGCGATGAATTTCTCGGTGTTGTTGAAGTTGGAAGAAGTGAGAGCCAATCAACTGTTTTCCGGGGAGCACTTCTTGGCGCCCATGGTGGGGCCAGGTGCAACAGTAAGGGTCAGGGATAGCATTCTGACATCTGGTGAGATGTGATGAACTTCCGCCCAACGGAATACCAGTGGCATGAATTTGATATAATGTTGCGGGGTTTAGTAACTTACAGCAAGACATCTTATTTTGGATAGAAGCCATCAAATCCCACAGTACAAAGCAGCGTCGGCACCATTAGGCGGGGTGGAAGCCCACATTATCAACACAAGGCACACGACAAACAGCACTATGGAGAGTGCCCTAATCTTGATTCCATGTCCAAGCTCACCAACGCAAGCCAATCTCTCTATAGTATGCCACCCTTCACTTAAGAAGAAAAAGAGAGAAAAGCAGAAAAGGATGGGGCAAGGGAAAGGGAAAGAAGGAAAGAAGGGAGAGGAAGGAGGAAGGAATAGGAAAGTGATAGGTGGTTGGAACGGTGAATGGACAAGGGCAGAGTCGACGGCGAGAAGCAGTGAAAGGAGGGTACATAAAGTGATCCTGATACAACATATTTGTCACAGAGTCCGGGTGTTACCAGCTTGCCTGAGTACAATGCCATGATGATTGAAGAAAGCGTTCGGTTTGTCTCCAGAACTCCCATTCCTGATACCATTGCCTTTAACCTGCGGTCTTCGGTGTGTCTGAGCACTGTACAAGAGCAAATCAACACGCTGCTCACAGGTAATCTACGCTACCATTTGCACCGGCATATACTGAAGACAAAACAAAACTCCATACAATGCACCATATACGCCTTAGAACTCGCCCCGCCTGAATTCCTCCAGGACCATTCATGTGAAAGGAAACAATTGGCTCCGGAAGTTAGGTACCGAATCCCGCTCCGGGGAAGCTGTGCCGGAAGCCCGCCTTTTATGGATCAGGCACAAGTTCCCAGCGTCCCGCTAAAGGTGCTGACGGCAAAACGGGATAATCATCCACCCGTTCTGGGGTCCACCCAGCTAAAGTCATTTGGATATAAAGAGGCACGAGGCACGCTCGGGGAGGTGCAGTGGCTCATATTTTGCGCAACAATTCCCCCCGCACCTTCCTTCTCCCAGGATGGTCGACGCCTCTTAAAACTTCACCCTCTGTCCCGTGAGCTTGAACCAGATAAGCGCCAAAAAGTCCTCCTTGAAGCGCTCCCACCAGGACCGGTTGAGGTAGTAGCTGAGCTCGCGGAAGTTGTACATCTCGCCCCAGCAGTCGCGGCCCCACTCGCAGCCGGCCATGTTGACGAGGAAGTCGCGGTCCTTCTCGTGGTAGTGGATGCGCGCGTCGTTGCCGTGCTCGGCGCACGCGCCGCTCGGGAAGCTGTTGATCATGCGCTGCGGCAAAAACGCCGTGTGTTTGCGAATCCACGGCTGCGCAATGTACAGCTGCTCCAGGGCGTCCTGCTCCTTGTGCGCCCACTCCATGTGCTTCTGCTCGTACGCTACGGGATCCCACCACACGTCCAGCAGCCGGTCAGTCCACTCGCTCCGGCGGACGAAGAAGGAGCCCAGGTTGAACCCGGAGCAGTCCTGCGAGAGGACGAGGTTGATGGAGCCGGCCTTGCCGTCGCCGATCGGGCTCTGCGACTCGGCATCGAGGTATGGGTCGGTGAAGGGATGCGAGATGTTGAGCGGGTTGTATTCGTTGATGTCTCGGTAGACGTTCTTCTCGAGGTCGTCGAAGATGTGCGCTTGGAGCGAATAAGTAGGCTCCATAATGAACGTGTTCAGATCAAGCCACCAGAACCTAGAGAGCGCGCGTTAGATGGGAGCATGCAAAACAGCACAACCGGTCAGCGGGCATACCATTCGGCCTCGGGGTATTTCCTCAGGGCTGTGCGGAGGAAATCGACCTTCTCCCAGCTCTCCCGCCACTCATGGGCATACCGCTTCTTGGTACTCATGTCTACGATCTCGAGCTCGTAACCCCAGCGAGCCACGTATTTCTTCTTATTCCGGAGCGAGTCTCGCTCGATGGCCCATTCACGGGCACCCTTCCAGTCCATCACGCCGCCGCCGACGTTAGCCCCCAGTATTATGACGAACTTCTTCCCTCCGCCGAGCCATGGGGATCTCCGCCAGTAAAATACCAAGGCTGTTGTCTCTCCGAGTCAGCCCAATCGCATCTCATGTGTTCAGCAAAGCAGGGTTGTCACTCACGGCTGTGGTAGAAGACGTAAATGGGGAGCAGGATCATGAGCAAGATCAGCAATCGTATCTTCATCTTCCTGCCCATACGGGCCATGATGCCTCGTATCCTCCCAAGCAGCGGGAGGTGGTGGACTGACCACCTGCCGCGACCAAGCTTCTCCTTCTCGGCGTAGTGTGGGCTCGTGCTGAAGCGAGGCAGGCTACTCGACAGGCGGCGCATGTGCCGACCAAAGAAGCCCTGGTTCCTGGTGGAAAAGGAAGGGTATCCCGCGCCGCCGCCGCCGCCGCCCCTTTTTTGTCTCGCTGATCCCCACATGACCGGCGTCCCGCTCAATCTTGGGCTCGATTGACCGCTCGAAAGGTTGAGGCCTGGACTAGCCCAGCCGCCACCGGGTACGGGTGAGGGACTGCGTGATAGAGACATTGGGTCGTTTGGAGTGCCTAGGGAGAGGGGACAAGAAACAAAAGAGCTTCCGTGTTAGCCCCAAGCAGGTTGCGCAACCAACAAAAACCATTCGTCTCACTAGCTTGCAGCATGCAACCGACAAGGTGATACCGAACACGTACCTGGAATGGGCGAGAGGGGACCTAGAGGTTGATGGGGCTGAACTCCCAGGTATCGATCGCCCAATCGGAGGGTAGACGGCGGTGCGGCGGCGGACGACGACCGTCTTCGATGGTTATTGCGTGCGGGACGGTCGCTGAACGACGACGTCGCACCTCCGAAGCTGAAAAACGCCAGGTTGTCGGTTGCTTGCTCCCTTTTGGCGCCAAGGCCACCAGGGAGGCTGAACGCACTGGGTTCGAGAAGGGGGCTATGTTACCGGCTGGAAGAATTGGTGAGAGAGGACTGGCGTTGTGAGACGAGAGTTCGGGACGGGTTCGTCCAACAGGATCTGCTAATTCTTTCTGGCCGATTTTGTGTCTCCTCAGTGATCCTCGTGGCGCACCAAATCGAGAAAGGTGGGCGGTGATCCAGATCGGCCGGTATCTTGAAACTCGGTTTATGGAGGTGTCCCCACTTTGTGCTGCCCTCCTTGATTATTGTGGTGCAGCAACAATCAGGATGCAGTGCACATACGGATCACAGTTCAAGACAGTAGGACAAACAGGAACGGAGCAAAGGGGGTCAGAAAGAGGACAGTTTTTGGTGTGTCATCATCTCAGCAGATGAACATTGTCTTGTGCCAAGACTTTGAAGCTCACCTCCGACAGCAAGGTTCTGGCCCCCCCACCCCCCTGGGTTGATGTTTGGCAGCGTATTCCCCCTTGCCGAATGCTACCTTACCCTGGTAGTTATTTTGCTATGCCACACTGCCACAGTGATCGGAACGGCATATCTCAATCGCCATCTGTGGGATATGGCCGCCCACTCTTGGGAATGAATACTCCTGCTTCACTATTTCAAATTACATTAGTAGCGAGTTACCTTGCATATTCGGAGTATCCATAACATTGCAGCAATTGACAGAAGAGATAAACAGGGGGCCTGTCTGTGTGAACCACCGCAGACATGATCTCAACCTTTCAACCGGTGCAACGATTGTACTGGTCAAGACACTCTGCATCACCTTGGCAGTGTCGGACTGGACGCATTTCCACCCGGCCACAGTCGTAGTTGGCACATACACCTGCGTCCTATAGACATGGGACTAGCCTATGACTGTTAATGTTCACATTTTTGTGAGATTGAGCAAAACCAGAAGAGATTAGGATTTGGTTGTAGCAAGGAACGAGAAATCGCAATCATCACATCCCCGGGATAGGAATGGGTGTGTTGTAATCCGTACTGCATTGTTGAACAGAGAGCCAAGACAATTACAATCAAATCGCACATGGCCGAGAAGCAGAAGGTGGTTAGCATCTAAGCCAATCCCTCCAAGAACGCCAAACATATAGCTCAAAAATTGATAGGATGCTCAGACGGGGTCGCTTGCTCTAAGACGTTCTTAAGGATGGGTTGAAGGATGGGTTTGTGAGAGGCCATTTCCTGGCAGCAAGACCACTTAGGGTGGAAAGGACATAAATCGTTGGCGACACAGATAGACCATAAACTATGAGGCGTCCTCGGTAGGCACACTTTACCCATCCCAGTTTGCTGCGAGCTTGACGTTCACCAGTTTCATTCGACTCTCACAGGCCCGGAGGTACACTTAGTCACTTTTCGGCAATATCTAACCTTGGGAGCTGGAGTATCTGTGTAGGTGAGCGTCAGGCCCTGTCTGCTTGGTGGAAGCCTTGGCAGGCTCTAGAAAGACTTGGCAATCGCTATGGCCTTGCTGATAGAGGACCTCAAGCAGCGACTTTGAGGACTCTTTCTTATGAAACGGTGCAAGAGGACCTTGTCTTCTTGCCAGACGCTGGCACGAATTCGTTTCAGGCAACCGGGCGGTTCGAAGGACGCGGAGCCGCTGGAGTGGGTCTGTCTGTGGGCCGGCAATGGCTTGGCATTGGGAATGACGGAGCTGCTGGCTCCTGCAGGTGGTGCGCCTGCCATTTCCGTCATAGATTTTTGAGGAAATTACAGATTAAACATGATGGTTGAGGTCTTCACGTCCGAAGTCAAATGAACATGACTTGGTGAAAGGCAAATTAACGTGCCTACTTTCTGAAAAAGCGAGGCAGGGGCTGCCGTTTGTGTGTCGATTGGCCAGCCGTTGAGATGGGCAGTCGGCGACAAGGAACCAATCACGATGCGGGCCAACGCTCCGGGCGGTTCGCGTCGGCCAATCCATCAACGGCAAGACACCACAGAGCGCTTATTCCACACGCAAGACTCCGCAACATCAAACAGGAGGCGCTCTCGCTGTCCACACACAGCGCCCTGCTTGACGATGGCCATCTTGTCGCAGGCAAGGGCAGGCGCAAGCTGTAGCCGGCTAGCCATTTCCCGCGCAGCGATTGGCAACGGCGGCTCTCGCTTGCTGAAGGTAAGGTGAGGTACCCGAGGTAGGTAGGCAGATGAGTCGGACAATGAAAATGGAGAACAAGGAGACACGATACGCCGGCTACACGCTCGCAGCCTACGCAGCGGGAGTCGCGTCTTGGTCCCGTCTCCGACTGTTCCTTGTTCTGGCTTGACTTGGCCATTGTTCCTCGTTCGCTGCTTTTCATCTCCTATTGTCGGGGTTCGTCTTTGGCTCTCTTTGACTCTTGCCACGCGCCAACGAGCGCGCCTGATCTGGAACCCGTGTCTTTCTCTCTCTTTTTTCTGACCCCAACTCGGACATCTTGTTCATTGCCTGGGACTCGAGCACGTGGCGAAAACGCCATTGTTGAGCCAGTCCTGATTCTGCTTCTCACGCTCGCTCTTGATACGGCCACAACATCGACATCACCAACACGCAGTCACGATAGATTCTGTTGAACAAGAAATCTTTGCCAGCCAACTCGAGAACTACAGGACACGCACCAATACCGATCAAACAAGACTCGGAACCCGATACAAACATGAGCGATACGCGGGCGCTTCAGACCGGGTCAAGTAACGGGTCTTCGATCCGAAGCAGGGATGACTGGGAGGACTGGGAAGACGATGAGGTGCTAACGCCCTACATCGAGAAAGAGGGCTGCCTGCTCAGGCATGGGATTGAAAAAATCGAAGACGCCATGGTCGAGCCAGCACGACTGCCAGACCGACGAGCGTCGCGACGAATATCGCGACGGACGTCAAGCTCGGCCGCCCTTCATCCAGTCCAGAGGATACGGACGTTGAGGTCCCTTCACAGGCAAAAGGCGCAGAATGAGAAATTCGGCATCAAACTGGTCACCGACATGGCAAAGTTGCGCCAGCAGCAGCAGCAACATCAGCAACACATCGCGCAGCAGATGCGGCCGAGCCTTGAGCACCGGGAGAGCCGAACCGGCAAGTTTGTCGATGCCGCTGCCCTGAAGGCCCTGGAAGGCGCGCCGTCTGAAGATTCCATTGGTACCCTTGGCTGGCTGAGGCGGAAGCCGACCAAAGGCAAGAGGGTTCAAAGGTTGGTCGCTGAGGCGTCAACCCCGGCCGACCTATCCCCGAGTGCGGGGCCGATCATGATCGGCTTTGCTATGCCCTCGGACTCGGACGTTGTCATTAGCCCGCAGACTGCTGTCGTGGAAACGCCCGTCGACTTTCCCCGGTTCTTCAAGCCGGCAAAGGTTGCCTCGCCCAATCAGCCAACCTCTGCCTGGTCTCCCGATACGGAGGACGGCACCTCACCGCGGATTGATGAACGCAGCTACGTGCCCGCTGTTCCGTCCATCCCGGAGCACCACAGAGCTACCGATGTGTCGCCCCTCAGTGCCAGTGACAACGGAAATGATTTCGCAGCGGACGGGCACGAGAAGAGCTACCGAGATACAGTCACCACGCCGATATATGTCAGCGACGACGATGATGACATGGCAACTCCGGTTACATTGTTTGAAGAAGATGGCAGCCCTGCTACCACACAAAGAAAATCACTCAGGTTCAAAGGCCGGCAACGGTCAGCAACGGTGGGAAGCTCTCGATCTACAGGATGGTGGGACCAGGTGACCTCCCCATTCGCACCACCTACGCCACAGAGCCCCGGCTCAAACCAGCCCAAGCCAGATGAAAATCAAGCGTGGTGGAGGGACATGGATAAGAAACGAACTTTCACACCTGCTTCACCCAACTCAGTAGTCGAATCCTCGCGCGGTCCACGGAGCACTCCCCGACTCCAACAACAACCGCCAGAAATCATCATTGAAGACGTGTCGTCTCCAATGCCGTCATCTTCAAAAGTAACTCCACCGCCCTCGCGAAGGGCAGTCCAGCCTCAGAAGCCACGTGTAATAGCCGAAGAGGTACAGACACCTAGTGAGCTGCCGCCACCGTACTCGCCGCCCTCACAAAAACACAACATCCGCTACCGCGCAGTCTTCCCTGCTGGCCACCCCCTCAACAGCATGTATCCTCCATCGCCCGGTCCAGTTCCGCCCGGCCTGTCGCAAACCATGACATCTCAGGGCGCCATCAGTCTAACAGAGGTGCCTCTGACACCGCTGCCTGGTGTGCACCAGGCTAGGTTGCCAGATAGACCTCTTGGGTCGTTCGTGCCAGGCGATCATTTCACCGATGTATCTGGACGCGGGCCGAGACAGAAAGTAGAGCGGCAGCGGCGGAGGCACGAGAAGGAGGATGCCGTCGTCTGGAAGGCCGGGAGGCTATGGCATGGCCGGGGTTGTTTTCCCTGCTGCGGCTGCTTCGGCAGACCTGGGCGTGAGGGGAGGAAGAGGAGGCGGATATGCTTGGGCGTTTGCATCATGGTGCTGTTGCTGACCGCGCTGGGAGTCACACTTGGCGTATTACTCTCGCGGCGGACCGCCGGCGAGGCCACAGCGCCGCCCTCTCGGTTCCTCAACCTCACCGACTTCCCACCGATTCCCACGGGCATCTCGACGGTGATCGGCCCCGAATCGGACGCCACGACAGCCTGTGTGCAGCCGCCGACACTGTGGAGCTGCTCTCTCCCCAAGGAACAGGCGGACTCGGTCGCACCGTTTGACGCCAGCCAGCCAAGCTTCGTTATTCAGATTCAGTTCGACAACGACCCGGCACAGCGGTGGAAAGTTATCGAGGAGCCTCCGCGGCTGACCCCGTCTGATTCGAACAAGTCATCAGCTAGCAGCACAAAGACGACAATCACAACGACACCCAGCAGCACAAAGACAATATCCACAACGGCGACACCGTCCGATTCGGGGAAGTCGTCAGCCACTAGCACAAAGACGGCATCTACAACGACGACAACATCCAGCCCGATTTTGCGCCCACGTGCCATTGCAGTCACCGGGTTTACTTCCCTCGTTCGATATATGTTACAAAGGCGCGACGAGCCGAGCTCCAGCCTGGCCTTCCGACCAGATCCCGCACCGCCGAGTCTCGCAGAGATGTTCTTCCTAGGGAACACCACCGACGGGGTGGTCTCGGACGGCAAGGCAGGCGAGCCGACGCCTTTCTACATCAGCATGCTGCGGTCCATTAACGACACGGTTGGGCCCAAGGTGCTCACGCGGCGGCAGCTCCCCAACGCGTCCGACGTTGCGCCGCCGCCGGCGCTCGACAGGGACGGCACGGGCGCGCCGGCCGTCCTGCTCAGCTTTCCGACCCAGCAACCCCTCCGGTTGTACGACCGCGGGCTGCCGACAGAGCGCTACGGCTTCTACTCGTACTTTACCAAGACCACGTACGTCAAGTCGGTCGCCTCGCTCCTCGGCAACGGCCCCGGCGAGGGCGGCGACTCGTCGCCGGTGCCCGCGGACCAGAACGGCGGCAGCCTCAGAACCGAAGCCAAGTTCCTCATCACGTGGCTGTCGGTGCGGTACAAGGTCGAGATCTGGACGCGCATGGCCAACACGACGCGGCTGAACGGCAAGTTTTTTGGCGGCGGCGCGGCCGATGTCGACCGCAATGGCACGCAGCCGGGCTCGTTCCCTTACCCGGTCACCATCACGCTCGACACGCACGGCGGCGAGCGGGACAAGAAGTTTGTATTTGCCCGCGGCGTCGATGATCGGCAGCGCATCGTGCTCGACGACGCCAAGTTTGTGCTCGTCAATATGAACACGACGGGGGACCTGGTCAACCCGCGCGGCGATTTTGATCCTAGCTTGGGCGGGATCGACGGCGGGACGGGCGGGTGCAAGTGCGAGTATCGGAATTGGGTGCAGGTCGATGGGGGGAGATAGGAGGATGCAAAGGGGGGAGGAGCAGAGTAAGGGAGGAAGCAGTTCAGGGGGAAGAAGGGAGCAGGGGGCTCTCAAACGAAGATTTTTTTTTTTTTTATGTTTTGCTTCGACTTGGCTTGCATGGAGCATTGTAGAGGATGGTTTTGGGGTTGGGCCTGGCATATATAGCGACGGTGCATCTCGGTGGGCTAGACTAATGCATAGTTTCAAGCAGGCGTTGCGTTATCTAAGGTATCCAACATTCTGCGGTTGTGAGTTCTATGATCATGTTGGATTTCGCGCCAAATCGAATAAGCTTCCTCGATATCAGCTCTCGTGTTGGGGAAAGACCCTTTTTAGGAAGGTTACACAGTAAGGATCGATACACAGTACCTAGGTTGCGTCAGCTGTCAATTGCTGGAACGCCAGCTGTCAAAGAGGACTGGCGCCGGACCGAGAACCTTGACGGCCTTGACAATTTACGTAGTTTCATAAAAAACAGTGATCTCACAAACCCAGTCGTGTAAGGGATGCAACATCGAAGCTAAAAGAGACATGTACTGGAGATGAGGCGAAGTCGAAGGAGCAAGACACAATGAGACGCGCGACAGCCTACGGGCTGCCAACAACATGGTCCCGTAGAGCAGGTCCTCTCTCTCTCAATGTCTATCCACTCCGCACGAGACCGCCACAGCTATTAACGAACGGCAGACGCAAGTATGCAACTGGGACCGGGAATATGGAACGTCGTTCAAACGAGAACACAGAGACCGGGGGGCTGCTGACCGTCGCCATCGAGACGTCGTGTGACGACACATGCGTTGCTGTTCTCGAAAAGCGCGGCAACCGAGCCCGTCTCTTGGTCAACACCAAGGTCACGTCCGACAACAGGAAATTCGGCGGTGTCGAGCCCACAACCGCCGTCATATCACACACCGCCCATCTGGCCCGTCTCGTCGAGCAGGCACTGCGGCACCTGTCCCCGACCTGCTCCTTAGGAGTCCAGTCCAACCAACGCCGGAAGCCCGATTTCGTCAGCGTCACCCGAGGCCCGGGCATGACAGCCTCCCTCTCGGTCGGCTTGTGCATGGCAAAAGGCCTCGCCGTGGCATGGCAGGTCCCGCTCGTAGCTGTTCATCACATGCAGGCCCACGCCCTGACGCCGCGGCTGGTCAACGCCCTCGAGGGACCGACGAACCAAGAACACCCATTCCCTTCCTTTCCCTTTCTGAGCCTCCTCGTCTCGGGAGGCCACACACAGTTGCTCCTCTCCCGCTCCGTCACGTCCCACGCCATCCTGGCCGAGTCCCACAACGTCGCAATCGGCGACATGCTAGACAAGTGCGCCCGCACCATCCTGCCTGCCGACGTGCTGGCCAGTGCCGGCGACGTCATGTACGGCGCCCTTCTCGAGAAGTTTGCGTTTCCTCCTCCTCCGCAGCCCGAGGTCGAGTCCGAGCCCAAGTCCGGACCTCCTCCTCCTCGTCTACCCCAACCTTCCGATCCCTATGAACAACAGCACGACGACGGCTATGGCTACGAGGCCCCAGCCAAACGCGCCGACGAGATCAGGCCCTACACCTCCCCCACCCACGGCTGGTTCCTCAGCCCGCCTTTCTCGGAACGCCGCGACATGGCCTATGACTTCTCGGGCCTGGGCGGCCAGGTCCAAGCCCTCGTGCTCAAGAATCCCGACATGGACGTGGCCCAGCGCCAGGAACTTGCGCGCGAGGCGATGCGGCTCGCCTTTGAGCACCTGGCGAGCCGTGTCATCTTTGCTTTGGATGCCATCCGGGCTCGCGCCAGCGCCGCCGCCAAGGACGAAAAACAGAAGGACGGGGGAGCGAACACCACCACCGCCATCCCCATCGCCATCCCAAAAACCCTCGTCATCTCGGGCGGCGTCGCAAGCAACCGCTTTCTGCAGCACATCCTCCGGCACATGCTCCGCGCCCGCGGCTACCCACACCTGGAGATCGTGTGTCCTCCGCCGCAGCTCTGCACCGACAACGCCGCCATGATCGCCTGGGCCGGCATGGAGATGTACGAAGGCGGATGGCATTCGGACCTGAGCGTTTTGCCCGTGCGCAGGTGGTCTATGGATGGCGGCAGTGGTGATGTCGTGGACGGTGAGCAGCGGAAGAAACAGCGGGGGAAAGGAACCGGAGGCATCTTGGGACTGCCTGGCTGGCTGCGGTTGCCGGGGGCGGCCGAGGTGGTTGGAGGGCTGCCGGACGAGGCCTCGACGGAGAGTGACGGGCGGCCGGAGAAGAAGAATGCCCCCTAAAAGATGGGGTTCCGCTGTATATGTACATGTCCCAGACGTGGCGGGATGAAGAATCTTTGGAACGGGAAAAAAGAGGGAAGGAGCATACCAGAGCGGTCGATGATGGGGGATTTCGAGGGCCAAGAAATGAGGGCATGGAGAAACCTGCATGTATAAGCCACCTTTTCCTCTCTCTATCTCTCTTCCCCTGTATGTATGTACCAGTAGTTCTGTGACGGCAATACCCCCGTGATAGAGTCTTACAAAATCGGTTGGATACCCGGCTGGTCAATCAACACATCAGTCACGCTCAGCATAAGGTAGGATGATGTGGTTGTGTTTCTCGCAAGCGTGCACGATGCTGTCCTGTTGTACCCTTACAGGCTCGTTGCTCATCCCATTTCTGCCCTGACCGCAGAGCACCAACGCCGTGCCCATTCAACTTGAACTACCAAGCCAATGTCACTCAAGCCCGCTCAAACACTACCTTCCCACTGCTCCCTCTCCGCAGCCCTCATTCAGCCAGATCGCTCGTGACGTTGCTGAATTCGCCCTTCTCCAGCTTGGTCTTCCAAAACACCGGGTTGGTGTCGGTGAAGCCGTGCTTCTCCCATCCGGACTCCTTGACATGATACAGATTGATGAAGCCGCCCGAATAGGCGTCGCGATGCGTGGCCGCCAGGATGCTGCGGCTGCCAAGCTCGAGCGCCTCCTCAGTCGTCAAGTCGTACCGGTACTCGGCGTCGAGCACGCCGTAGGCGAACGTCTGGCCGGACCCGACACAGAACAGATTCCCCGCCAGCCGGGTGCCGTCCGAGTCGATATAGTAGAGCGCGGGACCCTCCTCCTTGGTCACACCCGCGCACATGGTGCCCATCGACAGGCCCATGCCCTTGTACTGATACACCAGATTGGCGAGGATCTTGCTCGCGGCGGCGACGCTGATGCGGCGCTTGTGGCGCAGCTCGTGCAGCCGGCACTGCATACCCAGCCAGGCGAGCCAGTATTGGCAGTCGGCGGCGCCGCCGGCCATGGTGCCGAGCAGGTCCGAGTTAATCTCAATCACCTTCTTGACCGTCTGTGACGCAATCCAGTTGCCCGCCGTGGCGCGCGAGTCGGTCGCCACGATGATGCCGTGCTGGAAGCGGAAGGCCAGCGTCGTTGTGCCGTGCGCAATCTTGATCGGGCACGACGGGTTCGACCGGTCATCTGTCGCTGCGCGGAGCCAAGCCGAAGGCTGTAGTCAAATGGTTTCCATCGATCAGCACGATGGAAATGCTGAAAAGCAAGCTTGAGAACGGAGACTTACATGTGCTACCGGCGGCATGGCAAACTTGAGAGAGAAACTGGGCACGGCGTCGGCGAGATCTTGCTGCTCCTGCTCCGAGAAGGCCTCATTCTGCTGGTATGTCGGGCGGCTATACCGAGCCACGAGGGTATCCATTTTGGACTCTTATTTGCGATCGTATGCGTGTCTGTCGAAGGAAAATCGTCAATACCAATGCTTCTATCTCCTTGAGTCGAGCGTTGATGTGCGGGCCAGAGGCTGCGTGAACTCGGCGATGGACGGCTTTAGCTGGGTAGCTGGAGTTGCAAGTTGGAGATCAAGTTGCAGGAGCTCACAGGCAGCTCCCAATGCAACGCGTTCTCGGCAGCCTTGCGGCCCCACACTTGTCTTGGCACTAAGTTCAGGTCGTTCTTTGAAGCAACTTGAATACCTTCCACAGTAAAACACCTTTGCACAGCAATTATTCCGTACACTTCACGTGGAGTCGATAGAGGCTTTTTCAGCCGTCTACGAACCTCGATCACCAGGATTCAGACAGATAAATACTCAGTCACTCCATGAGATTGGCAAGACTGACCGTACCATTGTAATGGAACTCGAACCTTGCGGCTGCGGCGTCCGAGCCGACTATGAGACTCCTCGACGACGGTTATGTGAAGGTCCCCAAGCATTAATGAGTAACAGTACCTGACATAGATTCTGTGTGGATTCCTTTTATCTTCCCTAACTCCCACGGCTGCATCACGGCCGCTCGCCTGTTAGACTATCAGACCACCACGTACAGCCGCCAGCCCGTGGCTGTTGCTGAGCCGCAGCCGAAAACATGACAACCAACTCCCAAAATCAAGGTAACCGGTGGGTATTGCTTCAGCCATAGACCCCCATAATAACTCAACCGTCCGGGCATACCCCGCAGCGGCCAGGCCCCCCCTAGTGACCTGCTCCAGAATGACAACCAAGATTGAAGATGATAAAATCCGGTACCTGTAAAAAGCGAAGACCTGTTCAAACACCCCGTCCAATGCATGTTTCCTGTCGTAAAGGCACCCAACCGAGCCCCCCAAACAATGCACGCAATAGCGATACAAAACGGCGGCCCCCTTGCGTGCCTGGGGTGAAAGGGATTCGCCCATGTCGTGAACCCCTAAGCGGGGGAACGCCATAACCCCAATGATGCTTGTGTCTAATCGTACAAGTCCTGAAAAGTCTTCGAATTGTGCCGTAGTCGGTTGGAAATGAACGAAGCCTCCTTCTGGAAAAAAACAAGGTTGGTTAACAAAAACGCGGTCCCGCCAGGAATAAGGGTTTAGCCACTCCTCCACCCGACGTTCCAGATGACGTGGGCAATATCTCGGGCCGTATTTACCGTATTGAGCATTCGACCGACAAGGCCGTCGTCCGGGTTAGCGGGCAGCGATTCCTCAGCTGGCATGAACATCCCCGACGCCGTTCTACGCATGCCAGCTGGATCAGCAGTTAGGCTGGCCGAAGACGCCGACCGGCGCAACCCGTAACTGCCCTCGCCACGTTGCGTAGCCGGAAAAACGCCGGGTCGGATGTCGATCTTGTCCGAGTCTTCGTCGTCCTCATCGCCGTCGTCGTCTCCGGCAAAGAATATTTTCCCGGGCTTTTTAGATGGGCGTAACGTTTCTGGGCGTAACGTTTCTTGGGATGAAGAAGGTGATAAAAGGGGCCCGCGGAGTCCACCGCTCGTGCTGTGCTTCATAGCTGTTTCGGTCGGCTCGGGAGTATCTTCCCGGTACTTCAATGTGGTTGAGGGAAGCATGGCGATCGTCTTGCTCTCCGAGCCACTGTTTGAGTTATTCTTTTTCAACACCGGCCTCTTCTTCTTCTTGCTCTGGGTCCGCTTCATCATGATGGCGTCGTCATCTGAGTCGCTGTCGGCCCCATAGCTATCCATAACGGCCTCGTCATCCTCATCATCGTCCCCCTTCACCTCGACTGCAATGCACTGGGAAACCTGCTCGTTGAAGTGAATGTGCTTCCGTCCACTATTCGGGGAGACGAGCCCTGACGATCTCGCCGAGGGAAACAAGCTGGTACCGTCGTGGCTGACGCCGCGTGACGAAAAGGGGAATGTCATAAAGTCCGTGTTGGCCCGCTCGAAGCCCGGCCGCCTGAAATTCCTCTTCAGCACCCCCTTCTGTTGAGCCTGCACCGCTGCCGCTGCTTGCTTAACGAGCGACGAAGTGGAAAGAGACCTCTGGAGCATGATTTCCGACATACTCCTCTTCTTCAAAATTGGCTTCTTGTTGACAAACGAGTTTGACTTGGAGAGCCTAGCACTGTTGGAACTGCTCGATGTGTGGTTGAAGCTCGACGCGCCCGTCTGCAACGGTCCATAAAGCCATGTCACGTCGTGGTCCTTGAGCCTGTTGTGGAGGTTAGATGGCATTGCAAGAAAGAGCGAGGGAAGGATTTAGCATACCAATTCAAAGTCTCAGCTGAAACCGTGTTGAGCTTGTTCTTGGACTTCATCCACGTCCTCCATGATGCATTCTCCAGCCGCGCGGCATTGTTGTAATCGCCTCTTCTCGACACGACAAGCTTCCACGACGACCAGATATCTTCCTCGCGCCAGTTATGCGACAAATAGTCAACATGCCGGGAAGGCTGTGCCCGTAATGCGATATCGTCTTCGGCCCTCTCTTGGAACTCAGGACTGCCAGGTCTCGATGTGGCGGCCGAGCCGTCATGTTCATTTGGCGGGGAGCAGTCCAGACTCGCCGCGGGCCCCCGGTCCACGAGACGGCTAAAGTAGCCGCCATCATCGTATTGCTGAAGGGTGATGTCTTCTGGCGTGGCTGCTGCGCTCTGGCAATCTGAGGCCAAGGAGAAGTATGAAGCCGGCGTCGACAACTCTGACAGATCAACGGAGGCGTGTGTGGCTTGCGGAGATGACGGCGCTGACGAGATTCCCGACGCTGACGAGGTCACTGATGGCTGAGAGTAGAAATCACTGAGCCGAGAGGTTGACGCCGAAGCGTGAAAACTGGAGCGCTGCGTCGCAATCTTTGGTTGCGAATGGGAGCGTCGCAGGGTTGTCGAGAAATAGCTGTCATCCTCGGACGGAAGAACCACGGCCATCCTGAAGAGAGACCCCGGTGATCCAAATCGCCTTTAATCCTTCTCCAACAACGAACGAAGCGATCCCGTCATAAGAGGTGGTGGAAGGTCAGTCCGTAATTGACAGCAGGAGATGATGTATTGTGAGTCGTGAGGATATCGCCGTCCTGACTCTTTCTCTGCTCTTTCGGAAAGGGCACCTAGCCTGTGGTGGCTGACAAGGCGTCCGGGCCAAACAAAGGCGGTGACTAGGACAAGAGGGCTTGAGGTTTCTGTTGGTCAAGATCGCGTTTTTCGTTCGAGATCCACCTTGACGGCGCGTTGCACGCAATTATGATTAGACCTGAGGTAAGCAGGGCGTGTGTGAAACAGAGATGGGGAATCGAAGGCGGGGGTAAAGCAGAAGCGGTAACAAGGTAGCAAGGCCCAAGGAAAGGGCCGAACGGATTATATCGTTGGTTGAGTCGTTCAGAGTTGTGTTCGAGAATGGGGGACTGCGGGTCTGGGCACCTCGTGCAGCTTGAGCGGAAGCGGGTTGCCCAATGCCTGTGGCTCCCACGTCCTCGGACCCGCCGTTGGCTTGTTGCGCCAGAACGTGGGATGCGTGACTGAGTGGGGCGTTGATGTTTAGACGGGGGCGTCGGATTTGGGCGGTACCTTGACGGTGAAGGTGGCACACGGCGGATTGGCATGATCTGCCGCGCCTAAACTGTGCAAACTCTGTGGAGTGCAGCGAAGCGATAGGCGATGCGGCAGGTACCTGAGTCTGGTCCGTGATTTCCTTAGGTGGTTTTGGAGAATGGGCAAAGTGAGGTCGGGTGTCCGCTGCTGATGGTTGAAGTCGAGATTTACATGCAAAAAAATGGATGTGTGCGGGTTTGCTCGAAAAGTCTGTGTCACTACTTTTGAGCCATGACTTCCATATCTTACGTGCCCCTTCCGAGTCTCTCGCTTGCGTTTTGGCGATTTGAAGTCCTTGGTGCACCGAACGGGCAGGAACCGGGAAAACAGCAGAAACTGCGCTGGAAGTTTGGGGTAGGGTTCTCTGTGCGACGCAGGTGCCGAGAATTCGGAGACGCTCTCCTAGTGTACATAGAGCCTGCCCTGGCAAGCCTGGGCATTTCCCCCCATGTCGCCAGGCCTGCTGGACGTGGGGAGGCAACGACGGACGCGGCAGGCGGAATGGTTGGAATGCACCGAAGGCGCTCCACACCGAGCGTGTGACCTCCTCGTCGCCATTTGCTTCAAATGGTTGGCGCCATCTTCGTTTTTTTAGTAAAACACAGCCGGCATTTCATGGATCCAAGCTGGCCGGATATAACACCTGGAAACAACTGTCTTTTCCCATTTTTCCAGCAGGGTAAAGTCGAATCCCCAGATGGCCCGCCCTTGATGAATTACGGCTCCTTCGGCAACTCCTGGACCACAGGTACGGTACCCCTTAACTGGCCGACTGGGCACAGTGGAGGATCTGGAATTCTCCATGCTTGATGAATGCTAGCACCAAACTGTTTTGCCAACCGGCGTTTCCCTTGGACGGCCTTTGACGCATAATCCAATTCCATCAACACACAGATCGCGGCCGCAGGCACTCTTACACGGACACTGTGGTCAACCACAACTTCCAGGATGGATGACATGACATGGGCTATTGCGCAGCTCATACGGAGTACATAGCCTGTGATTCTCTCACAGGCCGGCGTTTCGTCAGGTTTCTCTTCTGCGCGAACTGATTTGCCAAGAGTCGTGGGTGTCTGGGAAGAAAACACCCCTGCCCGCATCTTGATTCTCCACTTCTGCTCAAATCTGCAGGCCACACCCTTCTCACCGCCAACCCCAGTATATCGTCCCGATCGAGTATGTATTGTACCCCTGATCTGATGAGGAATGCCTTTGACAAGCCTGGCCTGGCATCTTTGCCTGCTGATGGGGCCTTCCTCGGCTTCGGGATGCGGTGGAGATATGGCACTCGGATGAGAAGCCGTCCGCACTTCCCCATACTCACTTCACTAGGCCTCCGACTCTTCCCGTTGCCGCTGAAAAGCATTGCCTTCCCAATGGATCAAACTGTCCTGCTCACAGCACACGAAGACGACCCACAGCAAGAGGAACATGGCGGCGGTTCCGTTCGGTGTCAATTGCCGGGCTCGGCAAGTCTGGACCTCGGTCGCCACAGGCAAATCGATTGCAAGTCTGGACCGGGGAGCAGCAATCCATCTCCAACATCACACACAGTTCGGGATCTCGGCAGCAAAACCGGGCCAACGGCGACTCTCTCTGTATCAATTGCTCGTGGGCTGGCCATTGCTCAGTGGCACAGACTAACAACGTCCGTCCGTCATCGACTCATCATAGATAGGATGGACCACTTGCTGGTCGCCCTGGCCTCATCGTCTGCCCGGCCTATCAGACGCAGATACAATCCGACACACAGCAGCAAATCATCACCAGTAAAACCACACACGCTGATGCAAGGCCAACATTGCATGGACATACCTGGATTCGCTTGCATCCACCACTGTATCGCGGCTGCAGAAGAAGGCATCCGGTTTCTAGTACAACAAAGATATACAACCCGCCGGATCTCTTAGTCCTAGCTTGCTGAACAAACTACCATGTAGTATGCCTCAACAAAGCTATTGTCGCCGTAATACACATGGCCCATGGCTAGCTCGCCATCGGAGAGACAGCCATTCCACTTGTTACCGGTCAGCCATTGAAAACCGTTCTGATCATGGCCCAGGCAGCGTGTTCTGGAGAGCATCAACACCCAAGTTTGTCAACGTTCTTGTGCGGCTACACGTTTCATATGCAAGATTTCACCTCATGACTAGACATAGCGTATCGATTTTCCAACGCACATGTCTTGCTTTGTCAAGAAAGGACGGACAATGCTACAATGCGCAGCGAAATCAAAGAAAGTTCGGGTCGTTCTCTTGCTTCTTGTCGTTTGACCGAGTGCGTTGACCGAGTGTGCATCATCCCTCCATCGGACCGACGTTCGAGTTACCGGTGAATGGTGCGATAGGCTGGCGATTACACCCATTAGCATACGACCCCTTGACAGCACACCATCTTCCCCCTCAACACACTGCAGCGTGCGTTGCTCTGTGCTACCCACGACGGGTTCTAGAGTTCCTGCCTTGTCTCGGCTCCAAAGCTGGTCGCAACCAGGGGTTCTGTTTCACACCTCCCTGATACAGTATTGATATCAGACTGATGGGATTCAACCTACCGAAGCGACAATCTTGGCGTCAGATACACTAATCGCCAATGGACCAGAAAATGACGGGTAGAAATCTAAGTCGCATATCGACATGATCGGATCGGGGATTGCCAGCCCACCCAGCCGCGCCCACATCCGACGTTGGCCGGCCTCGTCCCGCCGTTGACCGATGTCTCTGGTCCCCACATGCAACGTGGATAAGATCGAGGAGGGGAGGGGTGCTGGCAGATGATGTATCGGTCCCAGAAGTTGCGACATGCATGAGAGTTGGCGTAACATCGGGCCGGTGTGTGAGATGGACACCTTCCCATCATCATTATCGCATCGGCGGGTCTATCTTTCCAAAGAGGAGCGCGCTTATTTTGTATGCACTATGCATGTTATATGTCCAACCCTTGGGCGTGGACGTTGCCCTGGCGAGATAGAAATGGCAATGTAAACCGTTGACACATGCATATGCACCGATGCATAGCTTGCATGTGTGACCAAGGCATGAGGTGGGCAGCTCCTTGATGACTGACTGGAATGATGGTACCCATCTGTGCTTCTCAATCAAGCCAGAAAACTTTACAATGCTAACAAAGAGCCTATCTTATCGAAAAGCCTCCAAGATACGAGATGGATGACTTCACGGCTCGCTCTCTTCAGCAAAGAAACACCACCCATGAACAACCTCCACCACCATGCAACCCGCCTTGTCTTATTTATTACCCTCTCGCAGCAAAAGCAACCTCCCTCGGCAGCCGAAAGCTAGCACAATACATGCTCTTAGCCGGCGCCACGTCCCTCACGCAATGCACCGCCACCAAGCCCTCCTCCTCCTCCTCTCCCTCCTCACCCTCGCCATCGCCTCGGGGACGAACGGCGAAGCCCAGATGCTTGGTGATGCGCTCGCAGATGTCGAGGCGGGCGGGCGTCTCGTCGTGGGCGGGGGCTTTGACCGAGAAGCAGTGCACGTGCACCAGGGGTAGCTTGGTCGCCGTGTGCGGGGCGAAGAGGGCCTCGCGCCCGGCGTAGACGCCGCGGTACGCTGGCAGGAACTCGATGGCCGAGGCCGGAAGGTTCATGACGAAGTGGGAGATGGTAGGCGGGATGGGGATGCGGTCCTCGCGGATGGCGAAGCGAGAGCGGGAGTTGGAAGATTTGTTGTTGGTCTTGTTGGCGGTGGTGGTGATGTTGGTGGTGGTGAGTTTGGCCTGCGGCAGGGGCTCCTTGCGAGTGATGACGGCGCATTCGCCCTTTTGTGAAGCCTCGAGAACCGAATCGGTGGCTTGGTGGATGAAGACGCGGCCGTCTTCGCAGAAGGGACGCACGAAGGGCATGACCTGGAGTGCTTATGTCAGAAGGTAAGTCAATAACACGGAAGGGGCGTGGTCGGCTGACCTTGTTCTTCTTGATGGCGGCCTCGAGGCACTTGAAGCTCTCGGGGTTCTTGTCGTTGGCCCAGACAAAGACACGCTTCTTGCCGGCAGGCACGGCGAAAGGCCCGATGCCGGCCATGACGTCGCAAACGACCTCGCCCGGTTGGAACAGGTTGATAAGTCTGCGGTGTTCCGACTCGAGCTTGCTGTTCCAGTAGACCTTGGAGTAGTCGAACTCGAAGATGCAGTCGCTCTCCGACACCTGCACATTCAAGTCATCTGGCCCGGCCAGGACTTCGTACTGGAAGGTCCTAAACTCGGACTCAGACCCGACATTGTCGACCTTGTTGATGACGGTCTTTATTTGAGGGTTTTTGTCTAGTATGATCTCTGCTACCAGGTTCTTGTAGGGGAGGTAGTTGTCGCGCAGGTTGAGATGTGCTGGGGTCCGTCAGCTGGCTGTTATTATGAGAGGACCTTGGGTGATAGGGGTGACGTACCTACGTGACCGGCGATGTTGAAGCCAGAGGGGATCTCATCATGAAGATCTTCAGGCAGAATGGAGTCCATAACATCACCTGGCTAATGGTTAGTTCTGGTACGGGCCCACGAATCAAGACCACAGCTGCGTTCGTACGATAAGTCCAGTAGTCGTAGTCGAGCTGCAGCGCGTAGGGAACAACCGTTAACTCCTCATTGGCGACACCTTCTTTTAGTACCGGACCCCATGTGTCCGAGGCTGTAAAGTCCATGTATGTTAGTATCTATCCTCTGGAGTATGTATGTGAAGTACATTGAGAGTGCAATACATATAATCGTACCTTCAGGCCGCACACTGGGATTCAGGAGAAGACACTTGCGCCCCTGCTCCGCGAGTGCCTTGTCTGGATGGGGCCGGATGGGAGAGATGCGTTCAGCATGCAGAATCTCTCGGCCAGTCTCAAGTGACTTTCTGTACTTTGAAATGAGCCTGTTATCCAGCACGGCGGCGGCAGCAATGTCGACTGTCTTGGAGAAGAGGGCGCGGTTGAGGGCCGCCGTGCCTGTGCGGACGATTGGCGGCCGGAAAATGGTCATCTTGCCCTCCACACCCCAGTCCTTCCCCTGATGGCTCATAATTGTCAGAAGCTCGCCCACGATAAAATCATTGGAAGGAAAGGGGTTGTGTGTTACTCACCTGTCAAATTAGGCCAAATCGAAATCGAGCACACAATGAACGGAGCGCACAGGTGAGTGAGACCCGCTGAAAAGAGAAACTGGCCAATGGAAGTCGAAGTTCACGCGTGAAAACAGAGAGTTCATGCTCAGAACCAAGGGGTCTAAAGTAGACACATCTTTCTTTGAGTGGTCTGGACATGATCACTTGTAAGTATGGGAAAGGTGGGTTCCTGAGTACGATACTCACTAATAGTAAGGTTCACTGTCACATACTTGGCGTAAATAGTAAGAGTCCCGTGGTTTGGTGGGGATTGATTGAGTTGAAGCATCTCTGATTACCGCTCTTGACCAGTAATCAGAGAACAGCATTAAGTCAGGTGCTCTTTGACACCAATAACCTGGACCATTAACAAGAGATCCATCCCGCTCTAGAGTCTATACGATACGAATACTGCTTGCTTCATCACAGATTCCAACCACGCATGCTGCTCTCATCCCCAAACAACCCCCCACCCCCGCTAAACAAACTCGCCGAGATTACCTGCCCTTCCGCATCTGCGCCTGCGCAAACTTTCGCAAGCCCCGGTAGAACACCTGGTATCCCACCCCCTGGTTATCTCTCACGTGAAAGATCTCGGTCAGCCGGATCTGCCACGGCGGATACCCCGCCAGCTCGACGTGCGGCCCGAATAGGATGAGCAAGTCGGGCTCCGACATGACGCTCTCGGTCAGCTCGGCGTCGACGAGCTCCGTGGTGATGTCGGCCGAGTTGAGCTTCTTACGCTGCGACATCTCGGCCAGCGTCTTGGTCAGGTCGACCATCGAGTCCCGTCCGTCCTCGGCCGAGATGAGCATGATCGAGATGTGCTGTCTGGGCTCACCCTCGTCCTCGTCGCTGCTGCTGCCATTGATCATGTCAGTCCCGTCCGAAGAGACAGACGACTCGAGCGCGGGAATGTGCGGAGCCCCGAGACTCATGGACGGGCAGTTGGGACCAAAGTAGAAGTGAAGCTTCTGCGAGATGGCCTCGTGCGTATCCTTGATGTATCCCTTGAGGATGCCTGTGGCATGGTTAGTTAACCCAATGACACCTCGCTACTTCCGGCACAACATTTTAGCCTCCCCCCGGCTTGCCACATACCCGTCTTCTCATATATCGACAGCTGAGGAATCCCCGCGCTGGCGCACCATGCGGCAACATCCGTCACCTCGTTGATCAACCTCTCTAGCCCGGCCCCGCTGTGTCTCTGGTCCTCCAACGTCAAGATGACACTGAGGTGTTTGGGTAGCCGCCGAAGCCCCTTTACATCGCGTCGTATCAGCTCGGGCGTCCGGTGGTGGTGGTAGTAGATCGAGTATATCCGGTTCACGACGGCATTGTAAGCCTGTCGGAGGCGGATGTATACGGAGAAGAAGATGTGGATGACGGCGAAGACAAGCACATGGTACTGACGCCGGAGGAAGCGGCGCACACCAAGTTTGGCCTTTTTTTCTTCGCGTGCTCTCGACAATTCGGTTCGGGACTTGGACCGGGACCGGGAGGGTGGTGGTGGGAGGTACGGCTGCCGCCAAAGAAAGTTAGAATTAGGCATTGTTTGATGAAATTCGACTCAGGGTGCTCGCACCTTGAGGAGTCGTATCCTCTCCTCGGGTGTCAGCAGCTTGTATCCTAAGCGCTCGTCTTGCCGGTAGGTGTTCAGGGCACTCGCACGGGAGGGCATGATTTCGATTTGCGGCGTTAGGTCAGATTTGCTTTAAGCAGACAGTTCTGGTTCTTCGTCCCAGGATTGGAAAAATGCAAATAGGTCGGGTTGAGGAATAACGACCTTATCGGACTGAAAGTGGTTGATATTTGGTCTTCAAACATCTGCTCTCCGTTGAAATGCGCTGACTTGATTCATCGCCGCGTCACTGGTGAGGCAGTGAACAAGTTCAGGACAGTGGATTGGATGTTAATACAGGCCCTTGCTTCCCTGTCATCAACTGTGACTTTGACCATCCTACCTCGTAATTACCGTATTGGCCAACATCCACCTCAAAGGCATGACGGAATATGGAGCGCTTAAACTCACAAGCAGGGCGGCTTCAGGCACATCTGTACTGGGCTGTAATGTTATTGTAGCTTACAATCCCCCAACACCCCGCCCAACCCTGCTCTCAGAGATTCGAGTCCCAGCACTTGATCTTGAGACGTAGCACTGAGATCCAGCATCAAGAGGCAGCTTCCCACAACGCCCCATGCGCCGTCGTCTTCAAACGTGCGAGAGGTGACGGTCGCCGCCATGGAACGCGGCGCGTCCATCGCATCGCGCTCTCTCTTCCCGCAAGGTCCCAGCTTCAGTCTCGACGACTTCTCCAACAAGGACTTCATTGTCGGCGACTTTGTCGACTCCCTTGCTGATGCTGCTGTCCCGGCGAGTCGCCGCTCCGGCCCCGCGCACCATACCTTCGACCCAAAATCGCTGATTAGGGGATTTGAGAGTGAGCTCTCCCTTCCCTGCCTCTGGTCCAGAACTGGGCTTGTGGTGGCCGCTCTCTTCTAACATTGTGTCTGCAGACGCCTTGTCGCAGTTGGCTGCGCTGTCGGAGGAGCTGCAGGTGAAAGAGTCGGAGCTTCTGTCACAAGTCCGCCGCGCCGAAATCCAACATGATCAGACCCTCGAGACCTTGGGGCGCAAGCTCGACCAGTCCATGGCGCAGTTCGAGGCCCTCGACCTGACTCTCAACAACTCGGGCACCGCCGCCAACGGTAACGCCCGCGCCGATGGGGGAGGAAACATTGCTGTCCAGATCGGCGAGAAGCTCGAGGAGCTCGACAGGAAACGGAGGAAAGCGCAGGACGCCAACTTCTTGATCCAATGCTGGATGGAGGTGACCGAGGCTGGGCAGCTGACGTCGCTCGAGGAGATACAGCGCCAGGGCGGCGCCGAGAACAAGGTGCGCTGCGCCGTGATTGCTCGCCAGCTGATGCGCATCAGTCAGCGCCTCGATCCGGCATCGTGGGGCCAGGCTCCCAACGGATCTCGAGGGAACGGCGTCACCAACGGTGTGACGGGGACAAACCGACGACACAATACAAGGGAGGTCCTCGAGAAGTTCTCGGAGCTGCTAGAACAAGATCTGCTGAAGCAGTTCAACAACAGCTACCGCCGCCAGAACTTCGACGACATGATGGAATGTGCGCGGGTGCTCTACGACTTCAACGGTGGCGCCAGCGTCATTGCCGCCTTTGTCAACCAACACCAGTTTTTCATTGACCGTGATCAGCTCATCACGGACGAGGTCACTACGGATGGCGAAACATGGGATCAGCTGGCGGATCCTGATTCTGAACCCCCCGGCGTTGAGCCGAGCCTACAGTCGCTCGTCGACGAGGTCAGGATCGTCATGCAGGAGGAGTCCTTCATCATTAAGCGAGCATTCCCCTACTACGAAACCGTTCTGATTAAGTTCATTCAACGCGTCTTCCAGCAGTCCATCCAGCAGAGGCTGGAAATGGTCCTGGACAAGGCAACCACCGTCTCGTCCCTGGCATTCTTGCGCTCATTACACGCTTCACGGGCCTACATCAGCGCCCTGGTTGAAGATCTCAAGACACACGGTCTGACGGAGCATCCAGAGCCGTGCTCGGCCCAAATTTCACAAACACTAGACCAGCAGTTGGAGGAGCTGTTCGTCCCTTACCTGGTCGGCAATTCCTATATTGACCGAGAGAGGCGGAGCTTGGAAGTGATGTACAATTCCCTACTCTTCAAATTTACGATCTACCACTCCAGGCGGAAAAGGGCCCCGACAGGCTTCATGGCGGCCATCGCCCAGCAGGGCACGCAGCTCATCGCATCGGCCAGAGACGCGTACATGGAGCGACTGGAGTCTTCGGATCTCACGCCCACCCAGAAAAAGATGATGCTCCGGGTCGCCGGTATCCAGGACAGCAGCAGCAACAAGAACGACATTGAGGTGTCGGAGCAGGACGGCAACCTCAGCGTCGCATATGCGAAGCGCATGATCGGCTGGCTCGCCGAGAGCGTGCGCCGCACCCTCGAAATGGGGTCTGCAAGCGAGACCCCCAAGGACGTCAACATGCTTCTCAACCTGCTCCTCACCACCATGGGCCAAGTTTACGTCGAAACAGCCCTCGACGCCGCCCTCGACCAGGCCACCTCGCAGGAAAACTCCAAGACCGAACCCGACTTCTCGTACCTCCCCAACCTCCGCTCGGTCGTCACCATCACCAACCTCATGTCCCGCTTCATCACCACCGTGCTCATCCGCCTCGCCGAGTCCAACACGACCGTCCGCCGCAGCATGGAAGCCCAATCCAAAATGGCCATCGAAGCCACCGAGCGCAAAGCCAACGCCGTCGTCAAGTCGACCCTGGACGTCGCCGCCAACTGGGTGACCAAGCTCCTAGCACAACAAAAAAAGCTCGATTTTCGCCCCAAGGACAGCGACCTCGAAGCCGGGCTCGTCGACTCGCTGCAGACGCCCACCTGTCAGGCCATCTGCACCTTCCTCCATACCAAAGTCGCAACGCTAGCCCGCCACGCGCTCGACGGCCACAACCTCGAGACCTTCAGCTCGGAGCTCGCCCTCGCGATCCACCGCCTGCTGTTTGAGCACTTCAAGAAGTTCCAGGTCAATGCCACAGGCGGCCTGATGGTGACCAAGGACATTGCAAAGTATGTGTCGACCCTGAGGGAGTGGCCGCTCGCCAAGGAGGTCGAGCAGAGCCTCGAGGTGCTGACCGAGGTCGGATACCTGTTCATCATTGGGCCCGAGGCGCTGCGGGAGCGGTCCAGGAATTTGGCTTCTGGGTCGTCATCGTCGGCGGTGGCGGTGGGGGCGGGTACCGGAGGAGGAGGAGGAGGAGGAGGAGGAGGCGGCGGTGGCAAGAGACTGGGCAAGGCCGACTTTAAGACATTTGTGCAGAAGCGCGAGGACGCCGGGAGTGTGGGTGTGCAGAGCGTTTTAGCCGGGCTGTAACGCTGGGGATAGGAACCTAGATATATACACATTTAGGGGCTCAAGGGCTAAATTTAGGGAGAAGGGCATGTAGTGGCCTTCTTTCGACCGCCGAGCCCTTGGTACTGCTTCTACTGTTGTCCAGGTTGATGGGCGTTTTGGTCCTCGTTTCAGGGTTCAATAATACCAGTAGCTCTGTTAATCGCACGCTTTCCTTCGCTCACCCGCGGCACTGGCCTTGTTTTTGTCTATCTTGAACCCGTTTGATATCCATGACTCCATCCACTAGAATTTTATCATACAGCACTGTATCTTGCACTCAACTTAGGTTTACATGGCTCTCCAATGCCAATTCCCAGGACCCTGTTGTTCGACTCGCCCCCAATACTTGGAGCAAAGTTGTGAGGCTTTCCCGGTCTACTCTTTCTCAACCTTTTCCAGAAGCCTCACATATATCTTGTTCATATGCACATTCACATTCGCCAACTCGACGTTGAACACATCACCAGGCTGCACCTCGGCAATCCTCACAACGCCGTTCAAGTCCTCGAGGTGGACCGTCGCCGGCTGCTCGAACCAGTCAATCCGCCCCTTGATGGCCCGCCGAGCAACGACATCCGAGGCGGTAAACCTAAAAGTCTTGGGCAGCTGCGACGGGGAGCCTTCGCCGAAGCGCCACGCCCGTACCAGCGCCTGGAGGATCCACTGGCTGTTGCCGTCGACATTGTCGATCAGCCGGCTGTGGCGCTCACGGATACGCAGGCGTGGAAGCACCGTGTCCTCGAGCTCCTTTTTGGAAAAGGGAAGGTAACTCTTTGGGCCCTTCTTTGCTGCTTGGCTCTTAACCGGGGGTGTAGGTGCTTGCTCTTCTGCGCTGGCGCCAGTGGACTTTCTGACCGCGAGAGAGCTGCCGCGGCGGTGCTCTTCCAGTAGGGCAGCCTCGATCTGCCAGTGTACAAGCAGATCCGGGTATCGGCGAAGAGGCGATGTCACTTTCGTGTATAGGTCCAGGCCCATGGCCAGATTGGGAGCCGGACCGGTCGAGACGTCGAACCCGCCGACAAGGGCGCGAAGGGTGTGCCAGTCCTCGGCCGACGGGTTCTTGCCAGCCGCGAGCTGTGGGTAGAAGACGTTGCGGGTGAATGCGAGCAGGGCGTCCCGGTCTTGGCCTGCAAGCAGCTGGACGCGGTAGGGGATGGGAATGTCTCGCTCGTAGCACCACTGTGCGCCGATTTGGCCGGCTAACTGCATCAGGCTGCTCACTAGCTGACTACCTTGGCCGCCATACGCGATCCGGATGTAGGGATCGCCGCGATAGAATGCTACACTGTCACCGACCACCCCAGGTGCAATCCCGTCTGTCGAGACCGTGGCTATTGGCCGAGGTAGGAAGGCTGGAATGGCTCCATTATCGAGCCGGACACGCTGGAGGGCATCTGCAAGTTTCGAGAGCGTCTTGAGCTCCCTGAATTGCGCCCTAGATAAACCCGAAGGCGTAGTCATTCTCCTGACGGGAGGACGATCTCTTGCTTGAGGGGTTCCTACTTCGAAGACATGCGTAGGTATGCCTGAAGGGTCATCATCGCCGACAACAGAGGAGACATCCTGCGGGGTGATGTACACGACATCACGAAGGACTCCGGGGGTCACCTTGCTCTCGAGGATACGCCCCGTCTCGGTGACTCGAGCACTGAAAGTGAGCGTGGGTTGGTTGGGCCCTAGGGAGAAGGCCTCCCTGACATGGTCGCCGTCGAGCATGCTCCGATAAAAACCAGCCAAGTATGTTGTCTGGGCTCGCAGGGCTGCTTGCTCGGCAAGGGCACTCCCCGGCGGGATGCGGGAGGCTGGATCCGCCACGTGGACGTGAATCCAGTGCTCTCCGTTGTCGAGGGATTCAAGCGAAATTCCATCATCAACGTCAAGGGTGTCGGCTGAATCTATGCAGTAGACAGTTGAGCGAGCAAAATCTTGACGGAGGTCGGCAAGCCGGTCTGGGCCGAGCTCAGAGGCGGAGGCGTTCGGTGGGGATACTGGCAGAATACTGGCGTGCCGGTTGACCTCCTGCTCCGGCAGGCGCAGAGCATGGCGGGCGCTGATGTCCCACGGCGGGATCCAGCCTATCTCCTGCAGGAAGGTCCAGCCAGTCGTGGGGTCGAGCAAAGAGTCGTCGTAGCGATGGAGAGCCCGCAAAATGGAGGCTCCAATCCAGTGGCAACGCGAACCAGAGCGGAATCCGCCCGATGCGGCCCAATGCTCCATGAACTGGATGATGGAGTGGCCCGTGTCGGACCAGGCGGGGATTGTGAACTGAGCATCGCCCTGTTTACACGGCCCTATCATACCGTGAGGCGACCACTGACGCTCCTTGCGGACTTGATCAATGAGGCTGCGGGCCTGCTCCAGGAAATCCTTAAACACAGCAACAGCTGACGTAAATTTGCGCCCAGCTTTGGAGTTGCCGCGAAGAGACTCGTAGTATTCACGGACCCACTCCTCGACTTGGGCGACGTTTTCCTGGACTTCGGCCGACCGGAGGGCAAAAACGTAGGATTCGTGGTGACGAGCTCCGCGGTCGAGAGCGTGGAAGGCGACGTCAGCCCCCTCAATGACAGAATAGACGGCATACAGGGCTTCGGGAGGGAAGGCTCCCTTGTTTCGCTTGAGGCTGGCAGGGAGAAGGGCGTCGGCGATTTCGCGCAAGCTGAGCATCCTCTCTTCGCGACCAAGCTGGTTGTGAGCGCGACTGAGCCTCTCGACGTAGGTCTGGTGGATAAGGCGCGAAGCAGACTGAAAGGTGTACATCTTGCGGATCAAGGAAGCGGCAAGGTCGCGCGAGGGACCAATGTTGAGGTCTTGGAGCTCGTTCAACACGGTGCTGGAGGGCGAGAGGGAGGGGATGGCATCGACGACAGCCTGCAGTTCGGCTGGGTCCTTGACAAACTTCTTGACGACGAAGCCAGAGCGGATGTTACGGCTCGTGAACCACTTGCCGGTATTCGTGTAAAAGTGGAGATGGCCGTTGAAGCTTCCGAGGCAGATGGCGAGGATCTTGAGCCCCCACGAGCCGGAGGTGACTTCGACCAGGTCTCCAGCTTCCAGCACTGCACCGCTCAGGCCCAGGTCGACCATGTCGACGCCGTCGCCGTCAAAATGGGGGCGTGCGGCATCCTCATCCTGGGTAGCAACATCCAGCTTGAAGCCAAACTCGCTCCGATTCCTTGTCAAGACGTTGGCGACGGCGTCATCGGCAGGGTCGTCCCTGGGAAAGGCTAGGGCGGGAGTTGGGTTCGCGGCCTCCCAGGCCCTCAGTCGCTCGCGAATGTTGGTCGACTCGGAAACGGAACGGAGGGTTTTCGGTTGGTTCGCCCAGTCGAAGTTCAGATCGGCGGCCGGAAATGGGGACTCAGTGGACGCGGATCGGAGATGTGGTCGGTCATGACGGGTGGCGAGGGTCCCGGACAGCAGCCGTGATCTGCGGGATGTTGCCGACGGCGATGTCGATAATGATGAAAACGCTGCAGTCGTTGGGCGAGGGGCGCGCTGTCGGATGAGTGCACGCTCTACCGGTCGGAGCGAGAGACAACCCCAGCAGACATAGATCTGGCTGCTGCGTCGCGTCATCTCGGGGCTGTGGAGGGGGGCAGAAGCCCGGGGGTGTGCTGCTAATCAGAGAAGAAAAGGGACCAGACACCGAGCATGTGAATCTCAACGTTAAAGGGGCCCTGAAATTCTGGATCGCGCGCTTTGCATTCGCATTTGCTGCCGCGCTGCCACGCAACGTCAGCTGAATGAATTACGTGATAAATTACCTTACGAACAGAGGCCGTAACCACTTAAGCGTTTCTAGCACAACTGTATGCTGCCAGTGTCAAAAAGTTCCTTGAAGCTGTAATTTTGTCCCCACGACGATCTCTGTTCAAACTCCTACGGAGTACGGAATACTTTGCACCTCTTTGCATCTGCTGGGTTTCCGGATTGTATCGAGGAAAAGGTGCCCACGAACTGTGTGGTCTCGATTTGATCTCTCCATGGCAGATGCGAGCAGATGCAACCATTCACGGACAGTTTGGATGATGATCAGCACGTTAGCGTTGTGAGTGCCAGACAATCCCCGGTTGAGATTGCCTGCATGGAGTTGCGGTCGACATCAAGGTCTTGGGCATTCTGCAAACCAAGGGTTCCAAGCCCAATGCAGGTACCGCGGACCCCTTGGCACCCATCCCACCGTCCAGTGTTCAGTTACGCGTAAGGCCTGTTATCCCAGAATCCATCTACGGAAACAGCAGCCAACTTGAACTGCACAGAGATGCCTTGCGTATGCGGGTATAACACAGCCAACAACATGTCGTTTGAGCCAAGAAACAGCAAGCAACCTTTCCTTTGGATAGCCTGGAAACAGCATGCGTTGTATGAGGCGGTTGGTGGTGGCGGCCCCAAGAAGCGCCAATTTAGCTAATGTCGCTTCGTTCATTTCCCACAATGCAGCAGGCCACTGACCGTGCTGCCTTTTTTTTGCCGTTTTTGACCACACCCGCTGCCGAAGTGTCACGGTAGGGTAGGTAGGTACTTGTCCACAAAACCCCCTTCTGGCAGGTTGTCAAACTCGTCAAGAGCCTTGAGGTTCTTGCCAGGGGCTGCAACCTCCTTTTCTCGATCATCATCGCCGCTACTCCGTAATCTGCGACCACTGTCGCACATCCATTTGGTGACGGCTTACCGCGCAAGGCAAGCATCGCTGGCGAGTAGGTATGTGAAAAAAAACAGCCTTCCGGATCATCAATTGGGTACGTAGATTTGATGAGACAGGGAAGAGAAAGGATTTCGGTTATGGGAAGTAACCGCTCTGGACATCCCCTTTAAAGCAATCCTAAAGAGTGCCCTGAACAGAGTGTTGTATCTGTATTCGTCAGGTACGGAGTGACGGCGATGTTCGGCCAAAGTACGGGTAGCCCTGCTCCTGTGGTAATGAAGCACTCCACACCTGAGCTCAGGGGTCCAGCACTCAGGAATCAGGCACACCGCCATCTGATTCGGCCGAGCCCCTGACACGGCGAAAGGTGCATCCACTGCATCGCCTGCGCCAAGCGGCAACCCCGGCGACTTCCTCGTACTAATTCCAGCCAACATCCCCCGTTTCCACCGGCTTTGTTTCTTTGCTTTCCCCTTTTCCCCAGACTGTCAATGTTGATATAGTCGGCTTCGAGAGCATTCGCGCTTTCGTCCTTCGTTCATTTTCCCCTTCCACACCACCGCTTCACTCCTTTAGCGGGCATTCGTTTCCCACGACACTACAAACCCATAAAATTCCCAACCTAATTTCTGGTCTACGGCATTCAAAATGAAGGCAGCGGTTTTGGCAGCCGCCGCGGCCATGGTCGCCGGTGGCGTCAGCGCGGGTCGGTCGCACGGCCACCGTCATGCTCATGCGCTCTTTGAGAAGAAGGGCCTCAACGGCACCGACGAGGTCTGCAAGCCGGGCTGCACCACCATCTACAGCACCATCACCGGTGAAATGACCAGTACGTGGCCAGACAAGAAGGGAAGGTCGAAGCATGCAGACAGGACTAACAGGATCATCCAGTCGTTCCCCCCGCCCCCAAGACCACGTCTACCTCGGTCGCCCCCGTGCCCACAACCACCGGCCCCATCACGGTGCCGACGCCGATTCCCCAGACCTGCCCGACTCCTGGCACCTACACCTTCCCTGCGACTACCGTCGTGGTGACCGAGACGACCACCGTCTGCGGCGCCACCACAACACAGGTCCCTAGCGGCACCCACACTCTGGGCGGTGTTACCACCGTTGTGACGACGGCCACTACGGTTGTCTGCCCCGTCGCCACCACCGAGACCCAGAACGGCGTCGTCACCAGCGTCATCAAGACGACCACCTTCGTCTGCCCCTCGGCCGGCACCTATACCATTGCCCCGATCACCACAACTGTCCCCAGCGTCACCACGGTTGTTGTCCCCGTCGTCACCACTTACTGCCCCGGCACCTACACTGCCCCCGCTGTTGTCACTACCGTCACCGAGACCAACGTCGTTGTCTACTGCCCCTTCACCTCGCAGGCGCCTGAGCCCACCCTTGCTCCGGCTCCTACCTCGCCCGCTCCCGCCCCGGCTGAGTCTTCGCCTGCTGAGTCCGCCCCTGCTGCCCCTGCCCCCAGCCTCGGCACCAGCGGCAAGAAGTGGGCCATGACCTACACCCCATTCACCCCTGAGGGTGGCTGCAAGGGCGCCGAGGAGGTCATGTCGGATGTCGCCGCCATTGCCGGCGCTGGCTTCACTACGCTGCGTGTCTACTCGACCGACTGCGACACCCTTCCCAACGTCGGCGCCGCTGCGCGCGCTCACGGTCTGCGCATGATTATTGGCATCTTCATTGGCAAGGTCGGCTGCGACAACGGCAACCCGGATGTTGCCGAGCAGATCGCCGCCCTCAAGGAGTGGAGCCAGTGGGATCTAGTCGACCTGTGCGTCGTCGGTAACGAGGCCATGTTCAACGGCTTCTGTAGCGTCTCGGAGCTCACCAGCCTCATCACGCGCGTCAAGTCTGAGCTCGCCTCGGTTGGCTACAACGGCCCCTTTACCACAACCGATGTCGTCTCGGCCTGGATCGGCAACGATGTTTCGTCCGTCTGCTCCGTCATCGACGTGGTTGCCACCAACGCCCACGCTTACTTCAACTCGGAGACTTCTCCCTCGGCCGCCGGCAAGTTCGTCGCTGGCCAGCTCTCGATTGTCGAGAACGTCTGCGGCAAGCCTGGTTACGTCATGGAGACTGGCTGGCCCAACGCCGGCAAATGCAACGGCGTCGCCTGCCCCGGTGAGGCCGAGCAGCGCACCGCCATCGAGTCGATCGAGAGCGAGCTCGGCAACAAGGTCGTCTTCTTCTCCTTCCGCGACGACCCCTGGAAGCAACCCGGCGACTGCGACTGCGAGCAGCACTGGGGCTGCGCCAAGGTCTGGGGCCTCTAAGCCCTTCAAGCGGGGACCGTGGTTCGTCTGAGAGAGCCTGGCCGCCGCAATCTTCTTGAATATATAAACCATGTTCAGCTGTCAGCTTATCCCATCTTGATCTAAGCGTGTACATATCTTCATTGGATTGTCGAGTCAACGATCACACCCTTACGACCAAGAGCAATGAGAAGAAGCGCTACAGTTGGCATACCGAGCCGCTAGGCAAGCCCCAGAATGGTGCCTGGCCCCGATCCCTTGGGTGAGGGAAAGTGTGAGATGATGTCTGCTCGGGCGCGCGGATTTCATGAACGTCGGCTATGATTGATTTAAGCGGGCAACTGCGCTTTCCCATTCATAATGTTGTAATTTATCTAAAACTTAGTGTCTATGTTGCCAGTTTCTCGGGAAAGAGGTCCCATTTGTCCAGCCTTTTCTGCCCTTTGTCAGATGATGACTAGTGCTTTTTGACCCCAAATCTACATCAATTCAACGTCAACCGCGAAACTTGAAGCGGATGCTCCGATCGAAGGTTCAGTTCCTTCTTCCTCGGTCCTCTCTCGTCTTTGCTAGGCATGGTACGGATAGAGAGAGGAAGAGGGGATTCCCTTTATCAGGGTTGAGGTGGTACTTGTACGACACCAGAGTCAGGATCCGTTCTAGAAGAATGCCTGCCTTGCCTGCGTTGCACAAACACAGCACCTACCCATCAGGATGACTCGAAGGTTAGGTAGGACACGGCAATACGATCTCGGTACTCCGTACCCGACATTCGGGTCGGAGGGGAACTGTTGAATGCTAATCATCCATGAACGACGCGACTAATTATAAAGAGACCACACAAGCCTCTGAACCCATCTGATTGGGACATGCGCAGTTACAGGCTCCATCAACGTAGCACGTATATATAAAACAACCCATCCAAGTTCCCAATCCCGATATGTATCATCACACGGTCATAACGTTGGAGCCGGCCTATGATTCTTCAAACCGGACAAATCTTGCTTGTCCTTGTGTTGGCCCTCCCACCATTCCCACTCAGTCCACCTTGACGATTTAATATGCGGCACTGCGGCCTCCTCAAACCAGAGGTCCTGTTGTCCGCTCTGGATTGCCGAACGTAGTATAGCCCACATGGGCACGTAAACGGAGGTGAGATCAGCCAAACAGCCGAATCTTGCCTGACGCATGTACATAGCCAGCGCGTCATCGCATTCGACCACTCTAGATGACTACCTCTAGAGTTGGGGGGAGAGGGCGGGTAGCGAATGCTGCGCCAACAAGTGCGCCAGCCCTAGACCAACCGTCCTGGCCGGACAATTTACGTCGCCGCCACGCCCTTCTTGACCTCGGTAAGGTTGCTGCTTTCATGAAGTGATCGACGCTATGGCCTTTGCGCGAAGGCATCATTTCCTCGGCGCAGGGGATTTGTTCGGCCACAGCGGTTCAACGAACTCACCAGGGCGTCCACCAAGATGACGGCTCCAGAAGAGATTTGGGCCCCCGTCCATTTTCAAGGAGCACCGTCAACTTCCAGACGCATGTAGTGTTTGTTAAACAGGTGTTCGGGGGGGGACTCTCGTCGAAACTGTTTGACGACCCTGAATGGGACCGGCGTTTTAGCGCCTTGAGGTTTCCTTTCTTCACTCTCAACCGACCGAACCGTCCCTGCTCAAAAGGGGTCCACTTCCACGTCGAGAGCAGCAGCCTTCCTGCGCCTGCGCGACGCGCTCTCTCTGAACCGCCTCCCCTCGGTGAAGACAGACCGTGGCCAGTCACGACTGGTGATTCCGCTGCGGAGCCCGGGGTGTCGTCGTCGAGCGCCGACGTAATCGAGTTCCTCCTCCTCCTCCCCCTCCTCGTCCCACACGGACTCCTCTTCCTCCAGACCCTGGCCGCACCTCTCCAGCTGCAAGATGCCGCCCCGCGTGCGGTCGCAGCACAGGACCATCAAGTCCTGGCCGGCGTTCTCGAACGAGATACCTCCCAGCTCGCCGAACACGTCGATGGTCTGCTTGGACCGAAAAGTCCGGGCGTCGATGACGTTGACAAAGTCGGCCTCTTCGGCCGCGACGAGGACCCGTCTCCCGCTGCCGACGGGCGAGAAGCGCAGGCTGCGCACGCCGGCCATCTCGCTGCGTATGGTACATAGCGACGCGGCGTTGCCCGCGCTGTCGGTGAGCCGGCGGGCGTCCCAAATCTTGACCGTCTTGTCCTGGAAGGCCGTGGCGATGGTCCAGCCGTCGTCGGCCCAGTCGCACGCAAAGCCGTAATCGCGGTGGCCCGACAGCCTGTGCGTGATGTCGGGCTCTCCGGAGCCGGAGAGTCGCGACTCGGCGGCCGTGATGACGACGTCGAGCGTGTCGCCCACCATGACGCGCAGCCGACCGTCGGGGGACGTGGCCGTGCAGTTGGGGGCGAAGTCGTGGGTTTCTTGCGACAGCCAGGTCTCGGTATTGACGTCCAGGACGCGCAGGACATTGTCGTTGGAGGCGAAGGCCGCCAGCGGCACGGAGGACGTCCGGGCCTGGTGGACGTCGATATGGTTCGTGATGCCGCTGATGCTGCTGGTGATGACACCCTCGTGGCAAGCCGCGTCTTCGGGTTCGCCCGAGTCCAGATGGCGAAGTATGTACTCACCGCCAAAACCGCCTGCAATCAGAACGCCGTGGCCGGTCGCCAGGGTGGATATTTGCGAGGCGGGCGCATCGCTAAGCCGCATGATAGCACGGCCATGGCCAGACAGTGGATTAAATTGCTGGACGGCGCCGATAGAAGGGTAGAAGACGCGCGAGCGCGAGGAGGTTGCGAACACGTGGCGGAGCTGGAAGTGTGCCAAGTGGATGTTCTGCCGGATGTCCATGCGGCGGAAGCGGAAGAAACTCTCGCTGCGTGGAAGGGCAACATCGGGGAGATTGGGCTACGATGTTGAATGAGTAACGGGGGCTTGCTGGGGTTCAAAGGTGCTTCACACTTACCGTCCACCTGTCGGACCCTGGCAAGTTGACATAGTTGCTGTAGGTCAATAACCGGCGCTCTCTAGCATCCCTCCTCGTGACGCCAATGTCTTCCCAGTCGACTCCCTGGAGATCGCACTCGTCTCCTTCCAGATCTTCATACTCGACCGATGCGGCCTGGGAAGTTTCGAGCGAGTTGATCTTGGCCGGCCACGGACAGATACCTCGAGCCATGCCCTGCAGAATTCGGCTCTGGCGCGCCCAGTGTCGAAGGAAGTCAGTCAAGCCAAGATTGGAGGGTCCGATGGTGGTGGGGTTTGGGTTCGAGACTGAGATTTGATAGATGTATGTCCCGATATCATCCAAGCCGAAGTCGGTTGCAGGAGGCGCGGCCACGCTGGCGTAGGCTGCGGCCTGAGTGTGGGCCGCCATGGATTCAGCCTGAACGCTGGCGGCGATATCTGCACCAGCGACGTCAACAGACGTTGAACTGTCCAAGAAGTTTCCTGGCCAAATCTCGCTGATTCCCATTTCAGCATCGGCGGTAAGATCAGCCATGGCCACGTCGTGGGCAAGCAGGTGGGAAACGATAGGGTTGTGGTAGATGGAGGATTCCGGGTTGGGCGGCCATATCTCGTTTTGGCTCGAAAGGTCGTTGTTCTCGACGCCGTGCATGGACTCTTCGCCCTCGTCGTCGTCGTCGTCTTTGTCCTCTTCCTCTTCCTCTTCGTCGTAGTCGTCGTCGTCGTCCAGGTCATCATCGCCACTGTCTTCGACCTCGTCCTCCTCCACGTCATCGACACTCTCATCAAAAGAGTAGGACATGTGATCCTCCTCTGCGGCGCCGCCAAGGGCATACATCATAAGCTCGCTCGCTTCCCCGGCGTCATCCGATCCCACAGCCGTGACCAGTCGGTGAGGCGAGCCATATGAAGGAGGGCCCAAAGGTAAACGCGCTCTGGTCGACATGGTGGCCAGCGGAAGCAATCTTTGATCTGCGCTGTGACAGGTGGGGACCAGGTAACTGCAACCTCGGCCGGGTAGAACTTAGGGAGGTGTCGGGCAGGGTTTTGGTCGTGCGAGAGGACAGCCGCTGCCTTCTCAGCTATAACCTCCTGCCCTTTGCGCCCCTCGTGATCGATTACTCTTCTTGACCAGGAGCGAGCCCTTTGGCGGGTCTAAGGGCGGGAACTAGAGATTAAGGTAGTAGAGGATCTAGCAACGAAGCCCGAGGTGATTCAGAGGTCGCCAAGTGGGAGACTGCCCGGGGGGCGAATTTGGCTCAAGTCAGTTTCCACGGGCCCATTGCGCTGGGTGAGCGGAGCCCGATGTCACTCGGTCGTTCAGTTGGCGCAATCGTGTTGTGAGTATAAACAGAATCGAAGATCCAGAGCTCGTCAGTGATAGGAATGCTGAGAGTCGAACCGTCAGCGTGTCGACAGCTATCACAGCACGGCTGGTGCTCAAGTGCGTTCGGGTGGAGATGATCCACGTCAGGTATACACGCCAAGGGACAAGTACCTTTGGGGAGCGAGTTCCGAGCGGGAAACACGCTCCAGCCATGTGGTGATGAGAAGTCTGACGAATCAGGACAGCAGTGGTGGGGCTACTGAACCTTGTGAAGACGGCGGGAAGGGGCGCAGTTGGCTGTGGGCTGCTGCACCGTACCGAAAACGAAAGGTAAGGCGGGACACAGGGATGCGCATTTCTCAGCCTTCCATTTAACTAGATGGAAACTCCTGCATCCCTTCCCGACCGTCTTCGGCCGGGGTGTAACTCCTCATTGATGATGTACTCCGTACATACTGTGAATCCTCTTCTCGAAGTTCCAAGGCCGGGTGAAACGAAGCAGCAGTCCCAGGTCAACCAACTAAATAAGGCATTGTATCGTGCGAATCCATACGTGTTCGTTGCTCCTTGACACCTCGCAGATGGGCCGCCTCCGTCAACAAGTCTGGTCGGGTGTGAGAAACATGCTCCATGCGGGTTGCCGGATTCGGCTGCCTCAGCAAGGGTGTCTTAAGTGGTGAGAGTTCGTGCGAATGATGAGCCCCCCTCCCCCCCCCCCTCTTACTTCGTCGTCCGCATACCGTCCTTCCATGCAGGTTTAAGCGCCGTCGTAACCAGGCCGGAACATCTGGTCTTTCGTGCGGATATCTTGGCTGGACACACAAACTTCCAACTCGATCAATGCCCAGTTAGTCGGCGTGTGGTCTGTCCTGCATGATGATCTGGAGCGGTAGTGGTTGCTACGGCACCACTACACGTGTAATACGGATAACTAAGCAAATGTGATTCATCACATTATCTCCAAGTGAAACCCCAGCAATATGTCTGGAGACTTGCACGCAAAGCTCCCCACCACGTTGGCTGAGCGGTACCGACGGTAGGCGTGAGTGCTTGGGAGGCTTGCCCCTTCGCGCTCACCGGCTGCTGCAGGCCACCGATCAGGAAATTGATTCCCTCTTATCTAAGGGACGGTGGCGCTCGGTCAAGGCTCCGTGGCGTTTTCAGGCTTTTGGTCAGTTTTCTTCTGTTTGTGAAGAGAGACAACGACAGAAATTGGCGGAGTTCGTCATACTACAAATAAATACAGTCCTCTGTATGTCTTGCGTGCATGACGAGGGCGCACCCTTTACGCCTCGCACCTACACTACCTTACCGAATGAGGGAGAATATGGTAGCATCGCGACGGCTGACTTGCAGCTCCTCCACAATTACTACAAGTGCTGGTTCCCATCTTCGTCAAGCTGTGGCGTCTGTGGGTGTGGAAGGGCTGACCTACGGCAAGTATGCAAGAGAGTGAGCGCATCCAAGAGATCGATTGCCCCCAATGCGCTGCCGAGGGCCGTCGGCATTGCGGAACAGAGTAGATACTTCATTTGTCGTAGCGCCGGGGCTCCCAAGGAATGAAGGTGATACATAGGCAAGTAACTTAATCCAGAGGACCACCCCTTTTCAGCCAGTGAAAGGTCTGAACTCACGCACTGGGACCCGAGTTTGTCCGCCCTAGGCGTATGCGCGCCTGAGCACGTCCAAAGGATGGTGAATGTATTAAGAGGTCTAAGCAGTAAGAGGCTCCATGCAACTATATACTTCAGTGCAAAGTTCTCGTCATAATCCGAACCGCCGAGAACAGCCAAACGTTCGCCATCCAGATGCTCCTGCATCCCTTCTAGGCCCCGACATCACGACCAAGGAGAATACAGGCGGGGGAGCAGGACGAAGAGGAAAAAGACAGGCAAAGGGTTGCAAGCGACCAACACAACACACAAAAAACAAAAATGAAACGGAACCGCCCGAGAAGAAAGACCACTCCTTCGCCGCCGTCAAGAGGCCAAAGCAAGAGAGCGCAGAAATAGACGTGCTGCCCGCTGCAAAACAGGAAAAAGGCTGCCACGCTAGCCATAGAACCCTCTATGTACTGAATATATCACTCGAGGAAAAAAAATTGAAAATTTTCCAAAACCAAGAGACCTCAGTGCTCATGCGTCCGAGTAGTAGCCGTCGTACGGGCCGTGGCCGTGTGGCTGGCTTCCGCCGCCGACAACATTCTCCGTGGAGCCCCAATAGTTATTGTTCCGGACCCTGCGGTCGCGCTCAAACTCGGCCCACCGCTTCATGGTGATCTTGCTGCTGTCGAACTCGCCCTCGTGCTCGTGGCCCGAACCCTTGGTCTTTTCGCCCGCCGTCTTTCTGGTGTCGCCCCACGAGAAATCGTCAAATTTCCAGAAGGCGTAGGTCGGAAGGATAAAATTCCAGACGGGCAGCGAGAGCAGATAGATCAACATCCACACGACGTATGACCAACTATGCGCCGTCACGACAATCAGGACAGCCGGTAGGCCGAGAATCAGAGCGAGCAGGACGAGTGGGATAATCTGCGGGGGCGAATGAATGATCGAGATGATGACTAAAATCGATAAAAAGTTAGAGATGCAATCTTTGGTGGTCTCGACCCGTCAGGTCAAATCAAGGGAGGCGGCTGCCGAACTTACCGACATAAAATGTAAAAGCAATGGCCGCAGGCAAAACAAGCGTGCCGATAAGCTCAACGAAGACGACAAACTGCATGCTGAAGCAGAAGGTGCCGCATAAATCCTTGACAAGGACAAGCTCCATCAGGTTGTGGATGGTCGAGTTGATCCACCGACGACGCTGGGACAGGAGCACCATGAACGTGTCCGGAACCGTTGTTTTGCACACAGCCTGAGGCACAAAGACTTGCTTGCGCTTGGGGAAGGTCCGCAGCATCAGGGTCGACAGATACCGATCCTCGCCGAGCAGCAACAGGTTCTTCTTGTGCAGCGTATCGACCACGTTCTCCGAGTAGTGCTCAACCACGTCCGGGTTGGCCAAGATGGGGACCCAATAATTCTGAGCACCCTTGGGTGCCTTGATGCGGTACATGCAGAAGCATCCCGGCAGACAGGTGACGCCGCCAAAAACCGACTCGAACGACTTGGCGAGGTGGTGCGAAATAAAGTACTCGAAGACCTGAATGGCCGACACCCAGCTGGCTCGCTTGTTGGCGATCTTTGTCTCGCCGCAGAGGCCCATGATCTCTGGGTCTTTGACCATGGCGGAAATCATGTGCGTCAGACTGTCGGGGAAAACCTTGGTATCGGCGTCCACCATGAGCACCACCTCGTAGAAGTCGGGCGAGATGCCCGTAACCTTCCACAGCCCGTTGAACATTTCGTACTCGAGCTCCGTCATGCGCTCGTCAAACATGACCTTCTGGAGGAAGGACATCAGGATGATCTGACTGTCGCGCTTGCCCCTGTTTCCAGGCTTCGCCTTGGTTGCCTCATCCGGGGTGCCACATTTGACCACCACCATCATGGGGACGCGCTGCTGCTTCTCGACAGGAATCGCCGACTTGACCCCGTAGTCGTAGAAGCCCGAGTAGATCTTGGCCATGTTGTGCCGCTTCGACCCGCTCGCGACTGCTACATACGAGAATGGCTCCACCTCCTTGGGCGGCACGCTCTGGTCCTTCAACATGCCCAGGACAATATCCGGGGTCGACATTGCTTCTCCCTTGCCCTTGATGATGCCGTCGCAGATGACAAGGATGACCTTGTGACTGTTGGGGTAGTCGGTCATGGCGATCGAGTCCAGGGTCGTCCGAATTCCCAGTTCACCTTCCGAGTAGGCAGTCACCAGACAGATCGCATGGGCCAGGGGAAAGCCGAACGGCATCCAGTCTGAGGGTGGCTGGGGAACCACAGCTTCGTGGATGAAGCCCGCAGGTCCCGGCCCGTCCGTGGGGCTGTTGCCGGTCGCGTACGGATCAGACTTGAGAAAACTAGTTCGACTGTCGTTACCTTGGCGATACATGGCGTTGGGGTTGAGCAGCTGGCCGGCAGTGTTCTGGCTTGTCATGGTGGTTGGCACCCCAGACTTTCGGTTAGCGCGATCGACGCCGTAGACGGCCGAGAACCGGGACGTTGTGGGTAAAAAGGTGCTGCTTCGTTTGCTGTGGCGGTCGGAGCCGTTGACGCTGCTTCCAATGTCGCCCGGCATGCGCGGTGGGGCCCGGTAAATGTCCTCGGTCCAGTCTTCAATCTGCTTTTGGCGCTTCCGCGGATCCGAAGTCTGCGAGGTCTTGGCCGCGGCATAGGTCTTGCTTATGAACCATTGGAATACAAGGGCGAGCACAAATCTCGCAAGCACGACGGAAAGAATCAAGACAAGTGAGAGATAGAGGACAACCTGAGAGGCGATACACCCAACCGTGTCCGTGTCGACCGTCCCGACCTTGATGATTTCCTCGAAGCACTCGGCGTTCTGCTTGTCGCCCGACGACTGGAACGCCCGCGTGATGTCGCGGCCGCGGATGGCCTGGTTTGCGGGCGAGTTGCGGTCCCTCAGCTCCTTGAAGCGGGCGGGATACGTGACCTGCGTGTCGTTGAACCAGTTAAGGAGGTCAAGGTCGAGGACGTTACCGGAATAGACGACCAGGTTGCGGGAGTTGTTCCTGATGTCATCCCACGTGAAGTACACATCAGCAGCGCCGTTGAGTCCCAGATAGAACGTGTCTCGGGCAGTGGTGCTGGTGTGGCAAGCATAGCCGAGGTAGTACGGGATTGTCAAGTTCGGCTTCGAAGACCCATCCTGGTTGAAGGTTGTGCAGGGGAAGTACCATGCCAAATTGCCGCTGGCGTCGGTTGGCACGTCGGAGCCCGGAGCGGCCTTGATAAGGCCCTTGCATTTACCGTTGACATTTTGGAACAGGAAACTTCCGTCCTTTCCGCCATTCTTCTCTGGGAGGTCGTAGAGCACGTTGGGGTAGGTGTTGTCTTGGCGCCGGGGAATGCCCTCTGCAGGGGGATGATGGGAGTTGACGAGATTGTAGGCTGATCCGTGGAAGATCATGTAACCCCCCGTGACTTCGTTCACACGCAGGCGTAAAGGAGGCGTGCCGCAGACCGTTTGCGTAAAACCGAATGTGAGAAAGCCGACAACGGCCATGATGAACAGGATGATGCTGATCAGGCCCATCTTTTCCCTCCATGCTCTCTGCTGGGCCTTAGAAGGCAGCCCGAAGCACCTGAGTACGAAGCCGGGACACCAGAACGTGACTACCGCACAGTAGATGTTCCAGAGGCTGGGTGGCCGCAACTGCTCAGCCTGCCGGCGCTGACGTTTCGATTCTTTGGTGATTTTGCCGTGCTTCACCCCGCTCGATTCCCTCCGCCTCGTCCGAGCAGGCTTCTCCGCCTCTGCACCGCGATGCCTCGTTGAACGCCGCCTCCTTGGCGGCGTGGTGTCCGAGAGAACCTCATCGTTCCGGGAGCCGGAACCCGACAAGTCGGTGGTTGCTTCTTCCAAATCCTCCACGATGGGGTCATTGCCCGTCGAGGACGGCAACACGTTCATGTTCGCGGCATGTTTCCGGTAGTGGTAGTTTGGGTGGTCCTTGCCTATCCTGTTCCGCTCCGGCCGGACGAGACTCCTCTTGCGCTGGAATGGCGACTCGGGCGGTTGTGCCTGGGGCGAGGTGGGCGACAGGGGAGTTCTCTCTATATCCGGATTATTAGGAGACGCAGTAGTCTCGGCGAAGGAGGATGCTGATGGCCCACGCTGATGGAGTGACTGCCCGCCGCCGACCGGGGCATACCCGCCGGCCTCAACATCTGCGGGACGCGGGTGTCGTCGCGATCGAGATTGTCGATAGCCATGCTGCTCCTCGTACAAGGGCGTCGCGCCCGGTCGTTGGGGAAGTGACATGATCCTGGAGAGCGGCCGAGCGTCAGCAATGCCACTCACGGTTCAAACGTTTGCGACATGACGCGGTCGCGCAAGGACGTCTTCAACCAATGCGGGGATTCCGTTGCTGGGGCCCTTGAAGACCTGAACGTGGCAGGAAATGGACAATCTGGTGCGGTATCGCGGAGTGGAAAGGGGATGACAGACACGATCACCACATATGGAAAAATCGGGAGCAGGGCGGCTAGCGGCAAGCAGAGCCGCTATTGAAGTGTGACAAGAGAAGAGAAAACCTACAGTGTGTGTGTACGAGCGGCTGGACGGTTTCGCGAGAATACCGGCTCAGTTCGGACGGATTTTCGAGTGTCGCGGATTTTCGAGTGTCGCTATTGGCAACCCTGCTGGGCTGCTTGCTGACGGGATGTTGTTGCTGTGGCTCGGCGGGGAATGTCCCCAGTTCCTCAGGAGACGGACCAGGGCGGGCCACTCAGCAGCGGGCGCTGCTGGCTGCTATAAAGAAAAAACTGGGCTGCGTTGCGCTCCTGGACAGGCAACCTGGAAGCCAAGAACCTTGAAGGAAGCCACGCTGAAGCGTCCGGTGTCGTCCAGACGACCCTTTTCCACACCTGCATCGGCGGTGCAAGCGGCACAGTTGTTCCTGCCTAGGGCCAATACGCGCTATAACAAGAAGAGTGGCTTGAAAAAGATTGGATTTGTTGAGGAAGTTGAAGCCGGCGAACTGAACCTGAGGCGGTTTCGAGAACAGCGGCAATTCAAGGGCACCAGATCCGATACCCCTTGCCTTCCCGCTTCCCGCCGCCGAGCGGCAGAGCAGTCCGAAGGAGATACTTAGGTAAAGAATGACGAGCGGCAGAGCGAACGAGGGACAGAAGACGGACAGCGGTTCCAACGCCCGGCAAAGAATAGCTGAGCCGACGTGAGGTAGGCTGGAAGAAATGGAATTCGCATCGGTGTTCTGGCGTCGCTTGTTCTCCCGTATTCCGGTCCCCAGCTCAGGGGCAAAGATGTTCGAATTATTCGGGGTTAGGGTCAACATGTAAACAAAACACTGGCCGACAAATTCTGATGTGCGCAGGATACGGGACACCACGGTAACTTTTGAACGCACGTTTGGCCCCCAACGGCGACTCGAGGATGTCTCCGGATACGGGGTGACGACAATGATGGGTACGAGATTTTGTTTACAAACCGTCTCGCCTTTTCTCATCACGGTTCACGAAAATGAGAGCTTGATTTGCCATCACTTCTGAGTTTGCATCAAGCATCCTGTCGTGTTCGTCGAGTATGGCCTCATCCCGGAAACGTTCTGTGAGCCGCCGTTTGAAAACGCCAGTGATGCGCCAAGACTTGGTGATTGTCACATTCGATTTTGATCGACGGTCTTCCTCCAGATGTCAAGTCGAGCCATGCAACGCTACAGCACACGTGGGTACCCAGAGAACGAGGAAACTTCGACATTTGCCCAGCCGCCAGTGACATCAGCCAAGTCCTACAAGACAACCTGCTCACGCCCTTAATAACATTGGCAGTAACGTTAAGGTATAAGTACTCCGTACGGATGAGGCGGATTAAAGTGTAAGGTATCGTCGAGTGTCCGCTCCTCGCGAATGAAATACGGAGAGCTTATTCTGTCGACGTGAAATACCAGTAAATTTGAACTGCCAGTGGGAATGGACCCCATACTACATACAGTAAACACGTTCCACGAGAGCGTCGGAACCTCTGTATTTCTTTACTTCTCTTAGTCTTCCTCTTCATCGCATTCCTTGACCGATAACGTTAAACCTTTCAAAGCCAGAATCAGATGCAGGGCGATCCAGCCTCCCAGACGTATCTCAGACCTGCGGTCTCAGCACATAAGGTATCTCCTATAACAGGTAGAGACGAGGACCACGGCAAGTTATTGTGATACTGTACTTCTCTTCCATCGCGCCCGCCAAAAGTAATGTTCAATCGACCTCCGAGGTTAAAGCCGCCCTGGGTATTGAACAACAAGTTTTCTGGTATTGTACGGATTATCATGCACCACGGATCTTGGCGCCGAGCCGGTGAGACGAACACCCGAACTCCAAACGGGACGGCATCCATCGTTATATTGTGTCCTATTATCCGCTCTCTTCATTTACCTACCGCCCCGGTAGACAGCTAGATCGAATCTAGGTAGGACATTGAGCACTTCCAATCTTCACCGCTTTGATCCCTCCCTTCAGCATGGCCGACGCCGCCCTCTCGGCAATAGGGCTTGACCCAACAGCAGTCCCATCTGCAACCCTTCAACATTCATCGCCAACAACACAACCAGCTCCTCCTCCCCTGGAGACATCCCAACTCCCAACCCCTTTCCACATCTCCCTCAACTCCACCCAACCCACGACCCTGGTCCTTCTCCACGGCATCCTCTCCTCCCACCTCGAATTTACCCACGTCATCCCGCTCCTGTCAGCCCACCACCTCCTCCTCGTCGACCTCCCGGGCCACTCCAACTCGTTCTCCCCTTCCACTCCCCGCAAGCCGGAGAGCTATTCCATCGCGTCCATGGCCGACGCCGTCGCCGCCGTCATCCGGGCGCATGCAAATGGTGGCAAGGCGCACGTCGTGGGCGTGTCGATGGGGGGATTCGTGGGGCTGGAGCTGGCGCGGCGGTACCCCGAACTGTGCGCGAGCGCTTGGGTCACGGGGGCGGCGCCGTTTGAAGGGTTTACGGCTTGGTTGGCAGCGCGGCCGGCGTGGATTGAGAGGTTCATGTGGGCTATGGAGGTTTTGCCTGACGGTGTGTATAATTGGTTGGCGGCGTGGCAGGGAATGAGGCCGCACGGGGAACTCAGGTTGGAGATGAGGAGGAATAGGAGGTCGGAGGTGATTCATGGGGTTTATGGGAGTATTCTTGCGGGGGTTAGGTGGGATGAAGTTAAGGGAATTGAGGGGGTTCGGGTTTTGACTGTGGCGGGTGGGAAGCAGGATGACGTTGAGGGAACAAGAAGGATGGGAAGGATTTGGAGGGAGCTGGGGCGGGAGGGGTGTAAGGCGGCCGTGGTGAGGGGGGCCGTACATGCTTGGGACTTACAGATGCCGGAGCTGTTTGCAGAGGGGGTGATGGCTTGGGTTGAGGACAGGGACTTGCCAGGGGAGTTTGAGGTCTTAGAATAGGGGGGTTTCTGTGGGTGTGTGTACGGGGCGGAGGAAACCTTTTCTCTTCCATCTCTACTCTCGAGCACCCACCTTCCCGACGGTGCTTTATATGAAAATTTCTGCACCCACACTAACGCCACCTCCTCCCATTGACCTAACACTGAGTTAGCTCAGCAGCATTGGGAGGAGCTGTGGTTGGAAATTCAGCAACCGAAATCACGAGGTTCGACTCCCGGTGAGAGAAGCAAAAACCTCAAGGTTTTCCATAGCCGACCACTCTATTCGATCGGCGCGGGAATAGAGCTGGTTGGTGAGCTTTTTACACTTTCTGTGTGACGGAAACCAAGGTTATGGGGGAAGGCCGCTATACACTTGTGATGCGGAACGACATGCTGTCACGCCCCACTTGATGAACCAGCATTCCCCTCAAGAAAGTTGCTGTTATGGTTCCTATGGCAGACACGGGATACTGTACTCTATGCGTGACATACCATGTCCCCTTCACCGAGCTCCCCTCACCGAGCCCCCCCAATCGAAAGCCGATAAGTGTGGAGGGTACGGCCATGAACAGTCATGTATAATCAAGGCCTATCAACGCCCGTCGGGATGGGCGGTGTTCCCGAGTTCCACCACCGAATATGCTATGGCGTTGGAGACAGGGTATGTGAATGGCCACCTCGGTGGGCTGATATGTCCGTGTGGGTACACTCCGATCTGCGTACAGAGCACACGTACGACAACCAACTGTCTTAACGTTTCTTCACCCGACCACATCAACCATTGCTAAAAGAGACTTCGAGTCATCAGAGCAAAAAAAGTGAGTGATTTGTTTTGGGCTTGCTCTAACAGATGACCGGCCGAAACGTGAGGCGCAAGCTAGGGCACAGCCCGCAAACTTCGAGCCATTCCGTTGGAACAACATACTCCGGGACGCTTATATAACCGTGATACGGTGCTCATAATGGTATGATGGTGAGTTGAGGTTTGAGGCATGTGACAACCGGCTGGTATGCGAAGAAGCAACTTCGAAACCATCTCGGCTTCTAGACAAGTACTGGCGGCTGCTCGTCCCCGGGCGCCACTCCGACGGCAGCGAGCCTGCATGCAACGTCCGGTCGGTGCTCGGCGAAGTACCTACCGTCGGTTTGGCGCCGAAGAAACGGGTTGGAGCGATCCCCGTGTTGCGAAACAGCTTTCCATTGTCCGGTTGCACGCACCGACACGGGTCGGGCGGCACCACAGACGATGCATGCAGTTCCCGGGACAGAAAAGAGTTGGCGGGAGCTGCAAAAATCCCCGAATTCAGCCCTACTGCCTCGGCGGTTACCGCAGCATGCCTGCATCTGACACCCGCAAACGTGGACTGCTCACGAGTTCAGCCGGCTGTTTGGGTCCCGAAGAGACACAGAGACGCTTTTACCTTAAGTCGGAATGAAGCCATTGGATTCACAAGGTCGTTCGTTACAAGCGGCCCAGTGCCTTCCGTCGACTTGTATATTACAAACGCCAAAATTGACCCATATGTTAGTATTGGCTACCAGTGAAATCATTAGCGTTGGTGCCCGGTAGTTTGATTCCATGCTGCTTGTGGCGCAGACACTAATACTGTGCGAACCTCACTCCGCCAAACATGTCGTCCACACCGCGCCATAACACGACGGGCCTGGGAGGCTGAGCTGTTCTCGTTGGGCCATTGGGCGACTTCAGCAAGCAATGCGAAAGAACTGTCCAGAGGGACAGCAAGGTGCTGGAGTAGGAACAGGATGGTCTGCTCTTTTTGAGGTTGGCGAGAAATCGCGCAAGGAAAGTCAAGGCGCACTTGTCGTAGCGGCGTTTCCCGAATTTGCCGAAACCGAAACGTGAGGCTGGGCCTTGAATTGCATGACCAGTCGCATCCAACTTCCATCGCGCCTCCGTATGACTTCTGAAAACGGCACCAAGGTTGAAATCCGACAACGAACACGAGGCACGGTAGTGACGTCCCAGACAACGAAGGTATGTTCCCGCGAAAACGTTGCGATTGATACTTTGTCTTACTCGCGCCGCTTCCGTGTCGCGCCGTCACCAACTGTCCGAGCAGCCCAAGCGGGGGACTGGTTGGTCGATTTCCGGTTTCGCCGCTGAGCGCAGCCTTCTTCCGGATTGCGCGATGGAACCATAATGAGGCTGAACGGGCCTGGACGAAGAGATCGGTCGCCAAGTTGCTAGCTGAAAGGCGAGCTATGTTACCACCGTAAGAGGTTGATTTCGCATGCGCAAGACGCACAGCTTTCCATGTGCGGATCCAGGCGGAATGCTTGTGCCCAAGAATCAGAGAATTGCACACCTCAGGAAGAACGATGGAAGAGGGGTATCAAGCAGCCAGGCAGCGAGAGAAAAACTTCCCAGCTCACCTTTTCGGTGTACAGGTAAAGCCCGATGTTGGAAAGGTACCTTATCCCCGTTTTAGATACCGTCTTTTCTGCAGGGATTTACAGCAAAGCCACTACACGCTAGGACGCTTGACGGGGTTGCGATTCGCTCCGTTTCCCCCGTCTTGCTGCAGCAGAGCCCACCTTTCAGCCCACCCCCAGAGAGGTCCACGGGTGCCGTCTTCCAGTGCCTCATGCAGACTTGCAGTGGTTGCCGTCTCCTCTTCGCCTCGTCTCGGACTGTGGCTTAACTCCCTCCTCATCACCTCGACCACCAATCCCTACGCTCGCTGAACCTTTTCTGTTGTTGTTGTCCAGTTTTGTCAACGTCCCCTCGCTGTCACATCGCTGCTGCCGCTCGTTAGTTAGTGCCAGCCAGTGCCTGCTGACTGCCGCGTGCCGTGCACCCGTCTGCAGCTTCCCTGCGATCCGGCCAGTTTCCAGGTTCGGCGGAGACGTCGTTGGAGATCCATCATTCCAGCTCTGGCCACTGCGGAAAGTGCAAGGGTTCAAGGAACCACCCCAGCAGCGACCAAGGAGCCGGATTTCCACAAATCTCACACATGGGCGCGAGAGTTGCAGACATCCCCGCAAACCTAAGCCCGAACCAAACTCTCAGCAAGCGTTGTAAAGTCCAAGCGTTGCACAGTTAACAGCAAAAACATACGCTACCTACGCTCACCTCTTTTCCCTTCACCGACACTCCCCTACATTGGTCCAGGTACACAGCGAAACATCAGCTCTTTTCTCGGGCGAACGCCGTTCACTTGACCGCCCACAATGGCGGCCGTCGGCTCTCCACCATCCTCCGCCCCGACTTCGCCCAACAGCCCACGTCGGAAACCCGTTCCTCCTCTCCACAACCTGTCGCCCATCGACCGCTATGACTGGGGGGAGAACGTGAAACCGCTGCCTGCCGGGCCGCTGGCCTCGTCGCCAAGGTTACGGCAGTCTCCCGTATCACCCGTCAAGGTCAACTTCCAACCCGAAGACTGGGCCCGCCCATCCACCGGCAACATCGAGACGCACCTCCCGCCCGGACAGCCCGTCCCTCCCGCCGTCCTCGACCGAGCGCTTCCGAAGACGCCCGACGCTCCAACGTCCCCGCCGCATACGCCTCTATACCAACCCAAGCACGGCTATGAACAAAATGCAGACTTGTCGCTAGCCTCCAAGCGCACCGAAATATCAGCCCCGCACCAGGCTGCCAGCATATTGAGCTCGGAACTTGACGAGCTGAGTGTCAGCGACCAGCCCGGAAGAAAAGCAGAGAACCGGAACAGCAGGGAATCGGATGCCACTGGCAGCGTTTCGCGGCAGCAGACGTCAGCCGAATCGTCAGCCACCACGAGTGCCAGTTCTGTCTCTGGAATTCTCGATGTCTCGGACAACCCAGACAATTCGGCCGATGCATCCACCGAGAGCTCCGTCATGGACGACCCCGCCGTCCAGCCCGAACCTGTGCCTCAGCTGGAGTACCATCACTCGGCATTCCTCCCGCGTCCCGCGAGCATGGCCATGGCGCAAGATCCGAAAGCCCAGTCAAACCCGAACCTCGCCGAGGCTGCAGGCATCAATCGCCACCTCACGCCGACCACGAACTACATCAGGAGGACCTCGCTGCAGCGGCCCCAGTCGGCCTACTCGGCGTTCTCTGACTCTGGGCCCCGCGGGCGCTCGCCTGGTGTCTTGGGCGGCTCGCAGCTTCGGGCACACTCAAAATCTCCCGAGACCCGGCCGGCTTCGTTTGCCGACCTGCTCAACGTGCCATATCCGCAGCCGGCGCCAGCTCCCATCACGTTTGACAATTCACAGCTGCGGTCCGCCGTCGGCAACAATGCGTCTCTGCTCAGCACCGAGAAGACGCTGGAGATGTACCGGCAAAACGTGAAGAAGACAAACGACTTTTCCATACTGTACTCTTTCGCAGTCTTTCTCATCGCCACCGCCCAGGAGCAAGGTCTCGACACTCGAGATTCCAAGAGGACAAAGAGCCCCAAGGCCTCCTCGGGAGAGGGCTCTCCGTCGTCTGTCCACGATCTTGTTCGGGAAGCTCGCGCCATCTTGCAGAAGCTTTCCAACAACGGCTACCCGTTTGCGCAATACTACCTTGCTGATGGCTACGCCTCGGGCTTGTTCAGCAAGGGCAAGGAGGACTATAATTCGGCGTTTCCGCTTTTCGTCCTTGCCGCCAAGCACGGACACGCAGAGTCGGCGTACCGCACCGCGCTGTGCTACGAATTCGGCTGGGGATGTCGCAAAGATCCTGCCAAGGCCGTGCAGTTCCTGCGCACCGCCGCTTCCAAGAGGCACCCGGGCGCCATGACGAGGCTGGGAAAGGCGTGCCTCTCGGGCGACCTTGGCGAGAAGCGGTACCGGGAAGGCATCAAGTGGCTCAAGTTAGCCGCCGAAGCCGCTGACACCATCTACAATGCGGCGCCCTACCACCTCGGGTGCCTGTACGAAACGGGATACGGTGACGACATATTCCGGGACGAGAGCTACGCCGCCGAGCTTTTCACGCAGGCTGCCGAACTGGGCCATCCCGAGGCCAATTTCAGAATGGGCGACGCGTATGAGCACGGCAAGCTCAACTGTCCGAGGGACCCGGTCCTGAGCGTGCACTTCTACACCGGCGCTGCCGAGCGCGGTCATGCGGCGGCCATGATGGGTCTCTGTGCTTGGTATATGGTCGGCGCAGAGCCCGTATTGGAGAAAGACGAAGAGGAAGCATACGAATGGGCAAGGAGGTCAGCTGATCTTGGTAGGTTCTTTCCTTCTTTGTACTCGGCAAATAGCCTAAACTTCGAACATTGAGACGCTGACCAATGGTTTTCCCCACGCATCAGGTTACGTCAAAGCACAATACGCTGTTGGATACTTCACCGAGATGGGCATAGGGTGCCGTCGGGATATACTTGAAGCGAATGTGTGGTATGTCAAGGCTGCCGACGCCGGCGACGATCGCGCGAAACAGCGGCTTGCCGCCATCCGCGCTGCCATTAGCGGTGGCACGCCGATGGACGTTGGCCCCCCTCGGAATGCTAAGGTCAGGAAGAGCGGCGACGGCGACACCGATTCCAAGGAGTGCATAGTAATGTGAGGGCGGACCTGTTGGGGGCCCCGGGGGGGGGGCGGTGTGTGTGCAAAATCTCCGAGTACAAAGATTCTGATGTTCTGGCATGGCGAAAGACATGACGGTTTTTGGGTTTGGGTAATGGTTTAATACGACATCATCACACGCCTGTTGTCCCATTGTCCCACAGTTCAGAGTATGCCCCCCGCGAGGGGGGGGGGGGGGGGGCGGGGGCGGCATTGGGTCCACTGAATGGCAGGCTGGGGACGACAGCTTCTAATGATCACGGCGGCAGTATGTGGTTTTTCCCTTTCTCTTCCCTCCCGACAAGCGAGAGAGTTTTGGATAGCGGACGGCAAGCAACCGACTCCGGGCTGCCCCAGCTGTCGATTTCACGTCCTGTTGGCTTCGGTTCCCTTGTCGAAAAAGGCAACATGTGTTCGCTCCGCCACAGTTTCCTTTTCATCTGCTTTCCTGTTTCCCTCGGTTCGTCCTTTGTTCGGACAGACTCCTCTGCATCGGGGCATATTCGGAGTGAGGATAACGGCGCGAGAAGGGAAGTTCAGGGCATGCCCTCCTGCGTTGCCTTTGATGCCGCTCAAACGACACTCCCTTTGGTATTCTTCCGCTGGCGTTGGGCGCGTTCAAGTTCTGCTTGAATCTTTTCAAAGTAGCTATCGGGCAAAGGTACGGTCAGTTGGGTGGTGGAGGAGGAGGACGAGCCCTGTGCATATCAAAGGGGAGAGTCATAATTATTGGGGTGCCATTGTCACATAGTTGCTCGGGCCTGAGCGACCTGGGCTTCGGCAAAGTCAAACTCTCGTGACTTCCCCTGGGGGAGGTGTGCCGGGTTGTCAGCGAGCGGCAGCAAGGGCGACGAAGTTGGCAGCAGGCTCCGGTATATAGTTTTGACACAGCGATAAAAACGTATAATAAGTCTTTGAGGGGACAGGGCTAGCGCTTCGAGTGAGAAACGAAAGAAGTGTGTGAAAACACCCCGCGATGATGCGATGCTCAATGAAAACGCGCCCGACAAGTAGCCACCAAGCCACTCCAACGCCACGCCCATCATATCTATGTATGCGCATCATGTCTAAGGTAGTAGTCCAGGATACTCCATCGATTCAAACGAAAACCATCCAACAGCATTGATTGACACCCCATTCCCCACCCCTCAAACGCCCCTACTCCATCGCCAAGATGACCTGCAGCACACTACAGTTGCCTCAACTTCCTGGTCGACCAAGCCGCCACCAAGGAACTCAGCGCACCAAGGAACATGCACACGGCGATGGCGTTGGGTCCGGTGGTGTCGCTATGCTCGCTGGGGTGCGCCTCGGTCGCCAGCTCGGGGCTCTTGCCCGGCTCAAGCACGGCAAACACCACACCGCTCATGACGGTGCTGAGGAACTGCGGGATCGTGACGTAAATGTTGAGGATGCCAAAGTAGATGCCGCTCAGCTCGCCCGTCGAGCCGTGGCCGCCGGATTCGAGGAGCGAGGAGGCCTGAAGGCCGTGCTCGACGTGGAGCATCTCGATGCCTGCGTCGTTGGAGAGGCGGCGGTGGGGGACTGTGGTGGGAGTGGCCGGGTTGGAGGAGAAGGAGGAGGAAGAGCCGTCCAGCTTGTTGACCTCGATGCCGAGGAATGTAACGGGCGCCCATTGCGAGACGCACCAGGGGATGCCGCACAGCGCGACGATTGCCGTGGCGAAGCGGAAGGAGGTGGCGAAGGGGGTGAAGAGCATGGCGATGGCGAACACGACGCTGCTGGCAATCCAGGCAGTCAGCAGATCGGGCTTCACCTTGTTGAACGCCTCTATTAGGGGTGCGATGCTGGCGGGCGGGCGGGCGGTGAAGTTCTCTTCCTCGGGTGCTTGGATCAGGGCCGGGAGGATCCAGGCGCTGACGAAAGACACGGTCGAGTAAACGGTCAGGGCCATGCTTCCGATGCGACCCATGTCACCCAGAGCATCGTGCGAGTCGTCACCGGCCTTGGGCGAGAGATCGTAGCGGAAGTAGGTCTCGCCAACCCAGGTGCTGCTGTAGATGATGAAGGGGAACCAGCCGATCCAGGACCAGAACACAGCGTTGCAGATGCCGCGGATGCGGGGAGGGAGTGTGAGCAGCGTCGACCAGATCTGGCGGACGACCTTGAAGCGACCCTGGGCCCGCCGAGGGTCGTGTCGCACTGAGATGAGCACTCGCTCCGTGACGGCCCAGCAGGTGATGGCCGAGGTGAGCAACATGCCGAGAGCAGCGATGACGGTGAGCTGCTTGAACTGGCTGTCGCCGAGTCTTGGGCCAAAGAGCTGCACAAGATCAAGGGCGCCCATGGCGTAGCCGATGATGTGTCCGAGCGAATTCATACGGCTGGCTGTGGGTAGAGTCAGGACCACGTAGCATGCTGTCGCATGAAGTACAATGAAAACTTACACCAGGCAGCTCCTGTCTGCTGCTTCTGGATGGGCAGCGTGTCTACAACCAAGCTTCTCGCGCAGGACATGACTAGCAGTTTGCGCATTAGTGGGCTTCCAAGACGGTTCGAACTGGGCATATGGGGCCTCACCTGCGTTGATGGAAAAATCTACGCTGTAGAGGGACAGAACGGCGAGCATTATTGTCAACGCCCTGACCGTCTGCGGATCCGACACAAGGGAACCAACAATCTCCTTCGTGAAGCCCAGGGCTAGCAGACTGCAGGCGACGATGAGAGACCCGATGGCAATGACGGGCCGCCGCCTGCCCCATTTGGATGTCGACTCATCAGCGATGGCTCCTATTATGGGCTGCACAATCAAGCCCGATACTGGGCCGGCAACCCAGACGAGGGACGTCTGTCCTTTTGTCAGTCCGAGGGACAGAAGATATGGTGTGCAGTCTGCATGTCCAAGGTTAGCCGGGCGGCCACATATATGATGGTTGCGGAGAGGGGAAAAGGGGGCAGCATACATGTCATCTCGACACCCCAGGTGAAGCTGGAAACAGCAAGTCAGCAACCGGCATGCCTCTTCCCGGCGCACAACGCATGTGATGTACGGACGTAATACCAATGGAGACGCAGGTCAGCAGAACCATGCGCACCGTCTCGGAGCTACCCTCGACCCTCGGATGGCCCGCCCATGTCGACATGGCTACGCTATCGTCGTCGTCGTCGTCGTCGTCAAATGGCCTTTCGTAGGCAACGAAAACGTGGCCGACCCTGATCTCAGGATGCCGATCGATCAAACTGTTGCTGCTGTCCCGGCTCTCCAAACACCTGCGAGTATCCTCGAATCGCACCGTTGTTGGCGAGTTCCGGATCCGACTTCCAGACGTCGTCCGGGTCTCGGAATCCGCCAGCCAACTACTTACCCCGGTTGGGCAACGGGCAGTGAGGCTCGGAGCTCGTGTACTGGAATGCGATCTGGCGCTTGGATCGTCTGCCATGAAAATGGTGTCAGCACGCCTACCGTTGGAGCTATTGGCCATATGGAGGTCGAATCCATGTTCCACAACCGAAAGCTTGAACCCTTACTATATCATGGCATCTGCGGTAGCACCTGCTCCGATAAGAGCATGGCACAGAGTTTGGGCACACCGCGCAACCGAAGACGGTGTGGCTTTCCCGGCGGACTACCAAGCAGGTTCCCCGTGCACTGTGTTGTCGCCTGTCTCGAGTTGGTCTGGACACGATTCGAAACTGGCGGTGCAACAGGTCGCTAAACCGTTGTGTACTTGTACTTGTACAGTCCCAATACAACGAGCGACGACAACTCTGAGCAAAGAGGGCAGCGAGCGAGTGTGAGAAGCTGGAATACGGCAGATGGAAGGATTGACGGCGGCCGAGATGCGCACACCTGCTATTTTTTTAGTCGACTATCGTGTTCACCACAGGAGGTGTGCAGAAAGGTCCCACTGCGAGTTTGGGGCATCGAATAGGGGCGCTGTGACGTACGGGGTCTCAGCCGCGCAACCGATGTCGTTTAGGTTACATTGTGACAAGAGAGGCATACAAATAAGCGAGGTGGACAAATAGATCCAGAATCATCAACTAATATGAGGCTTACGAAGGAAAACATCGTCGAAGATCCGTTTCGACCTTTCTAAACATGCAGAGTTGCATAGATGCTGCACTCGACCGCTTGATCATGGGAGTTGCACGGCCCGGCCCGCGTATCGTACAATTGTACAGTATTGGACCAAGTATGGTATTTGGTAACGTACGGTTCGGTTTGTATATGTTCAGCAAGCAGCTCGCCCTCCCCGGATTCTGGACTTTAATTTCGAGACTAAGGTACTCGGCATGCCCCTGAATAAGCGTAATACAGACAACTTAGGCAATATGCATGCATGTTGAGTTTGGTAAATGCTGTGTCGTCACGGTATTTGTACCAGAAATGCAGGCACGAACAGGATCTTGAGCCAACCCTGCCCCACCAAGACGGACGAGGGGCAACCATTGACAGCGCTCCGATCTAGGAACGTGGACTCCAACCAAAAAATCGACCTCTGACTCGAGTCACTCGACAGCTGGGAACGAACCACGGCAGCACGGTCCGAGATAGCTTGCTTTTGTGCGACGTACCTTCCGGATCTCAAAGTGGTCGATATCAAACAGCGGCTGCTGTACGACAAAGTAAGTACTGCGGGGGAAACCGCCCCATCCATTTACCGCAAGGCCAGCTAACAACTACCCCGCCATGCGTCCCATCACCACTTGGTTACTCCCGCCTTGTAGACACAGCCTACTTACAATATCCGGCTAGTAACCCTCTTCCTGCACTCTTCTTGTGCGATATCTGCCAAATCCCGCCCTCGACTGTCCTTCCCGGGCACTGTGTCACCTAGTTCGCCATGGATCTGGTCAACCAGTAAGTTATTCCCCTTCCCCCAGCATCCCGGCCCTTATATCCATAATCCAACCCTTACTCTTGTTCCGCATGCAACCTTTCTTCCCTCTCTCTAGCAGCCGAGAGTCGCCCTTGCTGTCATGGCTCAGGAGCTGATCTCTCTCGAAAGCCTAGAAGGCCGGCTGCTCTTCGCAGTTCCCAAGAGTGTGTCTCGCCCACCATGACCCTTGCCTTACCTTCGAATATCTGTCGTTTTGAAGGGGGGAACTCGACGCAGTGCTGACCCCTTCCAAACCCGGGAAAAAGAGGGTCGCCTCCTCCAAGCAAGCCTGAACCTTCTCGAAGGCGCCGATATCCAGTTCAAGCGTGAGAACCGCCTCGACATCGCGCTCGTCAAGAACCTGCCCATCGCCCTCGTCTTCCTCCCCGCCGCCGACATCCCTACCTTTGTCGGCGAGGGCCGCGTCGATCTGGGTATCACGGGCTACGACCAGGTGCAGGAGCACGATGCCGGCGTCCGGGCGCTCGCCCGCGCCCGCCGCATGAGCAACGAGTGGGACCCGACCAAGGCGGCCTCGGGCAAGCCCCAAGGCTGCGAGACGGTCATGGACTTGGGTTTTGGCTCGTGCCGCCTGCAGGTCCAGGTGCCCGCCAAGGGCGAGTACGCGCAGAGCAAGGACCTGATTGGCAAGAACATCGGCACCAGCTTCGTGCACCTCACGCACGAGTACTTTGCGCGCCTGGAGATGGAGCAGGAGGGTGCGACGGATCCGGCGCGGGTCGAGGGGAGGAAGCTCCGGACCAAGATCATCGAGCTCAGCGGGAGCGTCGAGGCGGCCTGCGCGCTGGGTGTGGCGGATGGCATCGTTGACTTGGTTGGTGAGTTGAACAAAACATACCCAACCCCTTTCCTTGCGCTCACTTGCCCCCCCTAACCAAACAACCTCTGACTTTCCCTTTCCCCCCTGGCTCCAGAATCCGGCGAAACAATGAAAGCCGCCGGGCTCAAGGCAATCGACACGGTCGTCCAAACGTCGGCCATCCTCATCAAGTCCAAGGCGCCCAGTAACCCGGGCCTGGTCGACTTGATCGCCTCGCGCCTTCGCGGTGTCATCACGGCGCAAAGGTACGTCCTTTGCCAGTACAACGTGCCTCGCGCCAAGCTGGCCGAGGCGACCAAGATCACGCCCGGCAAGCGCGCCGCCACCGTCACGTCGCTCGACGAGGAGGGCTGGGTGGCCGTCAGCGCCATGGTGGAGAAGAAGCGCATCGCCCCCGTCATGGACGAACTCGTCAACGTCGGTGCCGAGGATATCTTGGTGCTCGACATTCACAATACCAGGAGTAGCTAGGCGGGTGAGCTATTTAGAATAGAGCCAAAAAAAGAAAAATAATAAAAATAAAAAGCGGGCATTCAGTATACCATTTTTTCAGTCTTTGTGTGCAGACCCCTCCCTCACTGGGAGTGGTAGGGGTATCAAGTCAGATACAGAAACTGAGTGCTTTCAACCTCCCCTTCTTTCCAAACGCCGTCCTTAAGTCAGAAAGCCAACCGGAAACTGCACATGGGAAAGAAAAAAAAAAGAGCGGAAAATTATAATACGCTGCAACCGCACCAAAGCCCCTTCGGCCCCCACAGCCTCATATCCATCCAAGCTCACGAGCGGTAAGAACGGCCAAGCCATGGTGATCAAAGCCAAGGACAATCAAGCAAAATATAGATACATAGAAAAACCACGCAAAAGGAGCCAATGGCACGGCAGCAGAGTCGACACCGTTGCCACCTCTGCCATGGTCCATCAGTAAATGGGCCTGCCCTCCTCCCACTTCCGGTGAACAGCCTTGCGTTCCAGCGCATTTGACGGCGGCCTGCTGCCGGAGGAAGAGTCCTCAATTTCCGCCTTGACGTCCGGCCCCCACGATATGCGGGCGCCGCCGACCTTGCGCCGGCGGACTGTACCGTCGCCGCCGGGGGCGCCGAGCCTGCTGGGTCCTATCCACTCCCAGGCCCTCCCCACCTCGCCGTTGCGGCCCTCGCGCTGGCCCGTGCGGACGTTGCTGTTCTGCTCGACGACGGCGCGCACGAGCTGCCAGAGGCGCTCGCGGTCCGACAGGCTGTGCAGCGAGCGGAGTACGTCGTCGCGCAGGTTGGGAAGGAAGAGGAAGGCGTCCTCGTCGTCGGCCTCAAAGGCGACTTCTTTCTGGGTCGCCAGGCGCTCGAGAACCTCGTCCACCAGCTCCGGCACCCTGGCCGCCAGGGCGCGGTTGTGAATGAAGCGGCGGCGGCCGTAGAGGATAGAGAGCAGCGAGAAAATCAGTCCACCAATGCTGAGTCGATGTCGAGCCACGCCGAGCTTGACGGACCGGCGGAGCGCGCAGGTGTACGAAAGGCGAGCGAGAGAGCTGGACGATAGCTTGGTGTTTGGAAAGGCGGAGGTACCGGAGGTTCTATGGGGCCGGCGACGGGTCTGGTTAGTCCCATGGGTCAGAAACTGATATGAATACGACAATGTGCGCAATGATTGACTGCTCGGTGCGCGTGGGAGGATCAATGAAACACGAGAGAAAAAACTTACTGAGAAGCATCAGAGTCCTCTTGATGCACCTCGACTTCGTCACGCGCTTTGACCTCGCCAATGGCCGCAGCCCAGAGTTCGTCGAATTCTTCAGCGGCCATTCTTTTGCTGCGCTTCTTGCTGAGGATCTCCTTGAGCTCCTGCTCATCAATGGCAGGGCTGTCTAGAGGGCCGCCTTCCGGATCGACCGGCTCACCGCACTCGTACTTGGCCCTCCGGTCGCGGAGTTCCTCCACCGCCTTGTCGGCAACAGCCTGGACTCGCCGAACTTTCTCGCCGTCCGGCTCGCACGTAGGTGGTAGAGGAACAAGGCCCCCGAGGGAAAGCGGGTGAGGCTTCAAGATGAAGTCGGACTCGCAGCGAGCCGTGAAGCCCTCGTAACAGTAGGCATGCGGCGGACATGGTTCGCATTGCGGTTCAAAAACGGGAATAATCCAGTCAGGGACCTGGACATTCTGAATATCGAGCTTGGCGCCCATTTCTGCAGCCCATTCTGGGAGCTGGATGTTGGTTGGGATCAGCTGGGTCGGCTCTCGGCCAAGCCCGCAGTATCCCACTGCAACCTTCTCTTGTCTGTACCAAGCCACATAGGCAGCAAGCAGAGTGGTGATAAGAACCCATATAGGGGTCGACAAGCTTGAGCTGCGCTTGACAGGGCGTGGACCTCTCCGGGAAACGGTCAACTCTGGGCGGGCGGCTTCCTCCTGATTGAGCGCCAGTTGTTCTTCGGGAGTGAACTCCTCGTCGGGTTCAATCTCGCGTGGTTTGGCCGTGGCGACCCGGCTGAGGGGCATCTCAATGCTCCGAGCAATGGTGGAAGGCTCCTCGGCATCTTTGAAGGCATACCCATCGGTCCGGCGACGAGCAGTGGCGGGTGTTTGTTTCCGTACCGACTCGAGGCCCGTCGTCTTGCGACGGTTGGTGGGGGTTTTAAGGGGTGTCATTGGTGAGTTGGCTCCGCTCTGGAAGGGGTTGTCGCTGGAAAAGACGCCCTCAGTCTCGGGGGTTCGCTTGAAGAATTCGTCTTCCTCTGGCGGCTCCAGTTTTGGCACGGGGGTGGCGCGGCGATCGCGCCTGACAGACCGAGCTGTTTCGGTCTCTGGGGCTGTATCGGTATCGGACGCGGGCGGCAATTGCGCGCTCATTGCTCGCGACTGTCTCTTGCGAGGGCTCTCTCGGAAGGGTGCGGGAGTGAGAAGAGCGTGGTCGGCCTCTTCAGACTCTCGCTTCACCCTCGTTGTCTTTCTGGGCGACCGCGAGCGCCTCGCCGAGGGCGGCAGTGGCATGGGCTCGTCATTGAAATCAGTGCTGGTGGTGCTGTGTGAGTCGGCATCCACAATGCCCCTGCTCGTACGCTTCGCGCGAGCACGGGTGGCCAGGATCTTCCCAGACTGCGGCAGGACATGTTCGTTGAAGAGCTCGACCAGCTGGGGTTTCTTGGCCTGGGAGGGATATTGAATGTTGTGAGTGACGAGGATGGAGCGCAGGCGCGGGACTGTCAGCGACCAGGGATCGAAATTTGCTTGCAAGTAATCGACGTTCTCCGTGTCGGACATGATGGCGATTGTCCAGAGCTCGACAAGAGGGCTCTACCAGGACGGCGTGGCGTATAGAGTGGCTAAGATGGATTGACAAAGATTTTAAAATGCATGCAGCACGCTGCAAGACGGAGGGTTCCACAGATCGTCGTTGATACGCAATGGAATGCGCCAGGGCGACAATGCCTCTTCTGGCAAGAATCTATTAGGACAGTTTGGAGAAGGTTTTGGGATGTTGCAGCTTTGTTGGTGCGCTCACCAAGTCTAAACAAACTGATGACGGAAGCGGAGCAGCTTGTTGCCTAGGTGGCAACGGGAGTTGCCAAGCCACAGCAGTTGTGTGCCACTTGTTGGATTGCGCCACATAACGTCCTTTGTTGGGAAATATAGACAACTTTGTTTACAGTACCTACCTTATGCACTGGATGCAAGATTAACGAGACAACCAACTTTAAGCTCCTCAGAACCTATTTTCGAATTAAGCAAGGCGTAGTCGACCCGTATCTCCTTCCAAGTAGCTTCATTATCAAACCTACGTTTCCATTTACTGTGTAAATATGACTTGCTAGTCGCTACACCCTTGCCTGTGTCTGCGCGAGCTCCTCTAGGCAACTACTAATTCGCTGTTCTCTCTTCCTTTGATATCCTATAGATTTATTCGACAGTAAGAACACGAGCCTGGTCATGACGCCTCCGTTGGTGAGAGCGGGCTAACAACATGAAGACAAGAGAGCACCTCTGCCTGGTTTGGCGTATGGTGGGCTGTGTTATTCTGTCTTCACGTCACTGTTTGTAGCCGTTCCCGACTGGCTCCTCTGAGCCAGGCGGCCATTTGTTCAGCCCCATCGCCCTTCTCGCATTGAACGCCTGGGCTACTGTTACCTCCGTACGAACTTCGCCAACCTCTCCGAGTTCGACAACAACCACCATGCTGAAGCAGGTTGTGCGCAGTTCCGCCATTTTCCTTCATCACCTGCATCCCTATCGACCCAACCAACAGCGCAGCTTCCTTAGGGCCTACTCATCCTGGTACAATGTCAACGGGACTCTCAAAAAACCTAGCGGGACCTTCTCCCGTTCCATGCCGGGAATTCGGCGCTGTCCAACGTCAATCTCCGTTATCCGTCAAGGCCGCCCGCCTCATGCCCATGGTCAGACAGCTCTTCATCACTATAGTTCTGCACTATCTTGCCGTCCGCCCCCCACCAACAAAAAGCCGTCAACCACCCCGACAGCGTCACCAGCCCGCCCGACATGCCTGTGTCGGCCTCGTGGACCGCGCGCCTCCAAAAGTGCTTGACATCCCTTGTCCACTGGACGGTCAAAGCTGGCCACCATGTACTCGAGCATGTTAGCCAGCCGCACAGTCCAGTCCGTAGTTTTCTCGTGGCGGATAGCCTCAAACCAGGCCATCCGTCGAAGCATGTCGGCCCAGTCATTTTGTTCGCCCAACAGCGTCATGGACGGAAAGCTGCAACCGAAGTCAATCCCATAGCCGAAATACTCCTGCATAGTCCCCAGAAACGCTATAGCGGCCGTGGCCCGGTCGTGCGACGTGGTGGTGGTGAAGGTAGGCAGGAGGGTAGTAGCGACGTCAGGATCCTTGAGCCGCCCCTTCACCATCGCAACCAGCTGCTGCGCAACGCGCCGAAGTCCGCTGTCTCGATGGTGTGGGGGCGGGCGTCCACCGCGAGTTCCGGCCAGCCGTCGTGAACAACGAAGATGGGACGGAGAGCCTCGGCGTTTTAGTTCACGAAGAAGCTGAATTGGGTGAGGATGGCGAGCCACACGTCGTTGGGCCGGAGCCTCAGGTGCAGGTCCTGCTGCCATGCGCGGATGACGGTGTGGGTGAAGCCAGTCTTGTCGGGCGCAATCGGGTAGCAAAGGCGGTTTGATCGAGCCTCATGTTGGGCGCTGAATGAGCAGCGTAAGATGGGGTAGCACCGGTTGTAGGGCGAGACATAGCGGAGCAGCCCCGAGGACAACGACAGACTCCGGTGGCGGTTGTTGCCACTCTGGGGGTCTGGTTTGATGATGGCGATGTTTACCAGGTAGGTTGTAGAAAGGAGACCGTCTATCCGTACCAACCGGTGATCGCTGTGCACTGTTGCATCAGCTCCTCGACACTGCAACCACGCTCCACAAGGAACCGGTTAGTGGAATAATCTCGGCTTGTAGGAATGGCGCGGGATTCCGTATCACGGAGCAGCGAATATTGTCTTCTGGTGAAAGAGCTCCTCAAGTCACGTTCGAGTGTTACCGAAGAGAAGTCACAGACCCAGCAGACTCTTTCTCATAACACATGGAACTGCAGTGTCTAGATGACTTTCCAGAATTGAGGGGGATCTACCTAATACTATAGACCAAATTACCTGACTTCCAGGATCTTTCCGAAAACAAGCTGAGTTACTCCTTCCACCAGCTTCGAGGTTTGAACCGCCTGGTGCGGCCTGAACATACGGAGCTCAAGATCGTAAGAGCAAATGAGATGGAAAAACGGCAAGTCAACCATCAAAGTACACTTGAAACAGAAGACGACCTTCGGCACCGGTTTCTCCCTATCGCTAATCCCCGCTTCATTACATCATAACAAAATTCATATCCAACTCCCTCCGAGAACACAGTCTGTCCTTCAGATCCAGCTTCGTATAAAAGTAACCATAAATTCCCGCCCAAGGATGCTCGTAGGCTGACCCACAACTTAGAGTGGGAGGAAGGCATTCAGATCGTGGCCCGACCATTCAACGTTGAACGCGTTCAACAGGTCTTGGGATGAGGGTGGGACATGGCTGTTAGCCACGCCTGCAATCTCGGTCGTGGCGAACAAGGAGTCATTGTACATTGGCTTGGACGCCCCTCCGTTAGGGAACAGGATAAAGTCACCGCCGTTGACCGCATTGGCAATGCCAGCAAAGTCGCCGTGCTCATCGAAGCCTTCGTCGAGCTCGGCTAGGGAGTTCGGCGTAAAGAGCATGACGTTTCCTTGACCAGTGGGCGAGAGTTGCGCGGGGGGCGCCTGGCAAGGCTCGGCAGCCAAGAACGGCACAAACTGTTGGGCCATGTCCTTGAGATACATATTGGTCTGGATGGGCGGAGGAGTGGGCAGTTGAACGCGAGCACCGTAGATGTCCTCATAGAGCGTAAAGTCGTTTCCGATGTCTTGGTAGGCCGAGTTATGGTAGTCCATGCCAGAATCCGTAGACGGAGTAGGGTTGTCAACCGGAGAGCAGTCAAGTGTAATCTCCTGGGGAATCAGGGAGAAATCCGCATTGCTGGGGACGTAGGTCGGGAAATCGAGATTGCTCCCGTAGACCCCACTCCAGTCATCATTCGGAGGTGTCGCCACCCCCATGCTGTGGTCGCTGGACGGGGTCGGGATATTCTGCAGCTGAGGGGTAGGCTGTGCCGAGTTGCCGTTGACGCTGGAGCCTGACTTCTTGCCGTTGGTCTTGGTGCGGACATAGTTCCAGCCGTGCGCCTTCTCCATGTGCTGCTTGCAGTTGGACTCCCGCTTAGACTTGTACGGGCACGGCTTGAACAGGCACTCGTACATGGGCGGGGCAGCCGAGTGCTTGTCGTTGTGATGGCGATCCATCTCCTTTTCTGTCGGCCACCCGTACTCATGGTACTTGCAGGTGGGCACGGGGCACTTCCAAGGACGAGAATGAGTCTTCTCGTGCTTGGTCAGGTCGCAGGGGCGTTTAAACTCCTTGTTGCACCCAGGCTCGCGGCACTTCTTGGGGGCAAGCTCCTCGGGGCTCGCGTTCTTTTTCCGACGAGCCATGGACCGCATAATCTCCTCTTCGTCGGCAAGCTCCTCACTGGCGGAGCGCTTGAACCGCATCGTGCCGTCAGCTTCTTCCTCGAGCTTCTCGATCGGCTTCCCGGTAGCCATCGAAATCATTTTCCCGTTCTTTTTAACGCGGACGAGCTCAGCAGGACGCCCATTAATATGGATGCCGCCGTGGAGCTTGATCTCATCAGTGCTGTTGGGCATGTTAGCCAAACTGTCGACGGGGGGCGGGGAATGAAAGCCGTACGGATCAACGTCCATCTCGTCCCTGTTCTCCTTATCCTTGGCGTCTGCAAGCTGCTGAGCGTAGTTCCGTATTTGGTCGACCAGGTCAATGAAGTAGCCGTTGCTGTAAGGGACGTCGCGAGGGCGCGTCTGTTCCCGGTCGCTAAGGTACTCAACCGTCGCCTGAATGCATCGAATCGTTGTGAGGCAAAAGTCGAGATATAGTTCGGCGGCCTTTGTTCTCTCCTTTGAAAGCAGAGCGCGATAAGTATCACCCCTCATACTTTGGTCAACCATGAGCTCACTTACTGGAGCGACGAGAAGCAGAGTCTTTTCCAAGTCTCTGAGGCAAACAATTTGTTTGTCTTGAATCTTCCTGGGGCACTCGAGCAGGAGTGGGTGAAAATCCTTGAAGGCGGCATTGCCGAGCAGGGGCTTGAGGGTATGCTCGCAGATGCGACTGGTGGCACGAGGGCTGAGGCCAGTGGCGCTCACAGTATCCGTCAAGCGAGCAGCAGCAGACCTATTGACGGCGGACGTCTTCACCGTCTTCTCCTTATTGTCGGTTGCCTCCTTTTCTTTCGTCGACGCGATCGAAGTTCCCAAACCGCTATCGGATTCATGATAGCGAGAAGGGCGGCGGGTGCGGGGGCGGAGGATCCGGCGCTCGGCCGGCTGCTCCTTCACCATGACCGAGTCGAGCGTATGATCAAGAACTCTGCGTGGGAGGGAGAGCGTCTCGTCACGCCAGGTCTTGCGTACGGATTCCCGGGAAGAGGTGTCCCTCGTCGGGGCTGCGAGAGCCTCGTCAATGTTGCCAATGATCAAGGCAGCACGACGGCGGTGTGAGTCGATGACATCGTCCAGGTTGGTCTGTGACCGGCGGGGTAGGGACGGCGGTGTGAAGACCTCGTCGGGCGACTCCAGTGGTGTTGTCGGAGAGTGGAAAGTGGCACCCTTCTTGAGGGCCATGTTGGTCTTAACGCTCAGGCCCCTGGAGCCGGAGCGAGTCACCGGCGTCCTACGGGGATTGGACGACATGGTTGGATTCGGCTTGGGAATTCCACAAAGCCTTGCGACAATCAACGGGCGGAACACTGTGTCAAATCTCCAAGTCAGCTATCAATGTGGTCATTGTATGGCTGAATGGTGCTGGATGAGTGAGTCACAGGTAATGTGCGAGGCTGATCGTAGGACCCCTCTTAGCACCTTGCAGGACGACTAGAGTGTTGTGCTCGGGATAGAGCTTGCTTGAAAGTGCTGCTGGATAGGACCAGAACTTACAGACTTGTGACCGTCAAGCGGACAAACACCAAGAACCAAAGCGCTATGATATCAGGACCTGGCGAGATGTGTCCAACGGATCGTCGATGAACCGGCGAAAGGGCGCAAAAATGAACAATCAATCGGTGTCTGATGGATTGTCACCGAAGGGGAGAGAAGTCCTAGGTATAACAAAGGGCGGCAAGTGGTCTGGGACTATGAAACCTCGCTTCCGGTTTTAGCTCAACTGCGCGTTTTCTGCAGCTTGTGCGGTCGGTCAGGATGGCCTCAGGTGGAAAAGGCGTCAAGAAAGGGGAGAAGACACGGGGACGGGTGATGAAAGACTCGGAGGAAGGTGGTTCGCGACGACGGCTTCAGCGGGATGATGAGAAATGCCTGGGGTGGGTTGTTTGACGCTGCTGCCTGCTTGGGCAACCAGGGTCCCCTGCTCTAAGTGGGGTAGTCATCCAGGCGCAGCTCTGGTCCAGAGCCTCCCATTGGTCTGCTACGAATCCTTCCATTTGCGGTGCTGCACAGCTCCAATCGAGCGCTATGGATAGCGACCGGTGTCTTCAAAGTCCCAGAACTCACGTCTTCCTCATGCTGATAGAGAGGAACTCTTCAGTTTATACGTGAAGTTGTTATTGTCAGGTGTCAACACTATCATAACCATTGCCCTACCTCCCCTTCAAAGCTGGTTGGCGAGGTATCAGGACCAGACTCTTCGCCCAGTGCCATCACGACGCTCTCCTTGCTCGAAGTTCATGGCTTCTTCGAAGGCAGACAGAAATTGGGCCATTGAATGCAACGACAACGCAGCAACAGCTGGAATCCAAGAAGAGCCGCGCGGGGAATGACGAACACTTGGATGCCGAATATCTGTCACCGTGAAGGAGACACGTCAATCATCCGACTCCATCGACGGCGCATTCCGGGACATTGGCGCTATCCGGGCTGCGGCCGGGTCCTTGTGTTCGTTTATGAGCGGCAAGTTTGTTAAACGGACCCACCACAGCGTCTCACAAGTGCATTAATAACAGCAGCACAAACGCGGAAAGGGCTCATGTGGCTCAGCCATTCCATCTGGTGCAGCCACTTCTTAGTGCAACGGCCACAGACGGCGCTGCACGGTGTTGAGACATGCCGTTGAATATTCGTACGACCCCCAGTCTTGGGCGATTAGGGTGTGTCCTGGTGCCCTAAGCCGCTGAGCGATCATACTGCCGGTCTCCCTTAGGCTTCACCATCCGAACTACCTACCTCTGTAGTGTCAAGCCAATGTAAACCGAAACAAGCTTTGGCAGGCGGATCCTGTCCGAACCCAGGTTCGCCTCTCGGTGGTTGTGGATGACAGATTGAACCGCCAGGACCACTGTTTGAGATCCCGTCATCCGGTCCTCAGGCAAAGGCGGCACCCGCAATCAAATCACTGATTTTCCAGTCGACGAACCCAAAATTAAGCAGCTGCAGTGTTGCGGCCCGGATCATAAGTTGGACCAGTAGGGTGAGAGAATCAGTTGAGCAAAGCAAACACCTGAAGCACCTCCTCCGTATGGATGATATCGACGCAGCCCACAACGTCCCAGCGAACTCGGGCCCAAACGCTCAGAGAAACTGGAAGAACCAGCAGTCATCCCGACAAGTGTCTTTCGAAGACAAACATTGAGACACCGGACGGCTGCCCACATCTGCATGATATGAGCGCATTGCACACCGCATCACGGATGGGACTGTTCGCAAGCCATGTTGAGAATGGCCACTGCGATGGTCTAAACCCGGCGATCAACCACCTGTGAGCAGCTGCACCCCAACAGCAACAAGCACCAAGATTGGTCGACGTGTGGCCCTTGTGTTTCTGCAATGGTCCTCCGATCTGCTCCTCGTACACGTAGGGCTGGCAAGGTGCGGGGAGGACCCCACGTTGTTACATCAGCAGAGCCGTTGGTTGCGAACCACTCCTCCACTATTTCCTCGCTCGCTTTCAATGATTTTGCCGCCAAAGCAACGGCCCCAATGATAACCTTGGCATCGTCCGTTCCGGGCGAGCGAGCAAACAACCGACGGACCACGTCGCATAGAAATCTCTCAGTGCCAGCCGGGACACGCATCTCAGCCCTACGAGGATATGCTTGCATTTTTCCCCGCGAATGAGACAGCAGAGAATCGGGAGCCTCAAAAGCCAATGGCGAGTGCCTAGGACAAGAGTGCGCGGCCAGCGTTGTTTGGACGAACGGCTCCCCTCCTCCCCACTCCAGGCATTTGGATCTCGGCTAACTCCTGGTTGATCTTGTGCTCCCCGGCGGAAAAAGCCTTCTTCTCACTGATTGCCGAGGCGCATTATGGCAGGCAATAGCTTAATCTTTGTCTCTCGTCGCAGTGTATACCTCATTGATGCCGTCCATCTATCGGCGAAATTATCCGTGTATACCCATCGTGGGAGACTGCCTAGGCGGCAGCAACAGGGAAGGGGCCGGGAAGGCGGCACCGTTCGACATATTCATCGCTTGATAGCGAGAACTACCTGCCTCTAACTGATTGTCTTTTTTGGTGGCTCTTAGCCACTTACTTCTCCCTTGCATCATCTCCTCACAGTTGATGAGACTCGTCGTTTGTATGGCAAGGAAAAGCCTTGCAAGGCCTTTGACTACAGGAGTCCCAGTCCGTACGCGTTGTTGCCATACCACGGGTCTACTGATTGTGCTCCTGGGGTTTATTGGTTTGGGGTTAATCCTACTAACTTTATGTGTCCGTCATCCGCAGTAGAGGAGGTGGGTGACACAGAGCTAGGGTCAGACGACGCTGACGATGAGGGCGAGACCATCGGTTCCTTGCCCTGGTATCTCTGCGGTTATGTAGCGACCATGGTAGCTTTAGGCATTCGGCAATGCTTCTGCTGGGACGATGATGCTCCGCAAGGTTGATACATTGTCTCATAAGGTCCCGATTTCTGTTGTTTCTACTTCAGGTTCCCTCCGGTGTTCCCCTGTGGCAAGTGGGATGTGATCAAGGGAGGTAGTTGCTGTGGACGGGCCCGGGCCCGGGTCCTGGGTGCCGTAGTCATCTCTCTTGCCCAAGGACGACCTTTGAATCGCGGACCTGCCGTCGCTCTGGTCTGCCCTTGACCCCGTCACTCCTTGAGAGGCCAGGTGTCGGCTGGCTTGTGAGGCGCTTCCTGGGGATGCAGGGACCGAATGACGCCATGAGCAAACCAAATCTGTGATTGTCACGTCCGGGTCCATCTGCGTACATGGGCGGCGAGAGCAACTTCAGTTATCTAGAATCGGTTAAGGGGGGTCAGGAAGGACTGGATTAGCCTTCGAAATCTTAGCTTCTGTTCTGAACAGTCGTATGCTACCATGAATGTGTATGGTCCCGGTTCGTCCGGTCTCACTGATCTTTGGTGCAGGGTCCTTGGAGCTCCTACGGTAAGGGGAAATCCGGCACTTAGACTTCACAGACAGAGAGTGACTCGCTCGAGTTGGGGTGGAGGGCCCATTGTCTTATCACAAAGCGGTTGCTTTGTTCAAAGACATTGTCTTGCCAACTACTGGTAATAGGTATTGCCGTACTTCGCAGATTTCAGAGCAAGAAGGTGGGAGCAAACATGGAAACCGCCGGCCATAAGTTTCGTCGAGTTTGATTCTATACTGACTCCGTCTAAAGAGCGTGGGAACTACAATATCAGGCCTACCCGAGCGCTCGATTCGTCAGTCCCTTGAGATAGGAGTTTGTTGGTAACCTCGCAGTGACTGTTGTGCTCTAAATCTGGAGTCTGTCCTTTGTCAAAATCTGTGCCCATTGTTCGCTCTACCGATCAAAGGCGAGTAGTTGATCACGAAGATAGGATAAAAGTAGCCCAGATCCAGTTGGGTCCTATGCCTTGTGTCCCCGTGCTTAATCCTGCATTTCATTCAGACCCGAGGCTGTCTCACACGGACAGCCGTTCACTTATTTTTCACCCTACCCGTACTTCCTCACCGATCGTGGATCACATAACATACAGTTTAAACTAACCGGTATAGTGCGTCTGAGGGAGGGTTATCTCGGCAATCTCTTTTCCGATACACTCTCTGTCTGGTAAGAGACAGTAAGAACAGTGCGGTCAGGAAGACAGGAGGCTAAAATGTCTAGGTCTGGACACGGCAACATTTCTCGAGCTGGTTGTCGGTATCCCCTCCCTCATTTCTATGAAGAGACCCTGGCTTACCTTAAAGGTGACCTCAAGGTCCTGAACAAGCCCCCGGCCATTCAAGCCAGCGCTTTGCAGGAGGCAAAGCGATCGAAGACACGGCAGTGCTCCCGGACCCGGAGCAGCACAACACGCCAAAGCCACAAACCTTGACAATCATCCAATTGAGAGATCAAATCATTGAGAAATACGAGCAAATGCTTAATATTCAGGGCACGGCATACTGGCACACAATGGCCAGGAGCACACCAGCGGTGCCGCCCTTGCGCCAGATACCTCTTGTTACCGTTCAAGGGACACCGACAAGTGAAAGTGCTGACGAGAAAATATCAAAAGAGTCCCTCCGAGTCATCGACACTGCAGTCGAGAACAAGGCTCTTCGTCCTGTACAAGTACATGACGGCTTAAGGAGCTCTCCGCCTCGAAGCCTGACCAACGGGCACATCTTCAAGCTGTATACTGGCCCCTTTTTCGACACAACTCTATCTGAGGGGGAATCCGGTCCTTGTCACAACACTGAGCATGCCATTAACCATGCCAACTTCCCTCCCAAGTCACCAACCAACCTCGAGACGCCTCCGTCAAACTCCCGCCTGGAACTCGCCACCCTGGCGATCCGCGCCGTCCCCAAGGTCATACTAACGCACCGGCCACGCCGACAAATCCCGTCTTCACCACCCCGCTCCCTTCCAGTTAGACATGATGAACCCGCTCCCTCCTCCTCCTCCTCATCATCCTCATCCCCTCCCAACTTTTCCAAATCCCTCCTCCTCCACCATCCACAAACCCAACACAGATACCCGCACTACAGCTCACCGCAAGCGGCACTCCTCCTAAACACCCTCCGGTCCTACCTACTCCTGCCCACAACAACAACCGGCACCGGCACCGGCACCAACAGTCCAGAAAGCCCGGGTGCCCCAGCAGCAGCCGAGGTGCTAGCAGGCCTCCTTCTGAAATGGCCGACGCTGCGGCACAACCTCGCGCGCCGCAACCCCGGGCTCGCCGCGCAGATCAACGTGCTGGACTGGCGCGGGATCGAGGCTGGTCTGCCTGAGGGGTCGTTTACCCGGAAGCTGGTTGAGGAATGGATCTACTGTGGTGATGCTGGGTCGGGCCTGTTTGGGGAGTGGGAGTGGCCTTGGGAGTGAAGTGAAAGTGATACCTGGAGGCGAAGGGGTGGGTGTGGGATCTGCGGGGAAGGGAATGTTAAGATGCGGAACGAGGAGGGGTCGGGGGAGAAGGGCCGTTTGTGATTTTGTACGGTAGGGAAAAAAGGAGGAATGTGTGGACGGTTGGAGGCGTTAAGACAAAAGAAGGTGGTAGCTGTTGTCCATCCTGCTGTCGCTAGGGGTAACAAGAAAACCAGGGCTGTGCCAGGGCACAGGATGGCGTTTGTTTAAGGGGTGTACAGGTTAGTTCTTGCGACCTTGTCGAGTTGATCTAATGGGTCGTGCTAGGTTTTGTGTATCACAAAAGGTAGGTAATCAAGTGCAGTACCTAAAAAAAACAAGGGAGCACCAGATGGACATCAACGAGTGAACTGACATGGGTATCATTGCCCTAACTTCCGACGTGTGTGTGCCCTATCCCGCCATAGCAAATGTAGCAACCGCATCAACGAGCGCCGAAAGCTATATTGTGTCATCATCATCGTCGTTATCATCGCTGTCAGCAAGCACTTGCCGTCTCCTCTTCGCCAACGGCCTGCGCGGAGATGGTGGGGGGAAGTCATCGTCACTGTCGTCCTCCTCATCCAGATACCTCGTTCTCGACGTGGCTGTCTCCGTTGTCCTCTTTGCCGGCGTACTCTTAGGAACCAGCCCGGCCAAATCAGGCATCTCGTCGTCTGTATCCTGGGTGGGCTCAAACTCCATTGGTTGGTAGAACGGCGTCTCCTCCGTAGCAACCTTCCCTGGCGGTCTATGCCTTAGGCTAAGGCCAGACGAGCCAGGACTTGTAGGGTCCGTGGACTTCTGTCCGTTGCTGGATGTGAGCAAGTCGTCTGCAACGATGAAGTCATCCAGGTCGGCACCGCTGTCGGAGCCGTCTGTCTCTTCCAGATCGCTGGTTCGGGTGCAATCGTCTCCGATGTCTTCGAGATGATCGCCAACCCGCTTAAGCCCTCCGCGCCGTGTTTTGGCCGCTCTTCGACGACCACCACGGCCACGATGTGGTGGTGTCGTTGCGGTTGCTGTGTCCTCCCCGTCTTCGGCATCATCTTCATCTTCGCAGTCGTCGAAGGAATCAAGTTCCGCTCCGCGCTTCCGGTTGATTTTGCCGTTACTTGCGGCGGGCGATTTGCCGGTCGTTTGCCCGTTCAAAATCTTTCGCTCATCAACGTCCTCCGCAAATGGCTTCACCGGCAGTTGTCTCCACGAGCCTGGGTCTATCTCGCGACGTGGTTGCGGAGCTTGCTTTGAGGAATTTTGATAGTCACCCAGAGCCTTGAACAACCTCACACACCTTCTCGTGTAGTCGCCATGCTTCAGGTTCACCGTCGGGCGTAGCACTCTCTGGGCGACTGGGTACGCTCCAAGATTAAGGTCATCGAATCCCAGTTCTTGTACCTTATCGAATGGGTTCTTCGGGAGGCTTTTGTACAGCCTCTCAAAGCGGTCTGCTTGGGATTTATTCAAGAAGACCTTTTCCGGCGGAGGTGCGTCGACCAGGAAGTCGGTTTCATCCGGTTGTTTTGGGTCTTTGTCTGCCTTGCCAGCCGGCCGCCCGAAGAACGAGGCCTTCACGAAGCCCGTTTCCACGCCGTCCGGCATATTGAACTTCTTTTTGGCCGGTTTCTTCCTCAGCCCAGCCGAGGTCTTCTTGGGCTCAGGTAGAGACGGGTTCTGAGAGTTCTCGATGGGGATGTCGACGTGGCGCTTGTCGACCTCAGGTTTGATATCTCGAGGGACAATCCTTGTGGAAAGATCGTGGCGGAAGTTAAAGCCGTCCCCGTCGCAGATCAGCTGCTGCATCTTCTGGTAGTTGTCCTTTGCCTCTAGGTACTTTTCCTCCTCCTTGCCTTTCATCAGGAGCAGCACGATGTTCCCTGCCCGTCTCCTGCCTGTGCGACCCATCCGCTGCAACATGCGTATTGGAGAAGCCGAGGCGTCGTAGCAGACGATCAGATCAACCTGGCCGATGTCGAGGCCTTCCTCACCAATGGAGGTCGCGACGAGGACATTGAAGTGGCCGCTTTTGAACTTCTCTATAGTTTCAATCTGCTGCTTTTGCTTCATGCCCTCGCTTCTTTTGGAATCCGCCTGCCCAACGAACACGGTGGCGCTGATAAGCGGCTGACTATTCAACAGCCGGACAATTTCTTCGGCACTGTCACGGTACTCACTGAAAACGATGGCTCTCGTGTTGGAGTGCTCGCCAGCGTCGATGAAGTGATTGACGAGAGTCTCGCAAAGATAGGTCAGCTTTGGGTGCCCATTGAATTCGTCCATCTTCATCCAGCGCTCGATCATGGACATCATCTTTTGAAAGTTCTCGTCGGCCAGCAGCTGCCGCTTGAGTTTCGAACCCTGTCCTGGCTTCTCTTCCTCGGTACTTCTGAACTCGGCCAGGCTGTTGTAGAAGGGCTTGATACCGTGGAAGTTGAGCAGCTTGATAGAATGAGCTAGGGATTGGAGGATACCGAACACAGCGAACATCATAAACTTTGTCCCTTGGTTCACGTGTCTGCCGGGCCCCGCCATCCACTCGTTTCGGGATTTGAGCAGACCGTAGGTTGTCAAGCTCATGGGATCTCTGCCGTAGTATATGTTTTGCGAACTCAACTTGTCCAAAAGGGGTTTGAGCGCCTTGGAAAACAGATTTCTGACCTCGTACATCTCGTCGGAAGGGTCGAAGGTGATGGTGTCGATGTTCCGCGAATGGACATACTGGCGGATATCGATAGATTCCTCGGTCCTGATCTCCACGTGTGAGATGCCAAGGTTGTCAATAATCTCCTGCACACCTTCGACAGTTGATCCCGGTGTGGCCGTCAGCGCAAGGATCCGAAAGCTTTTCGAGAAGCGCCGGATAAACTCGACAGCCTTCACGTAAGCGTAGTCCCCAGTGGCACGGTGAGCCTCGTCGATGACGAGGAGCACGATGGACTTGGGATCGGCGTAGCCTTTGGACAGGTCATTCATCAGGGTCTGCGGCGTCATGAAGAACAGCCGCTTGGACTCCCACTCTCCCTCTCGAAGGACCGGAGGCGTCTCCCCCGTGAGCAGCGTGGCCTGTGAGCGCGGGATGCCGGCAATGCTGAGGCAGGCCTGGACCTGCTGAGTGGCGAGGGGTTTCGTGGGCGCCACGAAAACGATTTTGGCACGCTTTGTCCAGCGGAAATAGTTGAGCATGACGGTGGCGGCGATGAAGGTCTTGCCCAGGCCGGTGGGCAAAGCCACCAGTGTGTTGTTGAAAAGACCATTCTTGACGATGCTAAACTGATAGTCTCGAATGGGTCCGAGATTCAGCGGATAGACCCAGGTTGAGAGCTCATGTTGGCTGAGCTCGTGGTGAGTTGGAGCCTCTGTGGGGAGATCGGCGCGGAACGGTCGACTCTTAGGGGCCTGGGATGCCGTGACTCGGTCCTCCTGTATCGTGCCGCCCCACAGCGTAGTCTGGCGGAGGCTCTGTTGTTGAGCCGGGGGACGGGGCGGGGCCGGGACCCTTACGGACCTGTTCAACGGATGAAGACCTGGGGCCGATGGCCTGGAATGGGAGAGGCCACTTCCGGGCCTGCGGAGGGTAGCAACTCCATTGGAAGAGCTCGCCGCCGCATTGGTGGCTTGGGTGAGAGCTAGGAGCAGGTCCTCGTCGGATATATCGTCAAACTCGTCGTCGTCATGCATTGTATATTTCGCTGGGCTTGGCTGAATAAGGCCGGAGCAGCCAGAGTCAATACGAAAGGAGATGCGGCATGGGGCAGTGATTGGCTCAAAATGCCATTTCTGGCGCTATTTGTTTGTGAGAGGCGAGTGAGGATGAGATGGGCCGCGGAACCAAGCTTGGACGCGACGGAACAGCAATGGGAAACGCGCCGTTGCGCCAGAGCACGTGAGAGCGATATTGTAAGCACTGTGCGGAAACGGTGTCACAGATGCCGAGTTTCATCTGGCCTTGGTTCTTCCACAGCCAAGTCTGCGACTCACACGTATGATGATGCCTGGCGATTCTGGCCAGTTCTAGAGCACTGTGAATGCGATCATTCTGATGCTGCGACATGCATATTGTCACCTCAGAATGCCTTGATAAATGAGACTGCCCAGATACCCGATTCAACAGTCTTCCATCCCTCTTCGGCAGGGTAAGGGCCGGCCAACAATGTGGGCTCCAAGCCATAGCCCAAGACTGCCCGAGTGTAAGACATCAATACGTAGAGTGTTGGAGTACAGTCCAAGCAACTACAACCTTCTTAGACATGTGTTAGCAACACCTACCCCAAACTGGAGAAGGTTAACGGATTATGGTATTGATGTTTACAGGTTCCTGTGGGCAGTAACAGATAATAAGTTGGCACGGTATCGAGGTGGGGCTAGCCGTTAATCTGCTGGCTCTTACGCTCAATCTTCCACTGGCAGTCACATGGAGGGGCTTTTCCTACTTGCATTTGACTTTGTTTCCAGTCACGTCCGTCGCAGTCTCGCGGCTGCGGTTTACCTGCCCCTCCTTCCGACAACGCTCACTCCGTCAACCGGCAACCACATCAACAGCTGTGCGGATCGGCGAAGAGCGCTCGATCAATGGCCCCTCCCACGGGTCCTCGTGCCGGTGGCCACGTCAACCGACCGACCGTGCGAGGTGCGCGAGGTGCCGGCGTTGGAAAGCGCCGGGCCACTTCACGAACCGATCGCGACGGCGACGTTTCCATGGATAGCATGACCAAACCACCCACCGGTCCATCGGCGCTTTCCACTCGAGGCGGTCGCGGCGCCCGAGGCGGGAGATCAGCTCGCTCGTCCTCCCGACTCACCCAGAACATTCGAAACTATGTGTCGGAGCATGATGGCGCAGTTCGCAACCCAAAGGCCCAGTTCAACAAGGTCTTCATCAGGATCCACGGTCTCAAGGACAGCAAGGCGGCTAGCAACTCGGATGGCGGCCTTCGTTCGCTTCTCGATTTTCTGGAGCGCAAATCTTCCCACGAGCGGCCCATCACATTTGGCAAAGTATTCTCACTCGCCAGCTCCACTTGATTTCTGCAGGCCTCGTTTCTAACACAACTCAGGGAGTCATCCGCGGCGATGATGTGTGGCTTAAAGTCAACCAAGTAGACGCACACCACCTGTTGAAGTTGAACGGATTTACATTTGCCGGCGCTCCGCTGGTCATCGAAGAATCAACCGGTCCGATTCCAGAGCAAGGATCAACCGGCGGCTCCGAGACTAAAACGTCAGACACCAAAGAAAAGCTGCTGGCCGTTCTTGCATCCCGGTACAACATCGAACAGAAACTGCTCGATCTGTCAGCGCTCGGCGCCGATCAGACCCTGAGGACCATGGGCGCGTTCGAGAACAAGGCTCTAGCGGAAAAGTCATTCAAGGCCCTCATGCGTCTCACCGCGACACGTTACGACAATGCTGCCGAGAAGGAATCCGCCATTCAAGCCGTTACCCTCGCCAATAATGACATCCTCGATGTTGGCGAAGTTTTTACCCTGGCACAGACGCTGCCCCGTTTGCGCCGCCTGGACCTCAGCGGCAACCAGCTTCAGGATTTCCACAAGCTTTCCAAGTGGCGCCACGAATTCCGCCTCTTGGAGGAGCTCCATCTCGTCGGAAATCCCCTCACCAACTTGACCAACTACCCGACTCAGGTGATTGAATCGTTCCCGAGCCTTCAGATTCTCGACGGACACCGGGTTCGAACGCCAGAAGAGGCCGCCGAAGCCTTGAAAGCGTGGTTCCCCGTGCCGTTCCCCCGCCTGCCGTCCAACCTCCGTGACGGGGAAAATAACGTTGCGAGCACCTTCGTTGCCAACTTTTTCACCCTCTACGACCACGATCGGCTTGCTCTCGTCAGGCAGTTCTATGACGCAGAGTCTGTCTTCTCCCTCAACATGGGGACTGAGCCCGCCTCGAGCCCCTATCCCAATTACTCGAGGAACCTGGAAATTATTGGTGTCCGGAGTCCGTCCGCCGTTCAGCGCTTGTTCAGTGGAGGCAACGTTATCGCCGAGCTCTGGGCCCGGCTGCCTGCCACCAGACATATCAGCCTGGAGCAGGCTGGAGAATGGCAAATCGATTGCCATACCTTCCCAGGTCTGGCCGACCCTTCGGGCCAAGGCATCGCCACGGGCCTGGTGATCACCGTTCAAAGCCGGTTTGAGGAAGTCGATCCAACCAAGCAGCTCGTCGGTACCCGCGCCTTTTCCCGGTCCTTTGTCCTCGGTCCTAGCCTGCCCGGCGCCCCACACCCCTACCGCGTCGTCAGTGATGAGCTGTCCTTGCGCGCGTGGGTACCGCAACAAACCAGCGCGACCGCTCAAGTAGCGCCCGCGGTGGCCGTCCCGGTTCCGCCCCCTGCGGCTGCTCCCCCCGCCCCCCCCCTTCCGAGCGACCTCGAACGGGCTCAGATGATTCTGGAGTTGTCCAATCTGACGGGCATGAATGCCCAGTACTCGGAATTGTGTTTGGCCGGCCTCGCGAACTGGGATTTCAACCTGGCTCTCAGGTCGTTTGAGGAGAAGAAAGCGGAACTGCCGCCGGAGGCGTTTGCTGCACCAACTGCGTAGTCTCGGGGCTACGATGAGGAAGAGTTGCGAGGGTAAGCAAACTTCTCTCCGCTTTGCTACTTTCCCCCCTGTCGATTTCTCGTTGGATGGCTAGTTCACTGACGGTGAGTTAGGATATGTCATTAGCAGATGGATTAGCGACACCAAGATGCGAATGTAAGACGAAATTGACACGGGGAAGATGCGAAAAAAAAAAAAAAAGAGCAAATTGTGATATGGCAGCGCTTGTCCCTGAACCCCCATTTTTCTCTTTCTCGCCACGGGAAGCATTTTGGCCTGATCTTTCCTTTTTTTCGGAGCTGGGCAAAAGGATGGGGGCTTTCATCTGGCGTTCTGTGCGGCAATGGTCAAGATTGGGCGGATGGATGGGTGGCTTTGGAAAGCCTGATGGATTGTCTTTGACTTGCTTTGGCTGTAGGACGGCGTTGTTAGGCATAGAGCGAGCGGACTGGGGCTCTTCTCAAACAGTCGGCATCCGTGTTCTTTAGTGATACCCAAAATCAGCCGCTTCATTGTCACCAAAAGTGTTCTTGTTGCCTTCAGGTGTAGCGTGGAATCTCTGACTGGTGTTCCCGCGAGGAAAACCCTTCCTCTCGTGCTCCTGACTTGGCGAGCTTGGGTATGACAGTGATACGGATTACAGTGGCTGGCTTAGATGATCCTTTAATCTGCTTGACAATTGTGAATCACGAGAACCGTTTGATGCCTTGCTTGACTGTGCCCTCTGCTTGGCAACCTACCTTGGGTGATTCTACTTTTCTTTTAACCACTCCATGGTTTTGCCCAGCTTTCCTATTGGTTCGGGAGATCTCTTCAAGTTCGGAGAAGCTAGACCATGTCAGACAGCTGACGAGTAACCTCCATGTATGAGCTGGAGCTGGATATTGACGGTGAGACAGCTCAGGCTGGCACAAGAATGGAAGGAAAGTGATTGGAGATGGACGGGGGTCACCGGGCGCTTATTCGTCGCATATCGATTATCGAGTCTACACGTATGGACTCCCTAGGACGTATCCTACCTAGACCATAGAAGCCAGCGAGTCAGGGTCTTGAACGAGCTGAGCTACTGAGCACATGATTTCACACTCAGCGTGTACACTGTGATCACCGGGCCCTCTCATGTGTGACCTAACCTGCGGTATCACGACGCCGATATAGCGGACGTACTCCGTAGTCACCCGGTTCATCCCTCCGCTACATCTGCAGCGCTGCCTTGCTGCTATATCGGAAGGGCACAATCGGACTGTCACTGGAGGTACGAGATGTAAGCAGGCAGGATGGGATTACTACAGAGTGGAGACTCGACTTCGTGATCTCGTCACTTCTTCATCCTTGACGTTGATGAAGGTCAATCATGGAATCATGGATCGCAGAGCCGCGCGGTATGTGGTGTCGAGATGGTGGATCTCGAAGATTGACATCATCGCTTGCTTGCAATGTTCCCACGCGAAGGTGAACTTTTCCGCCGCTTCCCCTGGAACTGTGGACTGTGGGGCCTAGGACGCTTCTCCTTTCTTGGTTAGACTCGGCGCGGATTTGTTTCAGATGAAGCGCGAAACAGGGCTTCGATTCGCCGACGGCGTGACACCGCCTGGGCCACCGTTCGCTCAGATGTGACCTATGTTGTGGGCGACACGGCAAAGCTCTGTTCCATGCTGTCTCGTGACAATGCTGAGGTGGCTTCGATTGATGATTCTACCCCAGTTGTGAGTCCGGGCTGGTTGTGAAGAGCTGGACTGAGCAGTTACCAGGTAATGCGTTGACGAGGAATCCTTCAAGTCGGTGTCCGTATCTGACAATGCATGGAATTCCCAAGACAAAGTCAATAATAATAATGCCTTGCATTTCCTGTTTCCCATCTTCCCACCGCTTGGTACCCTGCAGCGGTTAGAGGAAACGGCCCAAGCTGCCGAGGCTAGTGCTGATTCGGATTCGCATGTCTCTCTGGTGCTGCTCATCAATTTTTGGTTTGTGGATGACCCCCTACCTGATCGTGTCACCACTTCGTAAAATGCGTTGTTCCCTCCCGCTTGGCGGTACTTCAGCTACGGTACAACGCAGTCACTGCAGCCGGACGCTGGGAGGGAGGTCACTTGCATTGACGGGCTACAGAGCACGTACAAATGACCACCCTTGCTCAACTCGGTGAGGTTCCTGATTCGACCACCGCCTCCGTCGAGATCCCTGGCTAACTTACCCCTGGTCCAACCTCCGCCCCAGCCCGTTTGGCTCATTTCCCGTTCCCCTGTCGAGTGTGGACCACTGGACCCTGGCTGCTTCACGCATGTCGGTCGCTGGCGAGTGCCTTCCACCTTCTCTCCTCTCTCCTTGGTGTGGTGGTGGTGCCAGGTCGCCGTGACTCTACGAGAATCTCGAAGCCGGCAGTCGACCTCGATCGGCACAGGCTGCAGTTTGCCTCGCTCCCTCGTCTGTCCAGAATTGTTCAGTCTACAACTTCTCTACTCTTCTCATTCACCGGCCACAAGACGCTGTCCGCACAGGCCCGGACTCGACACGCCGTGGGCCGTTAGTGTCAGGGGCTTCAGGAGGATTGTGTGTGCGCGCCGTCAGACATTCGCGGCAGAAGCTCCGATTCAACGTAACCCCCTCTCCGTCCTGCGACACGAAGCCCTTCAGGACACGAAAGCTTTGTTTCTCCGCCTTCGCTCTGAATTGTTGGCACTCACGGGCTGGTTTACTTCTCGGAAACAAGACAGCGTTTTGTTCCGTCGATCATCTTCTCCCTCCACCAACAGGGGCCGGTCCTCAAGTTTCCAGATCGACAGTCGCTGCTGCTTCTTCCGCTTTCCTGGTAGACCTGAGGAGTCTTGTTGTATCAACCGCCTCTCGATTATCAACGAACGCCAACATCACGAACGCGCTAGTTTCAATTCAGTACCTTACACCAAGTAACATGTTCTGCTGACTAGGGCACTATCATCGAGGCTCGTCCCCTCTTCGCTGGAGGTACCAATTGCCCGGGTCGGGCGGCCCTTGTCGGAACAGAGCTGGGATTAGGGCATCATGCCGCTCCCTCAGCCCAAGACAGCGTTGAACAACGCGTGTTCGGTCATTTTTAATAACACGCTTTACACATATTCGGCCGATGCGTTCCAGTCGTTGCGATTAGAGGCAGGGGCCGAGTGGGAGGAGTTGCCCCAAGGGGAGAAGGTGACAGGGGCTGTCTGCGTTGGATCGACGACAGGAACCGCGTCGACATCGGCTTTTTTCGTAGTCGGAGGCGTGGGAGGAACGGACCAGTACCAGGGACTGCAGAAATACACCTACGCGACGGGCCAGTGGGAGATGATCAAGCCGGAATCGAAAGTAACGCACCAGCGGCTAGGACACGGCGCTGTCTACATCAACAGCACCGACTCTATCCTGGTATACGGTGGCATTCAGGATGGCTACGAGGCCGCATCGTCACAAACCTACACCATTGGCGCATCGGCGCCACACGCGGTCAGATCCGACGATTCATGGGGCGTTCCATTACTTAAACCTATTTTGCTGCCTTGGTCTGCCAGTGAGGCGGTCATGGTCGGGGGGAGCACAACCAACACTAATGTCATGCTGTTTAATGCGGCCGCAGCCAGATGGGTAGACTCGGGAGCATCGCTTGCATCTCCGCTGCTCAAGGACATTTCTTCGATCCAGGCGGTACTGCTGACGGGGGATGACGGGTCGAAGAACCTCATCACTTTCGACATGAGCGAGTCTCCGAACTCGGTGAAGCGCACAGTCCTGTACAGCGGCCCCGGTATCCCGGTTCCGAACGCCGCGCCTGTTCGCAAAAGGACGCCGAGGAGGAACAACCACGGCTCGCACGGAAAGGAGAGAAGAGACGGCCAGCCCTTAACGGTGGACAATTGGCCGGCATACAATTCAACCTACGCACCGAAAGCCACCAGGAGCAACTTCGCTCTAGCTCAGGGGCCGGATGGCATGGTTGTCGCCGCGGGCGGCAACCATGAGGATGTGCTATGCATGTTCAACGCCAGACAAAACAGCTGGGAGGATGCCGAGTTGAGACTGGGTCAATTCAGGCTACTGTCGGCCGAGTCGTCATCAACATCCTCGTCTACGACAGCGACTTCCACAACATTGTCATCATCGACCTCCATGGCCTCGTTCACCTCCGTCTCCGCCTCCTCCACCGTGACCGGCGTAACACAACCGACAGCAATCGCCACAGGAGCAGCCGTAGCAGCGGTCTCCGGCGACTCCGGGCCGCCACTCAACACCATTCTCGGCGCTGTGCTGGGCAGTTTCTTTGGACTGGCGGTTCTTCTGGCCCTTCTCTATTTATGTATCAGGAGGCGGAAGCAGCGGCAGGCTCACATGGAGGCGGGTCACAATCGGCGGGCCAGCGGGGTGTCATCAAACGAGAAGGGCGGCACAGGGTTCGCCAAAGACAGCCTGGCCTTTGGTCAGGTCTCGCCAGGAGTCTTCCGCGGACACCATCCACAGGGCTCGCGCGGCTCATTCTCATCCATAGCAATCCTCATGGGCCGCGTAGGCAAGCCCAGGTCGAGCGACGAAAGCAGACGCGATTCATCCGACGACAACTTCAGGGCCTTCAAGAGCACCATCAGCAAGCCAATGCCCCAGACCACTGTGATCCCCGTATCAGCACTTCGGACACCGCAGTCCCTGCAGCAGACTCGAGACGAGAAGGGTGTGGCTTTCGCAGCCAGCACGGCCGAGCCCAAGCCGCGGAACTTGACGACAGCGGCTGACAAGGAAGGGGCCACGCGCCGCAGTTCCGGGTGGAACAGGTACTGGTCTGGCGGATCGGCATTGAACCTCTTGGGTTTTGGCAGCGGTAATGGTAATAATAGCAACAACAATAACAACAATGCTGCCACCAACAATTCGCAGCGGACCACGCTAGGTTCGGACGACCAGAGCTCCAACTACAGCAACAAGAACCGGATGACTCAGGACAGCGCGACCGTTCCGCCGCTGTTCCCTGCTGCTGCCGCTGAGCCGCGCCTGTCCCTGAGCCGTGTCACCGCCCACAGCCCGACCATTGCCGTGTATAGCGACAAGCTCATGATGGAAGGCTTGAGCGGCCAGGTCGAGACGCTGCGCCCCGTCAGTGCGGTAAGCGACATGTCTGCATCGGCATACTCGAGCGGCATCCCGGAGTCGGTTCAGGAGGCTTGGGATCCGACCGCGGCCCACAAACCATGGGGCGCCGACAAGGCGCTCAACGATTCGTACGCCGCCATCTACACGACGCCTCTTGCCCCTGCCTCGCAGGGCCTAAGGCCGCCGGCGCCGGCGCCGCTCCGACCAGCACCGCAATCCCGACAGCAAGCTCCTGTGCGCGACGACATGAGTTGGCTTAACCTGGGGGCCAACTGAAAAGGAGAGAGAAGTCCTGGGCGACCTGCATCGATTTTCTTTTGTTCCTCGACACGAGAAGCACAACCAACACCATGACCGCCTGACGACAAAACCTCTTTTACGACGACGGCGGTTGCACTTGGAACTTTGCGTCGATCGCGTTATACCTCTGGAAGAAGAAGCATTCTGTTGTTTGGGGTGCCAACCCGGCAATCAACAGCATTTAGACACCGGTGCTTCACCGCAAACCACCCAATCGTGCCGGACGCTGACATTTTCTTTCGTGTTTGGACCTGTCCATATACCATTTTCGTTTTTTCTCTTCAATTCTGGAACTATATCCCTGTACTTTCTGGCGCCGCGCTTCTCCCTTATTTCTGTTGCTACTAGTTTCCGCGCTGCATTTACACATGGCGACCCGGGCCCGGTCACGAAATCATCCTGTTTATATCTTTCCGCCTGTCAACTCTTTGCTTTTCTGTGTTTGATCCGCTGTGCTGTGCAGGACATATCTGACTTGCCTACTCTTTTCGGCTCTTAAACTCCGGGTAATTGCCTCGCTGTTCTTGTGGTAGAGTGGCGGGCTAGAAGGGAGGGACCGTGGGAGAGGTCATTGAGCGTGTCATGAGCGAGCAAGGCTGAGATGGTGAGGTGCGTGCTTATTGTACGCGGCTGAGTGGTGTGGGGAGCCGACTGGTCCCTCGATTGTATTATGTAGAAGCCAGAACCTAGCTCTAAAGAAAGAAGCAGTGAATACCCCGTGCACTCTTACACTGACACCATCAACCGTGAGTTGCGTGTTGTTCAAGTTACCAATCGGGGCTTGCGAGACCGATAGACCGAAGAGCGTACCGGCATTCTCCTTGTCTGTTGCGGAATCGAGCAGTAGTCTCAGATAATCATGGTCCTGAACAAGAAATTCCCAAGTGCTGTGCTGCCACTCGTGCGCAGCAATGCACATGCCAGATTCAAACCCCGGGTTACAAAACTGCCATGACCGCCACAGGGTAACCACGCCGACGCGGTCTTATCGACATGCGTCCACCGAGGGGGTCAAGCCACACCCAGTCTGGTGGTTCCGCCACCTCGCCATCTTCAGTCCTTCGGTCAGCAAAACGAGGCAGCATTGTCGAGACTCGAAAAGCGTCATGCAGGCGGACCCGTTCGATTCCGGGTGCCGAGAGAGAGAGAAAGGCATGTCTCGACCCTCGTGATGATTGTCGATTTCTGGCCCACTAAAGCGTACACACAGCATTCACGAGTAGGTACGGAGTATCTGGTCAGCTTACCATGATGTCCCCGGCTTTTGGCTTGCTTGGGTGTCCATGCTTCTTCGGTTGAATCATCGAAAGTCTCGACCTTGGATTGGCAAGAGGTAGCTGAGCCGGGATGGAACGGGTGAGACTGCCCCCCACTCGGCGTGGGGTTTCGATCTGTCAGTGGAACCAAGCCACGACAGGCAGGTGGGTCACATGCACCGTCGGGACGAAAGGTTGCACCACCCGTCCGTCTCGCATCCGTCCAGGGGCAACTCAGCTCTTGGATTTCCACGGCAGCTCTGACGGCAGCTGTACGTGTACGGAGTACTGGGTGCTGGTATGCACAACAGAATATGATAAACATGGCAAAATGGCAAAATGGTCGAGAAAGATGAGGCGAGACTCCGAAAGAAGGGTTCCGGTAGAACTCTCGTCTCAGAGAAGACAGGTGGTGTTGCTCGAGGCCCAAATGAAAAAAGAAACAGCAACCGACCCTTCGGGACAGGGAACATGCACTGGAAGGCCGCTCTGGCCTGTGCTTCCATGGACACCTGCAGGTCATTGTCAACAAGCGGTACCCCGTAAAAGGCCAAGAGTCAGGACACCACTCGCTTGGAAGCGATGTGATGAAGATCACCGAGGAACAACGTCATGGCATCCCGCATCTTTTCGCGCTCCCACAACCTGGTCGTTTTACAGCATATCCAGGGGACCGGTTTGCTCTGCATCCTTCCAGAGCTTCGAGTCGTTTTTGTGCGCCCGTTGCTTGCCTGCTTCGGTTCTCGCCCGGGAACCCATCTCGATTTTCAGAGTTTTTCCCTTGCTCCACGGCCTGTGCTCGGAGCATCGTTCGTTTTGGCAACCTGATGTAACCATTACCTGGCTGAGTTAGTAAGAAAACCCAAAGGGCCAGGCCGTCCACATAAATTCTCCGTCAGCGCTTGGGTTCGCTGGGAAGGTGCGGGGCGAGGGAGCGGGGCACCAAAACGGAGCGTAATTACACTTAGACTGTTAGAACCGGGCCACTCATGGCCGTGGGCGCACCTGCTGAGCACTGGCCACAGGCGACCGTGCCTTTCCCATTTGAATCTGCGGTCCCCCACCACCACCCTCGCTTCAGAGCACCCGGCTCCCGTCTGGAAGTCGGCTAACATTGCCAGCGACCAGCTCATCGATCGCCTTGAGCTGGTTCCGAGAGTCCTCAATTCTTCCCAGCGCGCCGTCAGCAATTCTCAGCAGCCCGGCGCTTCATCCCGGCGCACTCGGTGGATTTTGTGTAAGCGGAGGTGGAAGGAAAGCTGAGATATCCGGCCCCGTGCTCCGAACGGACGGACGACCGCCGATACTTGCTCTCCGGGGGGCCTCACGTCCACATATTCAGCTAGCGACCGGATTTGCAACCCAGTATTCCGCGGCGTGTGGGCATTGACAAGCTCAACCTTCTCAAAACCTCGCCGCATTCATACTCCACTTATTCACTCTGCGGCCATCATGGACTCGGCAACGTGGGCTGTCACGGACCATTCGGTCCATCACCCCCCGGCCGAGGATGATTTCCAACAATACCTGGATATGAACGGCATGGGGAACCTGGGCGATGGCATCAATTACACTTTCCAGGACTTTCAGTCCCCGGCCGGCTCGCAGTTGCTGCAATCGCATTCCCGGGAGCAGTTAGACATTCCCATGAGCGGCACCGACGCCCCAATGCTGCTGTCTCCTACACATCCCCCCGGGATGCAGCACCAGATGGCCCCCATCACAACCGCCGCCCCCTACCAGACAGTGCCGGCGACCATGATGCCACCTCCAACCCCGAACGAGGCCATTGTCGACAGCATCGATGCCCAGATCCAGTTCCTCCAGCAGCAAAAGCTCAGGCACCAGCAGAGGCATTTGGAAGAACAGCAGGCCGCCTTCTTTGCGCGTCAGCAGAGCCGCATGGTCCCCCCGACCCCGCAGAGTTTGGAGCTCCAGCCGGGGGCCAACCAGTACTATCCTCCACCCAACGCAGCCGAGCAGCAACAGCAGCAACAGCAGCAGCAGCAGCAGCAGCAACGACAACAACAACAGCAACACCAGGCCATTGAGTACCGGTATCAGAGGCTAAAAGACCAGTCGGATGTATGTCGAGGTCCCATATCCGCTGCAGAGCGGTATAACATAGCTAACTGAGAAACACAGATGTCATTCACCCCCTTGGTCTCGCCGGCGGTCACGCCACTCGATACTCATTTCTCGGTGGATTCTCAGTTTGCAGCTGTCTCGGGCGCTTATTTCAGCCCCCTGACCTCACCTGCTCTGCATGCACAGTCCGACCCTCTTGCCATGTTTGACCAGTTACACAGCGTTGTGACGACAAGCTCGCCTGTGGATATGGAACTAGACTCGTCGACCGGTACCCCCATTTCAAATCCAACCCCTGGAGACCTGGCCAAGAAGATGCGAAAAAATGCAGCCAAGGCAAGGGCAAAGTCCGGCATCAAGCAGTCGCCCATCTCGAAACCGTTGCGCAGGAGGACTGCCACCACCCCGAACTTGAACGCTCAGGTGCTGAGCGAGCTTGCCGAGAGCGCAGAACATAACCAACAACTGCCCACACCCATGATGCAGACCTCTTCCTCGTCCACGACGGGTGTGACAGATTCTGAAGACTCGGTCTCCCCCGAGGCCTTGAACGATACCACGCCAGTGGAGATGCCCCCGCCTCCAATACCTAAGTCGCGGTCAGCGAAGCCGTCGCCGTACATTGCTCCGCAGACCAGCGTGGCTCCCAACTCGCTTCAGCCCCCGCGCCCAGGGTTAGCGTCTCCCGCGACTCCTGCATCACTGATGAAGTTGAGCTCGCCAAGTACTCGCAACGCGGGTGCGAAAACTGATAGCCAGGAAGTCGTCGACAACGACCACATCGAAACATTTGAGCTTCCAGAGTCGGCAAACTTTGTGAACACCACGGCTCCACCCAGTAATGGGCTTACGCCGACACAATCTTCTGCCCAAGACAACGGACTCTCCAAGACCCCGTCTTTAGGTCCTCTTCCCTCGCCTTCTCTCGTGAAGCCGACTGTCACTCCCTCAGCGACTCAAAGTCCGCAGCTTCTTGCTGGGTCCGGGTTTGCCGCCAGAAAGACGCCGCAGCTCCTACCGAGGGGAAGCAAGAAGCGAGGTAGTGTCAGCTCGATCCCCGTCTCGCCGGCGCTAAGGCCCAAGATATCGCCAAGTATCAAGCCCTTGCTTCCAGGCGGGCCAGACGTTGAAGAGGCCGCATCGCACCTTCTCGCCACAAAATCGAACTACCAGCGCATCCTCGAAGGCAACACGCTGCCCGGCGTCTCGTACCCGAGCGAGCTCTCGACGAATCTCACGTCAAAGCGCACGTCTCACAAAATTGCCGAGCAGGGCCGCCGGAACAGGATCAATTCGGCGCTGCAAGAGATTGCCACCTTACTCCCGCGGCCGCCCAAGGACAGCGAGGGCGAGGGCAGCGATAACAAGAAGGATAAGAGCGGCGGGGCGCCGAATAGCAAGGCTAGCACCGTCGAAATGGCTATCGAATATATCAAGCAGCTGCAAAAGGAGGTGCGTGAGGCGAATCGGAGGGCCGAGGAGGCCGAGAAGAAGCTGGAGCTGAAGGTGGATGGGAAGATGGAGGAGACGGAAGAGGAGGCCAAGTGAGATAGACCTGTTGTTTGTGGAGAGAGGGAGCCCAACAAGACGGGCATGGGTAAGGCTTTTTGTGTAGCATGACGGGAAAAATACAGATGGGCGTTTCCGGCAACGTATATAAATGGGCTCTTTCAAGGGGAAGCCTCCGAGGGCGAGCACTTCGCTCTGTGTAGCGTATTGCTATTTTTCTTGGGACATAAAGGGGGAGAGACGGGCGTGGACACGATAACGTATGTGCACGAGTGGACGAGTTTGGAAATACCCGAGCGCGATAATGGGAAAATAGATGCTCAAGTTGTACCGATCACTTGGCGGCCTCGACGTACCTTAGTGTGTATGCTTCCGGTAGGTATATGAAGTGGTTGCAGATCATCCTCCCAGCTTTTTGAGAACGATAATTTGTGCGTGTTTACCGTTCGGTATGTGAGGGCCAGGGACACGGCGAGGAGGGGATAAGGGGGAGTGTGGTGATGGTTTCTAGCGAGAGCAAGGTGGGTGAGTATGCGAGAACGGTCAGGATACCGTCTGCACAGGCAGCGGGGAGAAGGGGGAGGTGAATGATGGGGGGATGGTAAGCAGGCTGGAGGATGGAGAGTTGATCGTGACGGTGCCTAGGAAAAGCAATTAAGAACGAACTTTCAAGGCGAAGACTCTTGGGTGGGGGCGCCGCGCCAGGGGAGGGTTTGCAGACCACGTTACGGCGTTTCCTTATTATCCTAGACATTGGTGATCGGACGCTGGAGGGCGGGAATTGGATGTAATGGGGTGCTGTCAATAGTCACAACGGGAAGCGGGCGAGCGGGCGAGCGGAGGATCATGAGACTGCGGTTCGAGCTCATCGGAATATCCACGCCTGGCATCTATTTTCCGATTGTCCTACAGTCTTGAAGGACGGTCATTGTATACCCAGAGCACCTTACTCCGTTATTGCTCGTTTTGATCAGCGAGGTGGGTATTGCACAGTCCGCGCCTGGATAGAGTTTATGAGTTATGAGCAGCGCTCTCAACAACTCAAATATAGTCAAATTAACGCAAATCAAATCAACGCAAATCAACGCAAATTAAGCTTTTTGGAATATTTGCAAGTCAACTCGCACCCCCAATTTGCGTTGTTTAATTTGGCTATATTTGCCCAGCCACTTATAACCCCAACCCTGCCCAAGCTCAGCCATTTCCATTCTCCCCTCCCGAGTCGTCCCCTCCCGTGACCTCGGGTCTTCTTGGCAACCCACAAAATATCCAGCAAACGCATGCCCGCGGCCTCGAAGATTCAGGAGAGATACGCACAGACACACAGTCCGCAGGCATACCGTTGTTAAAGATGACAGAGTCGAACAGGTTGGCCAGCGTATCAGCCGTCGAGCCTGCCTTCCCGTTGCCGCCCAAGAAGGCCGTTTCCAACCGCGTGAGCCTCGCGAAGCAAATCCAAGCGCTTGCCGACGTCGATTTCGAGGCTCTGCCGGCCAAAGACCTTGCCCAGTGGCCGAAGATTACGCTGCAGAAGAGGGAATACTTGCTGGAGGAGTGGATACATCGGAAGCGGCCGCGAACCTCTTGGATCGCCTCTCATGGAAGGTTCTTGGTTGAAGTAGTCGGAAACAACGATGTCGGTCGTTACTGGTGTTGCAACCATTGCGGCCAAATTTTCAACGCAAAAGCCACGAGCTCATCCGCCGTACACCTTAACCACGAGCATCAAGAGTACGAAGAAGGCAAAGAACCCGCCCGCCCGCCTGTCAAGAAGCACCGATCGGCGTTGGATATGATCCGCGCAGCAACCAACACCCCCGTGGTAACAAGACCACTTGGCGATACTTTCAAGTCGCTCCTGTGCAATTGGGTCGTCAGTAACAATGTCCCATTTTCTGCTGTCGAAGACCCTTACTTTCGTGACCTCTTGCGCCTCCTGGATCCTGCTGTCGTCGACCGAATGCTTCCGAAGGCCGGGAATACAGTACGATCTTGGCTTGAGGAAAGATATCAAGAACAACGCAATCTGTTGAAGACGACGCTGTCCGCATCGAACTACGCGAAGCACCTGTCGTTTGATCTCTGGACCTCGCCGAACTCGCATGCTTTGCTCGCGATCGTCGCCCACTTTACTAGCGCTGAGTTGAAACTGCAGACGAGGCTGCTCGGGATGCTCCAGATCCGAGGTAGCCAC